TATCAAAGAAATTTAGACGTTTCTAAATCAAACGAATTCAATGAGAATGAGACCTTGTGAGCAATATCATCTCTTCGATCCATATACAAATTCCTGTGTTCCGGGCACATTCTTTCAATTTGAACAACAACTCATCGATCCTGTTATCAAGGTAGATCCATCAATAGCAATTGAATATCTTTTCTTTTAAAGATCTTACATGGAATCGTCTTCCCGCTTCTCTCTGTCCTCGTTCTCATCATGAATGGAGCGGTCATTGCCGTGCTTCGACAACAGAATCGGGTCGGTTACTGCAGAAAAGATGCTTTTTAAAATTGAGTATCAATTCCTAATAAGTTAATTCCTCTAAGTTATGTTTTTTCTAAAAAAGTGTTAACTTTTGCATCTAGTTTTTATTCGATACTTTTTGTTTAAAGGATATAAAGATATAAAAATATAATATCGAAAGATATAAAGGATAGATAGAATGAAAACTAGAAGAAAACTGAAAAAAACTGAACTAGAAAACTGAAAAACTAGAAGTATTACGATACTTTTTGAAAGATGAAACGTTTTAGAAAATGCTTTAATCAAGGGGAAATATCTAAACGATTAGATAATCTTATGTCAATTTCGTTACTAGGCAACTTTGACTTTGATTTAGTTCATAAGACTTGAAAAGTCTTACGATTTAAAAACTAAAATTAGTTGAGACAATGAAAGTATCGAAACTTGTGCCATCAATGACCGAAACTTTTTTCAGAAATCTCCAACCGTCGGCCCATTAGAATGGCTGGCTGTGTCATCTTGTCTAATCGCCGCTTCTCCACTTCCATTCATTATCTACTATTATCATCTAGGGGATCCGAATGAGAGAATCGAGCATATCGCTCTGTGTCATCTCGAAAAGGTTTGCTTAACTTATTGAATTACTGAATATTTAAATCTAAACAATAATCTGCTTGAATCCCTTTCCTAATTCCAGATCTGCATGCAAATGCTGCCTTTTTTTCTTCAACAGCCTCACTACATTCTTCACTCTTCTTCTCGGAATTCAGAGGTGATTTCTCTAGTTATTTTTTTATGGGATGGTGCCATCTTTCCTTTGTGATAAGCCTAAACCGTTCAATCACTGAGAATAGTCTTTCAAAGATGAAAAAATGAGAAAACAAGTAGATCAGAAGTTTAACCTCGAAAACCCAGACGATTGTCTTTCTTTGCTCATTCGCTGAATTGCATTTAAAAAAGTAATACGGTAACTACCGTAATACCGTAACTGTAAGCTACTGTACTACTTTTTTAAATGCTAGCTACCGTGCCCCACTTTTCGAGCACTTTAGTCGAAGATAAACACAATCTTGTTTTAACTGTTGATTTGCTGAAAGTACGGTAGCTTACCGTATCTCCTACCGTAATACCGTAAGTGTAAGATGGAAAAGCTAATGTAAAAGTAAAATATAAGCTTAGCTTTCGTATGCCGCTTTTAAAGCACTTTTTTCAAGAGTCACAATCTGATTTCAGATTCATTGCCGTTCTTTACCCGCTCGAATGCTCGAGATGGTGCTCGATTCGAGTAGTTCATCGATGGGCAAGGTACAGAAAAAAGATTTGTCTATCAAGTCTAGAGCTTGAAAATAAATCCCTTCTTGGTCTGCAATCTGAGCTTAATCCCAGATTCATCCTGATCTTTGCCCTCTTCCCAACAGCACTCTTCTATTTGGCGGATACCCGCACGATCATTCACCATTGTTGGCTAATCCCAACCCCAAATCCGCAAAAGACAGCAAGCTATGAGTGCACCGCGCATTGCTATGTGGCTCATACGGAATTGGCGATGCGAATTGGACCGGATCGTTTTGCAATGATCTTAGATCTGCTCAAGTATCGAATCATTTCTTCTATATCAATATACAATACTCCTAGATTGTGTCTGAATATAATCCCGTCATCGATTCTTTTCGTCATCACCATTCTCCTCATCAGAACAATTCGAATCGCCGACTCGTCTCGGTTACGGTATGAGAAGGGATACTGTAATGTAAAACTCAAAACCAATCGGCTGAATATTTTATGTTTTTCACATAAAGCTTAAGATAAAAAGAGTGATTTTCAGTAAAATCTCTGGCCGTCATCGTCGCGGTCCTCGTGCATCCACTCACACAACAATGATGCTAGCCGTTGTGATTTCTTTGTTTTTATTGGCTCGTTTACCCATCACTCTTCTTCTCCTTCTAAGAAAGGTTTAAATTCATATATTTATCGACTAGTTTATCCCCCAATCTTCAGCTCAGTTATTTCATTCCGAGCCTCGATGGTCAACTCGACTTCTCGGATCATCCCTATTTGATCGTTTTGATCAATAACCTCATGATAATGACCGTTCATCCGATCACTTTCGGTGTTTACATGTTGATGTCCAGGTGATTTGATAATAATTTATCATATCATACGAACAACGAATAACATAGATTTATGACTTTAAAACTAGATAAACTAGATAATAAAGCTGTCCAAAGGTAAACCAAGGTTATCAGGCTCAAATACTAGAACCGGGTTGCAGCTAGGTTTAACCCCCATAGCCGACTGGCTAAGAGCGATATCTTAGTCGAGAGTTCAAGGGTTCAATCCCGCTGGCTAGATTATTGGTTCTTTTTTCCATACATTTAGGGCTTAGGAGTTGTGCTTGAGTATTGTTGTTATTAACCTGAAGTAGTTATTAACGTGAAATGATTGAGTATCATTTGTTGGGTATTGAAAAATTGATTGATTCAGACGTTTCCGCACTTCTCTTCGCCATCTTTTCGGGTGTCGCTTTCTCGCGTCAGACGCCGATTTGCAGGTGGTTTATTAAACTGAAGAAAAGGGAAAAGAAATATTTTTAATTAGAAAAAAAATAACTATATTTTAAAAGCAAATGTTTACAGGCTTTCTCATCGGTTCGAATGCAATCAATTGGGAGAGAAGGCGGAGGGGGAAAGGCTATGGATAGCCGATTCCTTCAAAAACATCATCGAGTGTTAACATCAAACATCTCAAATAATACAGGTAAGGAGATTGATCTTCATTTAAATATTATTAAATTTAAATTTAAAAAGATTTCCCTTTATTTAAACGATACATTATGTTTAATAAGAACAAAAAAAAACGCTTTAAATTTCCTGTTGGTAAGAATCGGGTGCACTTTGTGCTTTGAAAAAGCATAAACACACCCTTTCTGGTTCATTCGATTCTTTGATTAAATGAAAAAATGGGATATTTACCTTTCATTTTAGTATGGTACAATATATTGATGGACAAGAATCAAGAATAAGAAAAAGAATCTCTTTTTGTCTCTTTGCCCATTATTCCAATAATCTAATGAATGATCAACCTTCACTTAAATACCATAAAACAATTAAAACTTTGTTTATCTTACTATTAGATTAGATAGATTTTTGGGGGGTGGGACAAATGCGACCTTTTTTTTGCGCACCTGGACATTTGCGCACCTTTTTTTTTGCTGGCAAAGGCCTTAGGCAAGGCCGTAGAGCTTCGAAAATATTTCCATAGAAGGGAATCGTATGCGTAGATTCCGAATTTCGACAAATCAGACCTCGCTGACACGTCAAATTTGGGCTAAAAGGCAAAAACTGCGGAAAAGCGTTAAGTTGCGTAGTTTTTGTCTTTTAGCCCAAATTTAACGTGCCAGCAAGGTCTGATTTGTGGAAATTCGAAATCTACGCATACGATTCCCTTCTATGGAAATATTTTCGAAGCTCTACGGCCTTGCCTAAGGCCTTTTCCAGCAAAAAAAGGTGCGCAAATGTCCAGGTGCGCAAAAAAAGGTCGCATTTGTCCCACCCCCAGATTTTTGAAATTCTTTTTTAAATTTTGCAATCTATTTTGCAAACAAAATTTTTAGAACAAACGAGCTTCAGCCGAGCGAGTACCCTTTTTGATACGGTGAAATGAAAAAAAAAATAACCGAAAAAATAACCGAATCTCTCAATAAATAATGGGTATTTGTATATTTTTTTTTGTTCGTTTTTCGTCGATCATTTTCTTTCAAGATAAAATTTTTAATCTTTTGTACACAGTATAAAAAAATATCCGATCACAAAAGGCTTAAAAATGAGATGATGAAAAAGAGGGAATTTGGCGGAAAGTTGACAAATAAACATGTGCTAAATAGAAAACAGTTTGGTTCAAATTTTGAAGATACTTACCGTAAATACTGTAATAGTAACCCCACCCCCCCCTCGTACAGTCGCGTAGTCGCAAAAGTTTTTTGGTATTTCATTTTTTTCAAAGAGCCCGTTTTTTCAAAAAATGCGTCTTTGGTATCAAAAAATAGCTGAAATTCAGGGCTATTTTTTGATATCTAAGCGCGCATTGTAGCATAAACCAGTGTCGAGAAAAACTCGTTCAAAGCTACACTACGCAACAGTCCGCACCGTCATTATGGGAGTGGGGTACTATTACAGTATTTACGGTAGTTAAAGCTGTTTTCTATTTTGCACTATTTATCTGAATCTCGTCAAGACAAATCTACGCTGAAAAAGTCGAGTGAAGACCCGAAAAGTATTGGCGAAATTTGAATATTTCATTTTGAAAGCGATTTTGAGATAAATACTGTAAATACTCTAATAGTAAATAATAATACCCAGCGTACAGTCGCGTAGTTTAACTTCTTTTTAGAAAATCATTTCTTTCTTAGCTCCTAGTTTTTTTTCCAATTACACTTTGGTACCAAAAAATATTAGATTTCAAGGGCTATCATTTGACACTGTGTAGCACACTATAGCATAAAGCAGCAAGGAGAACGGCACGTTTAAAGTTAGACTACGCGACTGTACGCTTGTCATTATGTACGCGACTGTACGCTTGTCATTATGTACGCAACTGTACGCCTGTCACTGTCATTATGGCGTTCTATTAGAGTATTTACGGTATTTGCAGAATGAAAACACAAAAACGAATTGTCAGTCTCTTGTACCATTTTGAGAATTGAGGATGATTTGAGAGAGAGAGGATTTGCTCTATGCGAGTGGCAATTTCTCGAGAATTCCTTTCACAAACTGAGCAGCTCTTGCCCCGTTCTCAGACGCTGCCTGGAGGACTTCTTCATGGGAAACTTCAACCGAATTGTCCGCATCGAGATTGGCGCTGAAATTTGATTTGAAGGGAAATCACAGTTAAAATTATTTGCCAAATACTGGAAGTCTGTATTGTAAAGTGCGCTAAAACGTTTTCTAAAGCGTGTCAACTTGTTTAAACCACCGTAGTCCTTCTTCGTACAGAATTAGACCCAAAAGTAACTTGGAAAAAACTAGAGACAAGATTGCGGTTTTCGTAGTTTTCGAAAAAAAAATTGCCAAAAAGCTGAAGTTGTTCGAAAACTTTACAACATACATATTCGTGATAAGCGACATTCCGAGCACTTTGATTCCACATTGTCTAGCCACTGTCACTTCATGACATGTTGACATCCCCAAAGCGTCAGCGCCAACCGTTTTGAACAAAGAAACCTAAAGTTTTTAAGCTGTTAAGCTTTGGAAAGTTTCAGATAAAATAGACTTAAAAGCTTAAAAAAAATTTTTTTTTCAAAAGTTTACCTCAGCCGGTGATTCGTATTGTGGACCGCCACACATGACATAAATTCCCTCGAAGACCCGGATTCCCTGATTTGTCGCCACGTCGAGGGCCAATTTTCTGAATGGGTTTTTTTTGAGACTTTGGTGTTTAGACGTTTACTTAAGCTAGAAATTTTAAAGATTATCATCGATTACCTGAAACTTCTGTCATACGAGTCATGCACAGAGACGAAACGAGCCCCAAAACGATCATCATTTATTCCGACAAGAGGAGACATTCCAGCTAAGCCGGGAAGGAAAATGTGATCCTGAAATGGGGATTTGTTTTTTTTGATTTAATTCTTTTTGTTTATTATTTATTGATTTGCTTTTGAACTCATCTAGTAGACTTGGCTAACAAGTTATGTTAACAAGTTATGTTAACAAGTTATGTTAACAAGTTATGTTAACAAGTTATGTTAACAAGTTATGTTAACAAGTTCTGTTAACAACTTTACGCAATCTTTCTTTATCTATTAGGTTGGCAACTTAATAATGACGCGTTTATGTAACAAATCATTTATTTCAAAAAAACACAAAAGAAGAGCTTTCAATTCGAAAGGTATTCTCCATTAGTATCTATGACTCCTTCCCATCTTCTGCGCAAATCCCGGATCCCATCCTCGAAGAACTTGGGAGTTTTTGAGGCGAAGTAGTCATTCACTGCTTTTATGACCTGAACATGATCATCGAACTTTTCTCCCTCCAAAAAGTGCTTCACCGACCGAAACAAAAAGTAATCTGAAGGAGCCAGATCAGGTGAATAAGACGCGTGGGGCAAAACTTTCCAGCCAAGTTCCTCGATTTTCTTATAAGTGATCTTTGCAGTGTGAGGTTTTGCGTTGTCGTGTAAAAATCTGACTCTCTCCGGTTTGAGCCCCAATTTCTTCAGAGACTCGTTAACTCTCATTAATTGCTTCGAATAAAGATCAGCATCGACGGTTTGGCCAGGTTTCAGCACTTCATAATGTACCAATCCCTTGAAGTTCCACCAGCAACAGAGCATTATCTTCTTCCCATGGACATCAGGTTTGGGAGTGGTTTGAGGGGTCTGCCCAGCAGATAGCCATCGATTTTTGCGTTTAACGTTCTCGTAGTTGATCCACGTTTCGTCAGAAGTCAAAACCCTGTGAAAAAAGTCGTTTGATTTGTATTTTTGTAGCAAAATTGAGGCGATATTTTGTTGCTCTGGGTCAGCTCGTGAGGAGCCCATTTTCCAACTCGATTCTTTTCCCAAGTTTGTGTAAATAGTTTTTGATTGTCATATGGGATACTTCAAATATTTCTGCCAACTCACGAACGGTGAGTGTTGGGCAATCTTCAATTAAGGCGAGCAAGTCATCGTCGACCACTTCTGGAGGATGTCCTTGGTGTGGCTCGTCTACGAGGCTTTCATCGCCGCCTTGGAATCTTTGAAACCATCGTTGACATTGACGAATGTGTATACTTTCCTCTCGAAAAACAGTGATGATCGTGCGATGAGATTCAGCTGGTGATTTTCCTTGTTTAAAATCGTAGAACAATCGTAGAACAATGCGGAATTTTTTGTCCTCCTTTTTTTTGCCAAAAAGCAAATGATGAAATTTGGAGCACTAAATGTTATTTATGTAGACATCTTTTACTTTGTATATATGCAAAAAAGAGGGAAGAAACGGCGCTTGAAATTACAAAAAAAACATGTTAAGTAGTGACGCGTCATTATTAAGTTGCCAACCTAATAGCACGGAACTCATCATTTTTCTCAAAGCATTTCGCCGGAAAAATGAGGAAACCAGTATTTGCAGAATGAAATACTGGTGTCGAGATACCGGAAGTTCAGGCGGAAAATCAAATTTGATGACACCAATCGATCGATCGATCGACACTTGTCCATTTTCTGTATTTTGAGTCCAAAACACTGCTGATATGTCATGACTTTTCATACTTAAAGTACTTTTTTGTTATTCTTTTCCCAACCTTAATAAGCATGAGATCTCCATATTGAAAATTCGGATTGATTCCCCCGGCCGCGTTCGAGACAAGCAACGTGCGAACACCGAATTGGTGAATGACGCGAACAGGCAGGGCACACAATGCCAAGTTCATCTGCAAAAATAATTAAAATCTTAGTTTTGATAGCTTAGAAAATTGAAAGACATTCAGTGATCAATGTTTTTAAAAAGAAAATCTTTTACATTGTACTCGTATGGATGAAATCGTCCTTGTAGACAGACGACTCGGTGACCGGCGATACGCCCGAAAAGCATGATCCCTTTATGACCAGGGACTAAATAAAACTTGTAAAGATTAGCTAGACATTTTGCTGAAAATTAACTTCAGTAAGTTCTTTTGAGTAACCTAACTTTAACGTAAACTTTTTATACTAAAAGTTTGCGTCAAAAAATTGATACGGTACTGGAAACTGGGCTAATAAGCAAAAATTGTAACTTTCCCCATGTAAACACTCACTATCTGGCACACTAAAACCTTCGCATTACAATAAAAGTGAGCATTTCAGTGTACCAAAGAACGAACGTTTACATTTAAATTACCATTACTATTAGCAAAATCAGCAAATTGGATTGTTGGCGAATTGGAGATTTTTTATGAATCTTATTAGATCAAACCGTGCAATGGAGGAAATCCGGGAATCTTTTCATATGGAACAGGGAAAGGATCCTCAACGAGATTCCCCAAACCGCCAAGTCCCGAACCGCAAATGATTCCAATGTCGGCTTGAGCCTGAATAGAAAATGAAAATGAAAATGTACTGTCTTTTGAAGAACATCTTGGTACTGACTCAATTTCTTGACTTTGTTTACAGCTTTGCTTCAATACAACTCTTTATAAACCCACTATAGGGATACTGTAGTTACCGTAAAAGCTCTAATAGAAGAACCCCCTATAGGAGTGTCGCGTGATCTAAGTTTACTCTCAAACAAACGCTCATATCTTGACACCAGTACGTTTGTTTCTGCACGTTTAGGTATCAAAATAAAGTAGAGAGGCTTAGAACAAAATCATGGTTAATGCTAAAAATTTGTGTTATATCTCAAAAAATCACTCATCCTCTCTACTTTATTTTGATACCTAAACGCGCAGAAACAAACGTACTGGTGTCAAGATATGAGCGTTTGTTTGAGAGCAAACTTAGACCACGCGACGCTCCTATAGGGGGTTCTTCTATTAGAGCTTTTACGTAATTTCTTTAAAGTTGACTAGTGCACTTTAGAAGTGTCAAAGAATACTGTACCCCAAAATGTGATTCACTTTACCCGATCTCCTGCGATTTCTCGAATCGTTGCGGCGATTATCAACAAATCTTCATAAGATCGAGGACTAAAATCTACTTTTTTTAACGATTTTATCAACTTCTCGATCATCACGTTCACTTTTTTTTCTATTCTCTGAAAATCTGGGGTACAATTCAATTTCGTTTTTATCACTACTTTTTCAATTTGAAGACAATAAGATGGAAGAGGAGTGTCTGATAAAAACTGTAAAGAAAAGGATGGTTTGATTTCAGTTTAAAGCTGTTTACCATAATTTTTTGACTTTTTCGTCATCAGAAAGTGATAAAATATTTGAAAAAACATGTTTTTATGTTCATTTTTGATAAGATCAAGAATCAAAAGTTGATCAAAGTAAACTATAGATAAATTTCTTAAGTGAGAAATTTCTTTGTCGTGAAACTCACTCAATTTGTGCCCTTGCTGGCTGAGCCTCGTTGTTGTTGATGATAACGGACATTTTAAAAGGAAAGGAATTTGTTCTAAATGTTTACTGTAGGTTAAAAACGACTCAAGAATGCGATTTAAGTATGGTGTAGTTAGGAAAATCTAGAAAAGATATTCAAGATGGCAAAGTGAAAAAAAGTGGTTGGTGTGGAGTGAAACTATCGATATTGCTCTACTGATGCCGATACTCAAAAATAAAGCTCAAAACTTGAAAAAGCTTGACAAGCTATGACAAGTTGTCTTGATAAGCTATGATTTAAGATCAAAAATGAATCCCATAGATCATGAGGGGTGATGAGGCTTAAAATAGTGAATGGGGAAGATAAATCTCTCTCAAATCGGTGACAAAAACAATTTTGTGTTTGGTGAAAGGTAAAAACGGAGTTTCTTGTCTCACGTGTACATCTAGAGCGGAATGATTAGATGGAATCAAAAATGGGGATTAGAGAAAAGAAAAGAAAAGTGAATGAGGGAATCAAGGAGGGAATAACTGATAAGTGGCAGAGGGAAGTCATGGAGAATCTAAAGAAATCAAAGAGATGATATTACGGAAGTCTCCTTTTTTGTGTGTCCCCCCGACCCGTTGTGTTATCTTTGAAAGAAAGGGTCATGAAAACTCTTTTTCGGTTTTTTTCTTGAGTGAAACCTCATGATTTTGAAAAAGAGAACTAATACCTACCAGAGAGTTAAAATAGAATTGCATTAGAGTTGCAATTGGAAATTTAGTCAAGTCATCAAGGAATTGATATACTTCAATGAATGATGCTAAAGCTGCTTCAAATGACAGCTAATTTTGAATGTTACAAAAAAACAAGCCCGTCCAATCGATTCCCCAACCCTGAAAACCCATGGCTACAAATTTACCGAATATCTTTTTAGCTAAATATTATGAAGCTATCTGACTTGAGAAAACTCTAGAAAGAAAACTCAGCTATAGTCAGACTCAAAATAAATCTCTCCCAATTCTCTCAGGATTCTTTAGTCCAATCGATCTATTTGATATCATTTAAAAGCCTCAAGTGTCCACGTTAAAAATATATTAACATTAATATCATAATTTCTTGCCCTGAGTCGAAATTTCCAGATTAAATTAAGCAAAAAAAGAGCCTAGATTCCAGGCCAAAGATCAAGAACGTAGGTGAGTTTGGTTCTTGGTGAGTACCATAAGATACGCAAGATTGGATAAAAAGCAAGTTTACGGTAGCTTTCGAAAACGCATAGTACCAATCGTATTACTACATACTGTAGTTACAGTACTGGACAAATGAAATATCATATTTGAAAAAAGATCGTCACTTTCGAGCGTCTGTAACTCCATTGTCTTTGAGTTTAAACTATTAATGTTATACATTTTCTGAAAGCTCTTTTCAAGGGCTACACAATGGTAATATTAATTTTTAGAAATACGGTAAAGACAAGGAAGTTACAGACGCGCGAAAGTGACGATCTTTTTTCAAATATGATATTTCGTTGTCCAATAGTGTAGGTCTCAAAATGACAAAATTAGAGTGATCATATCTAATTGATCAGTCTCAAATCCAAACATCATTCATTTATTGTTTGTTTGTTTCTCATAAAGAATCATTTTCTCTTTTTTGTGATGATATCAATAAAATTTCACTGAAATGAGCCTCTTTACCGAGAAAAAGACTCACCGCCTGTGATTTGTTTGCCAAACCCTTAAAAGAAGAGCGTTATCATCAAAATGGGCTATTTTTGTCCTTGACATGCGCAAAAAAAACACATACTCTATCAATATTTTATTGCAAAATAAATATATCTACACTTGAAATGAATAAATTAGCACCATAACGTAGTACCTGCAATAGCCTGTAGTTTGGTTTGAAGAAAATTCGCGCATACTTTTGGCATGTTTTTATATTTAAAAAATAGCTCTAGCTATGAGCTTTAATATTTTAGTTAAAAAAAAGTAACTTTTAAGATATAGAATTGGTAGAAAATAAGCAAAACTATGAGCTTATTGCAGTACAATCGCCGTATTCGAAACCTCATTTCTTAGGCAATCTTGGTCCAAATATTTTGCTCCCCACTCGAATATTTGTACTTCCTTGTCGAATTGCTGTCTCGGAAATCGTCGGACATTCCTGAAATTCTTTAATTCTTTATTCTAAAGCTTTCCCATACCCATCGACAACTCAAATCCCTCAACACCCCTTCCCACTTCTTTCGCGAAATCATCACGAACTTCTCGTAACTTTTCGAAATCCGGATTTGGTGTCTAAAAGGGTTAACAATAAGGTTGAAATTTTCAAAACGATTTTTTACATATCTACCCGTGGATAAATGCTACAAGATTAGAATTAGAATTTTGAGAAATGTACTCTGAGAAAGTTTTGTGATCTTTCTTAACAAATTGAAACATTTCAAACAAACCATGGAACTCCCTGCCACCGATCCGATCGTCATAAAACCAGAAAATTCAAGATGAGCACACTGTTCATCAACAAATTTCCCGAGTTCTTTTGCCTCATTTGGCTGTAGTCCACCTTTTTGTTCTTCATCTGATGTGTTCACCTGAATCACTGTTTAATTTAGTATTCAAGCTATCGATTCACCTGTATCAACACTTTCACTTTCAATCCTCGTTTGTTCATTTCTTTTTCCAGAAGTTGAGCGTGTTTCTCATTGTCGAGTGTCTCGATACAGTAGAGATTCGGAACGGCGCAGATTTTTGAGATCTAATGGTAAGAGATGGAGTTTTTTTGTTCAAGCTACATAAACAAATCAAATCAAATACACAAAGTAAAGAGATTGTCTTCAAGTACGAACCTTATTCGATTGCATTTGTCCAATGTAGTGCCATTTTATGTCTTGTAAATCGCGTAGTTCGGCCCCTTTCTCTTCCAACTCTTGCACGTAATTCTCGCCGAAATGTCTATAAAAGAAATAAAATTTGTTTTAATAGTGGAAAAAAACAATTGAACTCCGTGTACATTTTCATTTTCAAAGTTTTTATTTCATTTGGACCCACTTTTGCCCAGCTTGATAACATTCGAGAATCAGATTTGAGGGTTTCGTTTTGGAAACTGCAACCAGCCTAAAATGAGAAGTTCAAACAAATTGTAAACGCAAAGCCCATTTATCAAATTTATCAAATTCTACAGAAAAATTCCAAATGTAAAAAAAAGATCAATTTACTCACCGAGGCGCCGTCGTTCTCCCACATTCTCGAGCAATCAAATGGATCGTTTCCAATATTTGCTTCAAATTCGATTGGATAACTGTCTCCACCACTGACATTTTCCCTGAAATTTGACTATTATTGCTTTTGAATGACTAATATTATCAAAAAAATCCATCAAATCATGTCTGGAAGAGAAGAATGATTTTAAGAGCTTGTGAAATGATTTGCGGTCATACACATTGAAAAGGAGTCACACTCTATGAGAGACATTAAAACAAAGAAATCGATAAATCCTAAAGAATTTTTAACGAAAATAAGACAGCGTACATAGTTTCAAGGTATTGTATAGTACGAAAATGAGAATAAATACCGTACCACTTACTGTAAACGTGTAAACGCAAACCAAAATCAATGTAAAATAAAAAGGTTAGCGACGAATTTGGATGTTCAGCTAAATTACGGGGTCAAAATAAAACGAATGGAAATCTGAACAATTACACAAATTATTAATTGCTTACAATAGATGAATTTTAATATTCTCCGTACTCCGATAGATAATTCACTCCTGTCTGTCTCTTCTACTTAATGGCCTCCCTTACTGGCAATTAGCCAAACATTAGGAATCATTGTAGTTTCTAGCCTTCATTGAATTCTATTGAACTTTTAAATGATTGTTCTTCAAATTTGTCATGTTTTAATATACTTAGGTAGATAAACAATATTGCCAAAAATTTAGATCACCATGGAGAAAATGACACTAGCCGCTCCACGATTCGCAATACCGAAAAAGAAAAAGAAAGTCGAGGAATTGTCGCAAGAGCAAGGCAAGTTTAAGAAAAACACTTTGAAATAGAGAATGAGAATACTGTTCGCAAATGTTAAATTGGTGATTCACAGAAAACATTATGCATTTTAGACTTGGTGGAGCCAGATTCGCGACCCGAGTGGCAAAATGTTCAACCAAACACTTCGCAGTTCACGAAATTGGAAGAAATCATACGTAAAAACCGATTTGACTCAAACATGCGACTCACCATCCACAAAGCTGAACAATTGAACAATCCGTGGCTCACCTATAGAGTGAGTTTTCTCTGTTTCATATAGTCAAATATTATGAAAATTTTTCTATCTCTCTAACTTTTCATTCTCGATCTTTTGTCTTTTGACACCAAAATAGGTTTCTGTGAAAAAAAAGTGCTCAAAGCGGAACTTTGAGTTTCATCGTTTTTTGGACTGCTCGATTCCACACATTTAAAAAATTAACTAACGCGAGCTTTCAGAATCTCTTAAAGCGCAATTTGTAAATAAAGAATAGGAATTTCTGATCAAACAAATCATAGATTGGTTGGTTCATTATTCATTCAAAAAGTAACCTTTAAAAAAGTGGACAAGACTTTTCGGCCAACCTGATATTTAGTATGAGAAGTACCGCAAAAGCCTAAAAGCCAGTGGGCAGCCAGACAAAGAAGACGCAGCATTCTTCCAGATTTCTACGTCGCCCCAAGAGGTATTTATTGGTTTTAGATTTAAATATTATACTTTATCAGCTTGCACATATTGCCGAAAACGGACTAGCTGTTGGAACATCTATAAATGACGATCTGGGCGATAGCGAAAGCGGTAGGAAGCAATATTTGACTGTAATTAGCGATGCCTGTTGGTTTTAGGTGTATACCTCTCGGCTAACATTGATTTTGCGAGCCCACAATGTTTCTTGGTCGGCCCTAGGGGTCCATGCATGATTCGAGTTCTGATATGTAAAATACTGAAGGGAAGAGTAAATCAGGTTTGTTTAGTTATCTTCTGTATTTTTGAAACTGAAAGCCTTTTAGGTGGGGCTTGGCTCGAAAAATTTGGATCCAACTTCTGGTTACGGTTGTCACATTGGCTAAATCGACGGGTGAAGACTCTCGTAGACGAAGTCGCGTAGATGTATATCGTCAGCAATTGGTTTAATTATTTGTGTAGAAACTTAATTTTGTCTTATTTTAGATATACATGTATGAAATTAACGAGGATCTTGAGTCCGTGCTCGTTCCTTCAGGAGTTCTTCCGTATGCTTTCGTCGATGTGGCTATTGACACTAGGGCGTTAACCGATAAAAAGATTGTCAGTTTTCATACATACAAACTTATCATTCAAAGTTTAGACGCCTACCAAAGTTTGAACTCTCGAGCTGCATCTACACTGGGAGGGTTCTCATAGTGAATACACCGCATACAGTCAACTTTCTGACAAACAGTGACGAGACCTGGAAGCCACTTGGAATGTAAACTTTTATCTGGTGTTTTCTAATAAGAACGATTGCAGAGAACCAACTCTCCATGTGAAAAATTTTGTCAAATGGAAAATGGCCCTTGAACAGTCGCCACTCTCGGTTAATATTAAGCTTGATTTCTTTAATTTCGAATGTTTAGGATTTGATGCAAAATGAATTTTTGGCGCTGCTTCACAGGAAAGAGATTCAGGTGTTTTTCTTTCTTTCAAGAGCAATTATTTTTTTGTTTTTAGCTATCCAATGGCTGGTTTGTGGCTTGTTTTATATTGGCTTCATCAGCACCTTCTGTTCCATTTACTAAGCTTATTGAAACCTTGAGCACCAATCAACTTGTAAGTGTATAATGCTTTATTGTTTTATCAAACTTTTTAGGTGGGTTTATGGGCCTCGGCAGATAACGTCCAAAGTTTACTGATTCCGTCTGGAGAGCTTGTCAATCGTTTGGGCTTGCCATCACACATCGAATCAGCTTTACATTTGATTGTGACTCAACCACGCTCATTCTATAGCTTTCATCAGGACACGCTCAAACAAATGTGGGTACTGTGCTGTTGGGCTAAATGAGTTAATGTTTAGAATGCTGGCAAGTCGTTACCCATCAACCAACGAGATTGTTCAAGGATTTCACCAACAACTGGATGATTACATCACCGAAGAATTTGACCGACACATAAACAGTCAAGCTGGGATTAATGCCTGTCATCGATTTGAAAGTAATTGAACGTCCTAAGCTTTTTTAAGAGTTCCTTAGGCATGTCACATATCAATAAAGCCAAGCCAGAGAACAGTCGCTCGTCACCGACCTCTATTCTGCGTAAGAAAGGTGAGCGTAAACATCATCTATGTGTTGTTTTCAAAATATTGCAAAAACTTGTTGTTTAGATGTGCCAATCAGTGTAGCAAGTGAGCCTATTGAAGGTGTGTCAGAGCGCGACACTCAAGAGCGACTGAATGAACGAGAAAGGGAAACGAATCGACGTCCGACAATGATTGAAACGAACCAAGTTATAGTAGGGGTTTGATTTTTTTTTATTGATAATAAAGTGCTTGTTTGTACTTTCAAACTGAGTGTATGGTTTAGAATCCCAGAAGGAAAGGAAACGATAGCAATGAGCAAACAGAGGCTTCTCGAGACTTTAGACAACTATTTTCACAAGCCCTAGGCAGAACTCCATCAAGTGAGTCATTTTTACATAATTCTCATTTTCAAAAGTTTAGATGTCGCTGTTACCGAAGCTACTCCTGATGAGCAGTCACTTGAGTTGTCGATCTCTACTAATTCTCTACCTATTGAAGCCAAGAAAACAAAAACACGAATTTCGGACATGCCTATGCCCCCAGCTCACAAAGTGAATACATTTAACGTTTAATACATTTAGGCTTTGTTTTAGAAAGACGAATATGACCCTGGATCCATCGATTTCATAAACGAAGAAGCAGTAGAATTGGCCGATGAAGTTTGTTTTGACCTCAAATAACAAACTCAACCTTAATTCTTTTTTGAAAACTTTTAGATTGCTATAAATGAAATTTAGGATATTGAGAATGCACCTTCACCGGAATCTATTACGAATTTGGACACATATGATGCGCCCTCCAGTTTGCAGGAAAATGACAATGTTGAGTGGCATGTGGTAAAAAAGAATTTTCTGAGCATCGAGAACATTAAATTAAGGATTCTTCCATTGGGTCTCCAGAAACGCCTACAAATGACGAGGATTTACGAACAAACCTTGATAAGGTTAGGAATCAAGTGCATTCATCATTTTCTGTTTATGTCGTTATCTTTAGGAAGATATTCCGGAAAATCACGTCAACTCGCTCGTGTTTCGAACTATTTACAAGGAGAATGAACCAAATGAAGAACGCACGGTGGGAAAAGGGGTGAATATGAGTATTATGATGATTTAGGAAGTAAAACAAACGGCCAAGAAGCTCGAAGATTTTCTTTCTGGATTTAGTTCTCGCTTTATAGATACATCAATGAATCGTGCGCCTGGTGAGCTTTTTGAGAGTTTGATCATGCTAGTGAAATTTAGCAAGTGAAAATGCCAACAGTCCACCACCCTCAGCCAGTCCATCATTTAATGAACAAATGTAATTCGTATTTTTAAACTCGTTTAACAAAACTTTCCTTTTAGTTCCCAGACAAAAAGCTATTCCACTTGAAGGAGAGGTTAAGTTTGATGATCCTTCTGTACCTATGGACACCGATTTTCGGGTTTGTCTGGAGATAATATACTTGACGTCGGCTTTAGGATAACTTTGTTTCAAACAAAGATGTGGATCTTCGATTGAACCTTCCAGATGAGTCACAAAAATCGAATGGTGTGCCGACGAATAAAAAAATTAAGTCAGTTCTTCTGTTTAATTTGATCGGGGTTTACAGTAGGAACTTTCAGTTAAATAAATTAATTTTTTGATTATAGTGTGGCCTCCTTTAACGAAAAATCAAGAACTGGTTTACCAACAAGGAATTCTACGAAATATGTCTGAAGACCTACAAATTAATCCAGGAGTTCTACACAATACACAAAGGTAGCTTTTGATAAAAAGACAATATAAGTCATTTTTTAGACAAAGCGCTCCCCTTTGAGAAAAAACTCTAGACCAAAGCCAGGCCTATTACCAATGGCAAATTTGGGAAGCGCCGGACAAGCTTATCAAGATGGAAACATAGTTTATTTTTTTTAATACCATTACCGTTTTATTTCTAGAGAATCATACCTAATCAACGAGAAACGGCTCCGCAACCATGGAATAATTCAACTTCTTTCACTGAAAATCAGCAAAGATCTGAATACGAGACGAAAGATCCAATAATGGATGAAGGCCCAGCTTCCCCAGTAGCCTTTCTTTGCTCTAAACTAACTCTAAAATATTACAGGACTTAGAAGAAGGAGAACTCTTTGAAGCCAAGGAAACTGTCAAAGCAATTCCTTCAAGTAGTGTTGCCGATTTGCGGGAGATCCCATCAGAGCAAAAGGTTTTGATTTAGCTTCTTTTAATAATAATATCTTTAGTTCCCTAATACGTCCCATTTTTTCCCTTCGTCTATGAAGCAGCCAATGCTTCCCTCAATGCCGGGGGTGAATCCAGCTTTTTCTGTCAACAGTACAAATCAACATTTTCGTCCGTCTTTGCCTCCTCAAGGATCACCTTTTGGTCCGTTTTCGCAACAATCACGTCAACCCCCACAAGGGACAATGAGGTAAATAATATTTTTTTCTAACAAGTTAACGCTTAAATCATCTATTTACAGAGGAGGACCCAAAGTGACAATCATTATTCCCGATGGCATGTTGTTTATAGCAGGAACTGCTTTGTAAGTTTGCTGGCTATATCTTTGATGCCTCTACTCTTTACGTTATAAACAAATTTAGGACCCCGGATTTGCTGAAAAGAATCTTAATGAGACTGATGGCTCTTAACCAAGGACCTGACAAATATGTGATGCATTTACATCATCATTGTAACAAAGCACTACAAGATAGAATGTGAGTGCGAATTTTTCTGCGTTACTCAAATACAAGTTTTAGTCTAACAACTCCTGAGAATACTCCAGCTGGGCAAATCCTCAGAGGCTTGGTCACTATAATAGAACGTTTTGCGCAGTACAATGTTGTGAAGATTCTTGCCAAGCATAACTGCGATTTGGACAATAGGTTAGTTTGTTACCATTTTAATAAAATTTTTATTGGATCAGTTGTTGTGACAAAAATTTTTAGATCTAGTGACGTGATTGTTGGATGTTTACATCAAATTCGACGAGCTCAAATTACTCCAACGACAATTATTTTTATGAGCAGTATGTTAAAGTGGCTAGTTTTTATCGTGCTGTTTCTAGATGCTTCGGTCGGAGCTGTATTTGGACGACGAATCATTCAAGATGGTTTTGCTTTGGAATCTCCAACAGATTTGGCGTCAAGATTGAGTGCTTAATATTTTTGGTTTTGTTTTATTCGTTGTTTTACTTTGCTTGATTTTTTGTCGGGTCCAAAGAAGGGTCACAGAACATTCTATGGTCTTTTTCTTTAACGGATAGTGGAAAATTTTGTTACTGATAAAACGATGCAACTGATTCAAAAACGACAAGAATCCTCAACGCAATAAGAGAAATTTTGAGGTTAATTATTTTTCGCTTCTAGTCTTTTTTAATGAGACACCATCGTAGCCCCTTTGCGTTGTTAAATTTCTATTTTTACTTGGTTGTCATCATTTTTGCATTGGGTAAATGTTTAAATATGTTTGGAAGAAATTAGCATTTGATCGTCATTTAAAAGCAACAAGCAGTCAATCGGCATAACATTTCCACACAACATATTCACTGCTGTTTCTATATTCGGTTTTCTCTATTACCCGGAAGAGGAGAGTCCGACCCCGTCCGTCCGTTTTTCCATCATCACCCCACCCCTCCCCTGCCGGGGAGGGGTGTCTCTTACCCCATACCATGACCGCTTCACCACCAAAGTTGCTCGAAAGAGACTCTAAATACTTGCGTCCGACGGTGAACTTTGGTGGTGAAGCGGTCATGGTATGGGGTAAGAGACTCTCTCTTGTTATGTATATTAATCTTGTTTTTTAGGAGCTATGGCAAGAAGTTCACCGGGTCCATTGGTCCTTCTCAACTCGACTCTTGATGCCCAGCGCTACAAGACGCTACAAGACGATCCTGGAGAACAAATTTCTTCCTTTTGCGACCGCCAAAATGGGACAAGGATGGCTCCTCTACCAGGACAACGCTCTTTGCCACAAGAGTCACTTGCTTATGGGCCACACTATTCGACTTGCCAATGGAGGAAGTGTTCGACTACTCGGATGGTTCCGCGCGAATCGTGTTCAACTCGTTTCAGCTTCTCCATACAGCTCCGATTTGGATGTTATTGGACACCTATGGGCGTTTATCAAGACGAAACTCAAGGGAAGACGGTTTAGCTCTAAGGCGGATCTTTGGTACTTCGTACGGTGAGTTTGAGTGACAATTGCGCCACAAATTTTACGCGATCTAGTTCACAGTATGCCCCGGAGGCTCCAAGCGGTCATTGCAGCTAAAGGCGGACCTACAAAATATTAAATTTTTCGCCTCTATGTATGTGCCGCCAAGACTTTTGTCCATTGTTTTTGTGACCTTTTTGTATTTGACGCTTATTTTTGTTGTCTAAAATAAACTTTCGAGTTCAATGCTTGGTCATAGCTAAAAGTAGAGTAAAAATGCTCAAAAATACTTGTGACAACTTTTTTATAGCCTCGAGAAGGTTCCTAAATTTGCGTTTGAAAGTTGCCACCCAGGAGCCGCCAAGACTTTTGCCCATGACCGTATACAGGGCGTCCCAAAAAAAAATCACTTCGGGTCAAATTTTAAATATTTCCTGTGGCTCAAGGTAGTAGGTATGGTGGGAAAATTATTTTTTTGGGATCGGGAAATTTTGATGTTTTTTGATGACTTTTACTATATTATGACTCCCAATACATGGAATTTCTGGGCCACCATGGTCACCACCACCATGAGACTTTTGCCATAAAATTAAAACTTTGTGGTGCATAATAAACAAAGTGAACTGGATTCGATGTGGAAAAAGATACTTTATTAAATAACAACTCGTCAAATTAATAGCTTTCAATACCAAGATCAATAAATTCTTAATCGCTGTCGTCATCGACAATCATTTTCTTCCGTTGAGCTTTGTTGCGTCGGAATTCCTGAAAGTTAAAACAATTTAACTGCAAACATGACCAACGAGCTTAAAGTACAGAATTCTTACCGCATCTGAATCCGAAGAATTATTTTGGTTGTCTCCGCGATTAGATTCGGTTTCACTCTCACTCTCGCTAGGTCCAATAATTGGGGCGTCTTGATATCGTCGTTTAATAGAAGAAAGCGATTCAGGATCTAATTTTGCGTATGATAACATTGGGAATATGTGTTGAAATTACCATAATCATCCTCTTCCCCATGATAAGTTCGAAAGTCGCGCTCACGACGACCTCGTGCCTGCGTTGCAAACTGTGCACGAATTGCTTGACGATACCGTTCTTCTTCCTTGCGGACGGTTTCCTTGATGGATTTGAAAATTCAAACAACACAATGGCTCAAACCTGTCGGATCTTTTCTGGGTTCAATCCAGAATCAGCAATCATCTTGATCTGAGCACCCTTCCGCGTGCGTTCTGCCATCGACATAGTAACCTAAAAAATTTCAAAATGTATTTCGGTTATCAAAATAAATGCTGCTGATACCTTTCTGTGAGTCTTCGAATCTGTTGAATGAGGTCTGAAAGTACATCGCTCATCAAATACTCCTTGTCCAATCAATCCAGCACCTTGACGAAGATAAAGATGATTGTGGTCAAGCATCGGGCGCATTTCAATGTCGAAAATCTCACCACCAAGATAAAGTGACATGCTGAAAAAGCAATAAAAATAAGTTCTTCACAAAATTCCTTACGTTCCGTCCGACCATTTGACAATCTTTGAGTTGCTTTCATACTGTTCCGTACCATCTTCTTTGGCCACTTTCCTCCAACGAATTGTATTTTCTAGCTAAATATTATGAAATTTTATCTGCATTTTATCATTAAAAAAACCTTGAGTTTGAGCCTTTGTCGTCCTTCTTCGTCTGCTAACTCCTCTTCGCTGTCGGAGAAATCTTCAGGGTCGAAAGCCTTTGCCTCAAGTGAAAGGAAGTTTGGCAGTTTGACAAAGACAATCTAATTTTTTGAATTACCCAATTTATAAAAAATAAAAACCTTCTCTCCCAGATCTATGTCCGTTTTAGAAGAAACGGCCTGGATGACTGCTGGAGTTTTATCCTCTTCTTCACCATCTGGTGGTGTGCCTTCGTGGTCTTGTTCCCTTCCCTCTTCCAGATCGTTGTCTAAAAATAGGAAATAATAGTTAAAATTACACTGCTCACTATCAGCCTCAGAATTTGATGAAGACATATCATCTCCGAACAATTGTGAATCTTGCGATTGTTTCTAAAATCTGTAGTGTTTTTAGGTGTCAAGCTGAGTGTTTAGCAAATAGGTTTAAAACATACAGGCTCAACATCGTCCTCTTCGTCCGATGTTTCAATTACACGTTTTTTGGTTGGAGAAATATGATCATTGTCTGAAAGTTAATTACTGAAATCGGACAAAAAAAGCTGCTGGCCAACCTGGAGAGTTTGAAGGTGAACGGTGAGAAGGAACTGATTCTTCATCGCTGCTAATCGGCACTTGTTTACGACTTTGTGGTGACCTTTCCGATGGAGTAGAACTTTTTGAAGAATGTGCCGAGTTTGGCCGATCTTCATCCTAAAAAAAAATAATTGTGCTGCTAAAAAGTAGTTACTAACATTTTGCCTTTGGTCCCCGTCGCTATCGCTATTCGAGCTATCGGTTGACATTTATATCTAAATTTAATCCATACAAATGAAAGACAATAACAGCTTTAAAAAACTAGAGCAAGATTTAACAAAAACAAAAATACATCACAAAACAACAAGTTTCCTCAGGTTTAGCCTTTTTCTCCCTTTCAATGTTGTCGGCAATGCGTAGTTGAACAGGGGTTGAACGCGATGGACGGGATTTTTCGTCTTGAACTTCTTCCAAAAGAGCAGTATTGACGACTGGCTGCTTGGGCTTGATCCATCTGGGATAAACCTTGTCGTGTAACCGCCACGTTCCATCGACGACCGCAATGTGGTTTTCAAACACCACGTATTCGACAACTTCACGCGGCTGCGTTTCTGAGCCCAAAATCAATTTTCCGAATCGATCATAGAGCGCCAACTTTTGCTTTGTGTGCATACGCACAGTGACCTGTGCTATGTCGTTGCCCGATTGGTATGGCATATCCGAGCAGCGAACGGAGACAACTTGGTGCGGTTCAAGAACCTCGACGAGCTCCCATTTGATCGATCCCTCATCGACGTCTGGCCACATCTTTTGAAAAGCGTGCTCGGTGATAAGTTTCAAAAGTTCTGGCCGATTCCTTGCCATCAGAGCCTTGTGTGCTTCAACATAAACATGTTCTGCGGTCGGTCCAAATGTTTTTTTCGAAAAAGATGCAAATCCCTCTTTGTTTTTTATCCTTCTCGTTCCATTTCTATAGGTATGCCAGCGGTGCAGACCGGCTTGCGTTAGTTCCTTGAATTTTGCTTTGCCGTTGTCTATCGGTTGATTCGTCCAAAACGGCAGCTTTTCTTCCAAAGTGACATATGGATCAATAACAGCGTAAAAAGAAGAAGTCGTTGTTTGTGCCTCCTGCCAGACTCGAGGTGATATATCTTTGTACGGGTTGATGCCTTTCTTAAGCAACTCAATCCTCAATCGATCAGGCGGGAGGCTGTCCAATTCCTTTTGTTCCTCGTGATCGGGTAGATCCATGAGAATCGTCTTCTTGCCACGCAATTTTCGAAACGCACGTTCATTCACATGAGTGTTACGATTGGCTCGATTTGGGTTTGAGCGTCGAATTCCGAGATATAATTGCAAATCCTGTCTTTCCATGTGATGATGAACCTCGCGCCACGAAGAGCTCTTCAAAATGGGGAGTCGGTTGAGGATCCCCGTGAAAGCATCCTTCCTAAAATTTCAACAATTATAAGAGACTTCAAGAATAAAAGCACAAAAGAAAAATAATCGATGGGTAATTAAAATTAGATATTGAAGTTAATTTTTTCAAACTAAACGCTGTATACGGGGGAAATTATATGAAAAGGGCTACTCGTATTGACTATGCACATTATCGCCCACATAATAAAAAGCAGAGAAAAATCTTACCCAAAAGATGTCGTTTTCAAAGCATAAGCAAGAACTCAAGCAACAAAATTCATAATCTCACTAAAATACCCTACAAAAAGGATAGGTTATTAAAAACAGATCTTCAGTTTAAACTTTAAGTGATGAGAGTTTTATACGGAAAGCTCTGTGCTTATCAAAAGCAAATTAGGATTTTCTCTCCCCACTGCTTCTCAAATTGTAGTTTTTTTTGCGTTTCACACCTTTTTCTTTTGTGTTTTAATGTTTTTTGCTATCTTACATCTCTTTTTTAGGTTCGCTAGCCAGCGTTCCGTGTATGAGCCAAATTCAGGATATCTCACAGGTAGCTATTTTCGAAACTACAGAAAGTTTTACTTTGTACGTTTATGAAAGTTGCCTTTTAGTTACGTGAGTTTCTTACCGTGTATAACACCTTGACGGAGCGTTGCTTCAACAATTGCATCAGTGACTTCAACGCCCATAAGCCATTAGTACAGGAACAGGACTGTGTCAATAAGTGTGAGTTTTTTCGTTTATAATATATGTTGACTGCAGAACATGACAAGTTGCTGTAATCATATAGGGATTATAAAAGGATCCGGTACCGGAGAGGGACCACTTTTGGCTTGCTTAGTCGAATCTAGTGTTTTGTCGATACTTCTCTTTTATTCTGAAGAAAGAGATATATGCTGAAGCGATTGGTGCTAATTTAAGCACGTTTTGATAATCCTATTTGATGGTTTGCCCTGTGTTCTAGCCTGCTGTACTTTAACCACCGAACGTTATCACAAAGCTGATGTCACTTGGAAAGCTACAATATTAGCTTGAAACATGTTGGAAATACTATAAAATTAGCAACAATCGCTTCAGCATATATAATTACCCTGAAATCGAAGAAAAGTATCGACACGAACTGCTCAAAACACTAGATTCGACGAAGCCAAGCCAAAAGTGGCCCCTCCCAGCCACCAAAGCACCAAGGATCCTGTCGATTTGGAGAAGCTGATCGTTTGTCATATCTGTACTTTTTCAATTTAGGTATTGACAAGTCTATGCGAGTGAATCGTCGTTTGATGCTAAGTTTTGCTGAACTTGGGCCCAAACTTTTATTCAAGCAAGGACAACCTACAGGAACCGAGAGTGTAAAAGTAAATTTGCGTTTTTAAATGTTACAGTTATATTTTTAATAGGAATCCTTCAAGGAGAAAAATGAAAATCATCAATGAGCACGGTTTTCGTTGTGATGGGCGCAAAGCACAACAGGTTTTGCTTTTGCTGAGCTAAAATTGTTTAGGCTTTAGCGGATAGCGGAAACCCAATAGTTTAGATTCGAAATATTTCTGCTCAATTAGGCATGGATGCCAGCTCGGAGGGGGCGGCTTATCTTGTTCAAGGCAATACGCAAGTAAAGGATTTTCGAAATTTTTATAAAGGGCTCTATTTTTAGGTAATATGCCATGTTTATGGTCCACATGAGGCAACGCAGCGTTCTCGAATGCAAGACGATCGTTGCTTTATCAACTGCCAATATGAACGCTTTCTTAAAAGCCGTTCGAAAAAACAAAACAATATGAAGAAGTAAGCAAATTAGTTTGGCTTTTGATTTATGCGCTACTTTTTTTTGTATAATGGCAACTTTCAGACGGACCGGAAAAGATAGAAAAAGCGGCGATGTTGAAAGGCTCGTTGAAAAAACTTTTGAAACCGCAGTCTTTACAACGAATTTCCCTCGTTCGCAAATTGATATTCATCTAATGGTAATTGAGGTTGTGCCATTTTATGTCGGACTTGGGTTAATAGGTAACTTTTAAGGAAGACGGCTCCCTTCTATCAACTTGCATCAATGCAGCAACGTTGGCTCTATGTGACGCCGGAATCCCAATGAAAGGTGTTGTATCGGCGACTACTTGTGGAATAGCTGAAGGAACGGTCATTTGCGATTTGAATAACCGAGAAGAGAACGATCTTGTTCCTCGAATAACGGTTGATATTTGATTTTTACCCACAAATGCACGATCTTTTCAGTTGGCTACAATTTCTGGTCGAGATGAGTGTGTTCTTGTAGAATTACAGAATCGAGTGCATGTTGCCCACCTTCCAAATTTGCTCAATACCGGCAAAGTAATAATTTTTTTTTGTTTTGAGTGAATATTGACTTTAAGGCTATGTGTTTGGCGGTTCACGAATGTCTACACACTGCGATTCGCGACCATTTGCTTCATACAATTCCGATTTCTTAGGTCCTTTTGCTTAGTTGTTGTTAATTTTTATTATTTTATCAGTTTTTGAATAAATCTTTTGTCGACGTTTTTAAATGTGATTACACTTTATTTGGTGCAATGGAACTATTTGAAACTAGTGAATAATTTAACAATTAGTCGATGTTTTGCAGGGCGAACGAGTCTCGGGTTATGAGGCGATTAAGTGTTTTGAGTAGAAATTACGTTGCTTGCAGGGTGAGCTTTCATGTTTACGCAAAGTTCGATTTTGGTTTTATTTCATGTTTCTAAAGGACCGTACCTGATTTTCAGTCACTGTCGTCAGTTGCTACAAAAGAAAACGTCTTTGAAAGTTTAGTTGACAATCTTCTCAGCGAAAATCCGACTTCGAGTAAAATTTTATGTTAAATAGATTTATACAATAATAAATTTTAGATTCAAATGATAAATCACCAACCACTTCAAGATTGCCAAGCAAAAGCGGCTTTAGCCAAGTATCTTTTTCTCCATGCAAGCACAACTTAAACAACTGTTTAGCTGGCGAATTCACCAAAGATAAACCTCAATGAAGCGTTGGAGCTACTGCATGTCGCAAAAAGTTACAATATAGAAAAACGAACGACTCTTGTTCGCGAGTAAATTTTAATTTTGCAGTTTAAAATACATAGCTTTTCAGGTTAATTCAAAAGGTTGAATTTGATCCGGATGATACATTGAAGCTCAATGAAGAGGATTTAAGCACTGCGCTTGCTGTAATGATTGAAACAACAATTGGGAACTCAAAGTCGCCTTTGTTTGAGGCATTATTACAAAAGTTCAAAGAATTGATCGAGGTAACTTTTCTGAAAAAATAACTTGCTATATGAACTTGATTTTAGCAAGAAAATTGCGATATCAACGTTGATGTGTTAATTCGTTTAATGTCTGCCGCGAAAAAAGCTCAATACTATTTCCCTTCATCAATTCAAGAAAAACTTCATTCAGAGCTGTCAAAGCGAATCAGGTTAATATTTGATTCAATTCTTATAGCTTCATTTTTAGTACCACGTCAATGCCACGTCAACTACTTGGTATACTAAAAAGTTCTTTGCCAAATAACTCCGATTCGCTAAAATTGGTACTCTTTCATGATATAAACTAAAAGAAATTGATTTAGATTGCAAGTTCGGCTAAAAAGTTATTGCCAGTGATGAATGTTGACGAATTAGTTTCACTAATCGAACAGTTTGCATCGAGAGGAAATCGAGATAAGGAGTGTATTGATCAAGCTATAAACCGGATAGTCATGAGGTGAGTGACTGCAAGGTTAAGTCTATGATGAAACCTATAGTTAGTGCACGACTTGATACTTTGGTGGTTGGAGGGCACCTATATCTTCGATATTTTCACTTTTATTTTCTGGGTAAACGAGTACTCCGAGCACGAATTTCTCATTTTTAGCATAGATTTACTTTTAAAAACCTGACTTTTTCGACCTCGGAAGTAATGCAAAATCAAAGCTTTTTGTTGATATGTAAATTTGGTCTTTATGTATAAATTTATGTGTTTACATTTGGCTTTGTTTAGCCGTAATGGCGCATAGTTGGAGGCGTACTTAAGCAGGCCCAGGTTGGGGGTGGGTGCTGCAAGCTCTTTGGGAAGTAGTTGGGGATGTCCCTGAGCTATCTCTAGAGAGCTTGCAGCACATACCCTCACCCCGGGCCTGGCTAAGTGTAGCTCCAACTATAAGCCATTAAACTGTGACTAAATCTTTCGAGGTCGAAAGTCGGCTTTTTAAAAGCAAATCTATGCTAAAAATGCGAAATTCGTGCCCAGCGTACTCGTTTACCCCGGAAAAAGTGAGAATCTCGAAGATATAGGTGGCCCCCCACCACTAAAGTACGCACGGCTCTTGCATAATTACCTACATGTTTTAGCTCGCAGTCCTTAAGTGTCAATCAAGGCGTGATCTTATTAACCTCTTTGTGTCGCCTACATATCTTTGATGCTCGGATTATTAGGAAGGTTTGCATTTCTAATGATATATATTCTTGAAAATTATATGTAGATTGTCAATGATCTCAACGAAAAGGGTCTGATGGAGCTTAAAGATTGGAATCAAGTCACATCACTTGCTAATTCTTTAACCCGGTACATAACCCATATGAAAAATATTATTTAATTTTAGCTTGCGAGTCGCCAATCCCACTTTGTGGAATATGCTAGGTCAGTGGGTGGTAGAAAAGTTTGCGTCCAAAGATGTCGAGAAGATTGGATTATTTGTCAGTGGAATGGCTCATCTGGGTGTAGTAGACAAAGTATGCGATTTTCGGCATTGCTAATTGCAGCCTGAATTTTAAGCATGGCAGAGAGCTTGCGACACGATTAGCAAAAATTCTCGATAAACAGAAAGCCAAATCGGAGAATGTTTGGCTTTCCAGGTAACTTTTAGTTAACAACCGCCTTTTAAAGCTAATTTTAGCATGACATCATTGGCATATTATGGGGTGTTGCCTGGTCATCTTGCAGAAACTATATTAAACAAGGATTTTGTCGCCCATCTATGCAACTCATTGAAGTAATGATTAGTTTTGATTAAACCGCCTGGAATTTTAGGCAATCACCGGAGAACACGATGTACCATCTTTTGCGCATAATGCGTATAAACAGTTACGTGAAAAACTGCATACAAGACTATCACGGACCGACTTTTGATCTTGCCAAAGAATTTCGAGCAATTCCAGAAATGGTGAAGCTTTTAAGCATAACTATACCTAATCTTATAGCCGCTTTAGACACAAATCGCTAGAAAACTGAAATATGGTGGCAACTCAAAAGAAGAGGGCGATTTTCTTGATATTCTTTATAAGGCAAGTTTTCAGACACGTGTTTATGACAACGGAATATCTTTAGGTGACACCTTTAAGTCATTGTCGGGCTCCTCGTTTACATGAAAGCGGCACATATGTTGAGGCTGAAATCAAGGTAAAAACGATGAGAAACAATATCTTGCTTGAATTTTATCAACTGATGTAGCTTTTAATCGAGCGACGTTCTAACTTTTAGCCAGTGGAATTCGGCTCAACAAAATGCATTGCGGTTAATGAATGGGCAAATGACATCACGGACAAAAAGACCAGACCAATCCTCTATTTTCCTTGGAATCAGGTTGAGTTTTTAACTCTTCATAATTAACTTAAGTTTTTCTTTGCAAATATCAATAACTAAATCTATATGTCGTAGCCGATTATGAATCAAATAATTTCGCTAGCGAAAATCATAATCGGCTAGCCGATTATGAATGAAAGTAGCCTTTTCTAGAAATTTGTCGTCAAATGCAAATTATTATGTTGATATTTAATTGTTTAGTGCTGTTGTTGTCAAGGTAACTCCTGACGTTTTAACCACGTTTATTGAATTTAAACAAAAACATATCAACAAATTTTTTAGAGTTAAACAATAACGACAAACATAACAACAATAACAAAATTAACAAGCCAAAAGATTAGCAAAGGTTTACAAAATTATCCCTTGTTCAAGGAGGAATTGCTATGGTGACATCGGCTATTACAGAGGACGTTGGCTTTTCGACAGGCACACCGTCCATTCAAACATCCATTTGTGCAGTTGCAATGCTTATGGCCGAAAATAAAAAATAGTATTAATTTTTAAATGAATTTGACTTAATATCGCTGAACTAGATTAAAATAAACTCACCTTGCGATCCAGTCAAAGACTCGGCTCCAACAGCGGCTCGAAACGACGTCTCAACATGTGGCACTTCTTCAGCGGTGATGAAATTATTATAGGCCGGTTCGAATTGATTCCTTGATCCCTTCTTCAGCTCGCATTCATCACAAAGCTTGACAAATATTTCAATAATCTCCTTTGAAATTCCATGAGTCGCTAAGTTCCTTCCACATAATATCGCGCCCAGCGTGTCCTAGTCGTTTGTGAATGTCCATCAGTAGATTAAAGAGCTTCTCCTTCTTGACCACTCGCTTTGGTTGATTTTTTTGCCCGCTTCCGTGACTGTAGAGATTCGCCTGGTCCTGTTCGTATCGAAGAGAGAAACGATTTAGCAAATTGACAATCATCGCGTCATTTTTTCTTCTTATCGTTTCTCTCGCTGAATTCTTTGATTTTCACAACGATTTCATTGTATTTGTCAGCAGACGGTATCAAAATCTATAAAGCATGATTAACAAGTGGTAACTAGTAACGTATTACGGTTCAAAACATTTAAATTCTGGGTCGAAATGGGAAAGTTGCCGATCCGTACTCGAACTGGGGGAATTGGGGTTTTACCAACTACAATATAAAAAATAATTTGCATTTGACGACAAATTTCTAGAAAAGGCTACTTTCATTCATAATCGGCTAGCCGGTTATGAATGTTTTTCGATTATGATTTTCGCTAGCGAAATCATTTGATTCATAATCGGCTACGACATATATACTTTTAGATTCATTACACATACGATTTGACAACAAGCAATAAAAAAGACACCGATGTGGATGATGATCACGGTAGAGAGTCACGTCTTCTTGGGTTTCATCAGATGGGGATTCAATTGTTAAGAATGGAAGGTATTTTTTTTGTTTTTGTTTTTTTTTAATTTAATCAATTATTCAGGTTACAATCCGCTCGTCATTCTTGATACCGAGCTGAGGCAACATGCTGAAATTTCAGAAACAATATCTTATTTGAAAAAAAGAATTTCTGTATAGATTTTTGCAATCATGCTAGTTATCGTGATTTTTGTTTTAGTTAGGGTATTTAGTTAGTTCAGTGTATCATTTGTTTCTATGGTTTAATAAAAAGTTGTTACTTCATAAAAACTATGTTGATGAAACGTCATTTTGTGCAAGCCTCTATCATAAAAGTCGTTTGAGAAAGTTTGTAATTTTTGATCGTAATTTAGTAGTTTTTGGCTGCACTTGAAAAAGAAGTCGAATCACCGAGACTTCGCAAAAAAATAGATGTCGCTTCCGCTGGTTGGTTTGTTTTTAATTTTTTATACATTAAAATAAAATCGCAACGCAGTTTTATTCAATGAACGATTTATAACTTTAAAATTTTAGAATGTCATCCAGCTTGAGTGTGAAGCCGGGGTAAGGGTTATTTTACAATCGTTTTGCATACTTGATTTTAGAGGTTTGAAAAAAATGTGTGGACTATGCTCGATGAATCAATAAATAATCTTCGACGAAGCGATGGTTCATTTTCTCTATTTATGATCTACCGGCCTTCTGAAGTAACTTGGCTTATCAAAGAGCTTGACATACTAATGATGTTCATTTAGACAATTGTAGATGGAAAAGAGCTCACGTTTCCGATTTTGGGTTTAATTCCATTCCGAAATGAAAGAGATCCAATGAACCTGGTTAGAAATCATGAAGAACGTGAAATATATCCATTGATTCAAAAACTGGAGTCAGGTTAAGAATTTTAGCAATAAACAGCAATTTTCTAGATATCCTTCGATCCCTTCGATCGTGGGAGCGGGAAAAACGATTGATCAAGCACGTATAAATTTCGGTGATACGATAGAAATCCATTTCGAGACCATTCCATATTTGATCTATCGAATGAGGTTTGTTAGATGGCTTTATTATGCGGAATCCCAATACATATTTATTTTTCAACAATATACTTTGAGCATCATAAAATTTATTTAGAATTCGGGATAAAATTGCTTCACAATGGGTCAGTTGCGGAGTGGAAGGGAATATCGATTATTACATCTGTTTTGCACATCCGAAGGTTTGGTTATTTAATGTTTAAGCGATAGAATGGTTTTAGAAACTGTTGCACTTTTTGGGTGAAAAAGAAAAATCGCTTTATGAACTGACTCAACAACGCTTTGGAATTTTAGATGAAAGTATATGTTGCATTTGTAAGTTTTCTCTTTCAATTGACATCTCGAAATATGCACATTTAGGTAGTGAGAATTTGATTGACCACTCCTACAAGTGTGGTCACATGGTTTGTTATAAATGTTTGCCCCGCCTACAAGGAAAATGTCCAAACTGTCAACGGCATGGTAGCATCTATACGTATTTGTTATATTAATCTTTGATATTTAGGTCCACATTTTCGTGTGTACGTTATTTAAGTTCTTGTTGTGTGATCGATGGTTGTTATTTGGAGAAAGAGGGCAAACCTTTTTGTGCACATCCATGCGGGTAAGTAACTTTAGAGTAAGTACTATTTAAAAGACAAGTAACCACGGGTATGTTAATTATTCAGTTGCAATTCTTTTATTACAAAGTTTAGGTGCGTCTATGGACAATGTTTACCCACAGGGAAAATTAATAAGACGTATTGGGCATTCGAAGATAAAGATGAAAAAAGCAATCGTTGGAAGCTCGTGAGTTTTTTATTATTCTCAAAAAACCTACGTAGATGACAGTCCTCAAACTTTTAAATTTTAATTTAGAAGGCAGATCCGCAAACCGGCTTGCATCCCGAATGTCTTCGCTGTAAAAGATGTGTTTTAGAATTGATCAGACTGTATTGGTAGCTGTCGTATTTATTCTAATAGAAGCTCAGACTCCAATAGAAGCAATTTTGTGGTGATGGTTAAAAAATAGAAGCACTAACTATGGATATTCAGCTTAGTGGACTGAATACCCCGAGTTTTGAGCCTTTAAGAATATAAGTCTATATAAGAATTTTCTTGAGAAAAATAGCATTCTTTCACATTCGTTTTGCATAAGTAGTGACAATTTTGATAATCTTTTCTTGTAATTAGGAGGTTATTTGGATTGAATTTATAACTTAGACTAGGTAATTAAACTTCGTTGAGCTTAAGATAATTTATGCCATAAAATTCTCACAACTTTAAACATTTTGACGTTTTATAGTTTAATAGTCAATCCTTTAATAAAGAATCTTTTTTGCTTGCTAGGGAATGTTGTCAAGTCAAGTTCGAGTTTTCACATGAGATCTGGCTTCTGATAGTTTTCATCGGGGATTCTGAATCTACTTTTAGTTTTTTGGAAGGCTTTTGTAACGCGAGATATTTGGCATACAAAATTTGGCCTTTTTTGCCTGGTTACAAGCTTTTCTCATCATTTCTTAAATGTGCTCTGATGACCTAGTAGGTAGTGTGGCCGCGTTTGAAACTTTTTGCCCCTGGTTCGAAGTTAGCTCCTTCTTAGATTCTTGCATGAACTGCTTAAAAATCATTGCCAAAGTTCATTATTGCTTAATCAGTGCATATTTTATCGAATTCAATTCAATTGATCAAATCGCCTTTGAGGTTTTATAATTCTTTCAATACTAGTCCGAATCTGATTTGGAAGTTTGTTTTTGCTCACATTTATATGGGGTTGTAATAAAATGATTTGTACATTTTTGTTGTTTTTGGTACTTTCTATTTGAGCTAACGATTGTGTATGATTCTATTGAGTAAATAAATTATGTTCTTAAAATGTTATTTCAAGGGATTTCACATTCTAACGTTTATTTTACGCGAAAGGTCAAATATTTCCGGGCTCTCAGTGAGGAAAAAAGGGGGAATGAGGGGTGAGAGGGAATCGGATCAGTAGTGGAGAGAACTGCCCTTTAGGCGGGAAAAATAACATTCAAAAAGTCCGGGTCGAATCTTTCTTTTTATATTTTCACTTGGAAATGTGAATTTACAGATTGAAATTTCTTGTTTTTTGATGATAACAATATGTAATTGGTTGAGGCGTGTTAGATGGCAGACGCGAGTGTTTTTATTCAAAGCTGGTGTCGTCAAGAAACCGCCGGAGATTTCGCCGTTGCAAGTAAAGTTTTAGATTTAAGAGTCACCTCCTTGTTTTTAGTGGTTGGCGGCACCTAAACAAGTTCGGATTCCTTCTTCTTTACTTGACGATTTAAATGAAACCGAAAAATTACGATGTCGAAGCGTGGAGCGGGAGGTAATGTACAACACGTCAAAAATTAATTAACTAAAAACAAAATTAAAGTAGTTAACTTTAGGTTCAATTAATATCGCAGCTGTCACCATTGTTTCCGTCAAGTCTCTTACTGCAGGATTGGCGGTTTTTAATAGAATGCCAAAATATTAAGCAACGATTGGAACATTTGAAAGTAGGTATGTTAATTACGAGTAAAAATACATTTGAAAACCAAATTATGACTCTTATTTAGTTCTTGAAAAAGCTGGAAAATGAAAAAACTAAAACGAGGAAAGCCCAAAAATCGATCGATTCGTCATCGAAAGTGATATTTATGAAGGATGATTGTCAACTGCTTTCAATACCCGGATTTGCACTCAAACGATGGGAAAATAAGGTCATTTTTAAAATGAATATTTCATATATTATACGTTTTTACAACTTTTGTAGATAAAATTTCTGATTTTAGATTTCCGGTGCTCGGCAACTTATTCCATTTCGTCTAGATGAACATCCGAAGCTTGTTGTCGATTGTCGTTATTTTCCGCTACTTTCACCGCGGGGTGCAAACTTGACTGCTATGCAGGTATAACAGTTTTCTTTGTCATTAAGGCTGTTCAATAAGCTTATTTTATTTGAAATTCTTAGTTGCAATATCTGATCTCTGCAAACAAGACATTACAGCACCCTTGGCCACTCTATTTTATGAATTGGGGGAACGATAAAAGGCAAGCACAAATGCCATTTTCGTGACAATTATAATTACCCAAATAGTTTTTAGGTTTTTGGATCTTCAAGAGAAGCACCTTGCCAGTTTCTTTACAAAGGATCAAATAAATGTCATCGTTTCTGAGTCAAGTTATGTGGACGTGCTTCCAAAGCAAAATTTGATATATTTAAGTCCAGACGCTGATGAGGAGCTAACTCAAGTGAATTTAAACATATAGTTGTTATAAATAACGTGTTATAAATAAATAACATATAACACACTGTGTTTTAGATCAACTCGAAAGATATCTTTGTGTTAGGAGGAATTGTGGACCGAACTGTGGAAAAGAACTTGCATCCACAAGCCTCTAAACAAACAGCATTACAAGATGGCATTCTTTGTAAAAAGCTTCCGTTAGATCGGTAATTTTTAATCGTATGTTCGATAACAGACTGATAAATTCTATTATTTAAAAATTTAAAAACATTCCGAAGTTCTAATTGGATTCTTAATTAAGGTATATCACATGGAAAAGTGGCTCAAAGTTTCTTACTCTTCTCGCAGTTCAAGGAATATTACACGATGTCTACGAAAATGGAGGTGATTGGTCTTCAGCCATTAAAGACCATATACCCGTCCGAAACACGAGAGATGCTTCTGAAAAAAATCTATGCAGTCGGATAAAACATAAAAGAATACGACTTTTGGATAAAATTATACTCGAAGAAGTTGCCAAGAAATTGTGATATTTTCTGCTTTGCTTGTTTTTTTACTTTGTAATATAGAAATAAAACATCGTTAAAAATTTTTTTTGCTTTCAACGGTTTTATCCGTTAATTATTTCTCTGAATTTGGTACACTTTGTTTATTTTAATCATTCTTACTCAAACGTTGAAGCGATATCGATGAGTCTGGATTCTGGTGGTGATAGTGGTTCGTTTGGCTCTTCGTATTCACAGGACTTCAAAAAGTGAGCTTGTTATGAGATTTCTTTATCTAAATTAATTTTAGCAACTTTCTTCTGGAAAATGGGAATGCCAAAATGCTTTTAAATGGGAAAACAAATGGTATACACCTTGTTACTTGTTCAATATAACTTTTGATAGGTTTGTCTGAAGAAAGCCATTATTCTTTGTGCAATGAAGACAACGAACTGATCGATGTCAAACCAATTTACCTGGTTAATAAGGTTTGTTTTTTAATCTACATTGTTTCTGGCTAAATTATGATGAAAGAGGTTTAGGAACAATCCAATGAAGCAAGCCAACTTCAATTGCCATCTGGCTCATACGACGAGGATGATTGGATGGATGAAGTCGACGTTTCTCGTTTTAGCGATCTAGCTGCATCTGGATTTGAGATGGTAGCTCTTTACTCAATCATTTTAACACTTCAATGATCCTTTAGATTGATCGTTCCGATTCAAAAACTCATGGGCCTTCAACAAATGGGCGATGTTTTCCTAAACCCAACTATTCTTATTCTTGCTTAATTGCTCTGGCTTTGAAAAACAGGTAAATTGCAGTTGCATAAATAAGAAAATCTGTTTATTTTAGCCGTACCGGACGTCTTACAGTTTCAGAAATTTACGCATTTATGTGGTAATTTTTGATAACTAATTATCATGTTTAGTCATATTTTAGTGAAAATTTCCCATATTTCAAGACTGCTCCATCTGGTTGGAAAAATTCAGTGCGTCACAATCTGTCTCTAAACAAGTGTTTTATGAAAATTGAAGTTGAAACTCCCGGAGTGCAGGTATTTTAATTGAACTAGTTTTGATTACTAAAAATAATAATAATGACAGGGCCGAAAGTCTTGTTTGTGGATGATTAGACCAGAAAAAGCTGCAAAAATGGAAGCAGATTTGCAAAGATGGCGCGATAAAGACGCTGGAAATATTGAGGAAGCAATTAGACGACCTGGCACGTGAAGAGCTTTAGACAAATAAAATGCTATTTTGTTTAGAAGATATTGATGCTGTGCACGAGGGGCGACGAGGAGTAAATCATTTCAATACATCATTCCAAAATTAAATACTTCTAGGTTCCCCGAGAAGATCGCTCATTACGCACCATTGAGAATACAATCTATCCAGCGATGAAAAATGTCTGTTTAAGTTTTAACTTATTGATAATAATTGTTTAGGTGTTGATTGTACAAAGTGGAAATGGAATCGCCACCACCCACGGTCACGCTATTGAAGCATTAGATGCTACAGGTCATATTGAATCACCTCGACGCACCGTTCCACATGCATCCTCTCATCCTGGTCCCAGCCGACCTGTCCTGGATTTGAATGATCGCGTCGGAATTGGATTCCCGGAGACAAAGGTCCAAAATAAGGTATATCTTTATATTTTAAAGCTCTAACTTGTACGCTTTTTATGTAATTTTTTTCAGACAACCATCACATTTCCTGTACGTGTTTCGGCTAGAGACGACCGTGGACTGATCGCGGCCACAAGTTCGACTGCAAGGCAACAAAATCTCAGTCATAAACCAAATATTCTGAGGGTCAGTTTCGTCTGCATATTTGTTTGTACATGCTGCTGATTTAGAGGTCGACCAATGCTCCGCTAATGCTTCAACCGCAACCTCGCCTTGCGAGCTCCAAGACGCCAGTAAAAAGCCTCAGCGAACTTCTACCACTTGATTACATATCGAAATTGGAGATTACGCCAACGAAAGAAGAAAACTCGCCAGAGAGGTTAGTAATTGGGAATTTTTGCATCTGTATCAACTGGTTTAGGGACTTTCTGTGCTCGTTTCGTTCAAATGTTGAAGAATCACCGGTGCGTACACTCTTCTCTTCATATGAAGCTGCTCATGCAGCACTCACAAACAATTCACTTTTAAACTGTGCTCTTGAACAAAGCCCCTATAAAGGTGATTCTCCTGTCACTTTCCCCACGAATCTTACATTATAAATGCGATCCTCATATTTTGAAAACTACTTTTTGTTTATTTTTTTTGTACTCTAAATGGATTTCGTATGCTTACATTATTTGTACATATCTCTTTTATGGGGCTGGTTACCTATGTACTAATTCTGCAAAGTGTCAACATCTTGTATATTATTTCGTTTCTTTTTTGTTGATCTTTAGTATTAATTGCCGGACTGTCTTTGTCGTCTACCTCAATCTCGACTCTGCTTCCCATTCCATATGCAGCAATTTTGAAACGAATAAATATTATTTCCCAATGGCTTAAAGATAAAGAAAAAGCACCCTACACTTGAGTGTTTCCTGAAATTTTCTGCCAGAGTTTTTACAAAGCTTTTTAGATATGAATCCATTACCCGAAAGTTTACTCCAATATCATCAAGCGAAGGTAAAAAAAAAATTTTTCTGCGGTTTTCTATTTTTTCGTTTAGGCTCCGCCATCAATTTACTACATCCCAGAGTTCATAACTGAACACGATGAGGAGGTTCTCTTAAAAGAGGTAAGCTTATGCAGCTTACTTACAGCTTACCCAAAATCTTGCAGCTTACTTTTTAGGTTTATCAAGCTCCTAAGCCTAAATGGGAGGTTCTATCAAATCGGCGTTTGTTGAATTATGGTGGCATTGTGGGAAAGAAAGGATTAATACCGATGAACGACTTTCCAACGGTAGATGCTCTATGCTCATGTTTTATTTAATTTGTAAATAATTGATTTAAAATTTTAGGAGTTGACCAAAACAATACGGATGATCGACAAGTTACAAGCCTTTCCATCGACACCAAATCACTGTTTAGTCAACGTAAATTGTTTTTGCTTTTTTCCTCTACATAATTTGTTTTAGGAATATACACCAGGTCAAGGAATTATGGCGCATACTGACGGCCCAGCATTTTATCCACTTATTTCGACGATTACTCTTGGAAGTCACACCGTTCTCAATCTATATGATTCATTTCCTTCTGAGGTATGTATCAATTTTTCGGTCTACTGATGTTCTGAGATCCATCATAGTTTATTTTTGCATGTTATTAAAAGATTACTTTAGAATGAAGCCACTGAAAAAGAGCAATTTCGAGCGCTTGAAACCCGCTATCGAGGCTCTATGTTATTGGAAAGAAGAAGTCTCGTTTTTATTACCGACGATGCGTACAGTAAAATGTTGCATGGCATAAATGTAAAGTAAATTTTTTCAATATTATTTTCACTCCTTTTTAGGAAGTTACAGAGGATGTTTTAAATGAAAAGACATGGAACGTATTGCCAGAACGTTTCGGCGAAAGAATGACGAGAAAAACACGGTGAGTATGTTTCAAAGTGCTTCAAACCTATAATTTTTCTTAACAAAAGCGGTAAATTCATAGCAAAACAAAAGTTATTCAATAAGTAATAATATTATACTTTAGTGTATCACTTACTATACGATATGTGCCGAAGGTTTCACGGAATGCAGCTCTGTCGATGTTGTCAAAATGAACCCTTCTTGCTAATTTGTTGCTTCGGATATTTTTAATGATGTTTGGGTGAGACTTGTGATTTTCTATTGGCTTGTGATCCGTATAAATTTTTAAAGACCTATGAAACATAAAGCAAATGGAAATGATGGACAAAAACTAAAAATTTAAGTCAGTCTAGATCCCCTTTCATGTACCCGAACGCCAACTTGTCGTAGATGTTTTTGAGTGAAACTCTCGTTTTTTTTGAATCACCAATTGTGAACCTTACGGTCGCTTTCTTCAACAGAATTTCCGATTCTCGTTGCGCATATAGAATGGGTGGAAAGGAAGGGGCGGATGGTTGCCCCATGAAACGACGCTCAACCCATCATCCACCTCCCAACTTTTTTTTTCCGTCATTTCTTTCACAACAACTTGAAACTTTCTTTTTTTATCAACTTGATTTTGAGCTGAATTCTTTATCTAACTTCGTTTGACCACTACGGTTTTGAAAACTTGTCTTTTCATAAGCTTACCTAAGTGATACACCTGAATTTCAGAGAAAATGGCGTCAGAGAGATTTTGTGGGTGCAATGTGGTGACTGCTGCTGGTATCGCTGTATCACTTCAGGTGCTAAAAATTTGTGTTGAATTTCGGGAAGGTTACGGTAACTCATTCTGACTTATGCCCACATTTGATTACGGTATTTGGAGAGTGTTCGCCGTGCATGATAACTCGGAATGTCTTACTGCAACTCAAATTTCTCACTTTCCCCATTCCAGTTGATCATCGATTTGTTGTGTCTGGCCTCAGGCGGTATCATTCTTGATCGTTACCGTACCTGGGAATCATATTACACCCAACCAACGCCCAACGCAACCGAACAAGCTGAATACACTGCTGCGGTGAGTTTAATTTATGAAATTCTCAAGGAAACGAAATTTTTAGGGAAAAACGCTCACTGTTCAGCCGAATAGGTAAGCAGGAAGCTCATTTTTGGTAAAAAAACTTGACGTGCTTTTATTGTTGGCTTTTAATTTCAATCAGTTTTCAGATGGGCGATGGCATGGGTCGAATTGGGAATGGCTTGGTATAAATTTTATAAATAAATTCCAAAATAATTCAAATCATATCAACAATCTAGGTACGTGGCTTTTTGCACGTTTTGGCTGTTCTCTCTTTTGGTGATTTGTCTCTCATTCAAATACTACCGTCCTGTTTTCGTCATTCCCAATTTCATGGCGCTTCTCGTCGGCATTTTCATGCATCTTTTTCGCTTTTGGTTTGTTTAGTTACAAGAAACAATTGTCTTGAAACAAAAATTTTTTGTTCTTTCGAAACTTTCGAGCTTCGGTTTTTCCCCCGAAACCTTTCTTAATCTTAAAAGTGCTACGTGTGCATTTTGCCTTATAAGAAAGCCTAGTGTACCGTACTCATGTCTGTAGAACTGATTACTGTGTTCTAGGTGCAATTTAAAGTCGAATGCACGTTCTACAGGCTAGTTTAAACAAGGGGACGTCGGTGTAAAAATATCTTACCACCAGTTTCACTAGTACCGTAATCGAACCATTTGTGAATATGATATGAATTTTCCTACAGTATCCTATCGTCGTTCTATAGATAAAGTATCCAATTTCATTTTGAGAAAATCATTTGAACGGTATATCTGTGCTGAAACTCAGCTCACTCCAATCCGATTACTGTAGCCCAAGATACTGTATCAAAGTTAGTTACCGTATTTCTTCGAATAGAAGGCCGGGTAAAGAGTATCATCGCGTACTCCTGCGTACAGCCTCTTTGTAAATTTTTTTTTTCATAAAAACTTTCAATCAAGTGCTATAGAGCTGGAAAATGGGTCAAAAATCTGTTAGGTCATGTGGTATTTTTGACCCATTTTCCAGCTCTATAGCACTTGATTGAAAGTTTTTATGCAGAAAAGAAATTTTAAGAAGGGGCTGCTACGCAGGAGTACGCGATGATACTTTACCCGGTCCTCATTCGAAGAAATACGGTAAATAGTGATTAGGTCCGTTTTGAAACAAACGCAGAATTGTTTGGTAAAAAAAGCTTAATTTTGGTTGAGTAGCCTGGAAGAAGCCAGCGAAAGAGTCAATCTGATTCACACAAAACTCAAAAAAGCTATCTTTTCTAGTCAAACACTTTAAGATTTTGTTAGTAGTAATACGAGAAAAATTCTCAGTTATAGGAATACAAACCAAGGTGTGGAAAGTAGTCGAGCATTTAACTGGCTTGCTGGCTTGGATCCAGTTATCAGTCAACTTTGGATTAGGTAGACTATATATTTTCAAAGATTTGCTTTAATTATACTTAATTATACTTTAATTATACTTTAATTATACTTTTAATTATAATTTAATTACACTTTAATTATACTATAATTATATTTTAGTTCGTCACGCTACGGTCCATGAATTTCATTGAATCTCATGATTTTCATGAATTCTACCTCTCGCGTAACGGTACGCATACCCCCTTGGTCTCTCTTAATCATTAATCCAATTCCGAAACCAACAGTAAGGAACCTGAAGTCCTTCCATTATTCCATGCAAAAACATTCAAGCAAAACGCTTGTTTGAGCACTTCTGGAGATGATATACTGTCCCTGCTCTAGTTGAATATCTTTTAATTCTTATGCAAAAAAATTCAAAGAAATGGGGCAATTTTGAAAGCTACGAAGTTCAACTTTCGGTTCATTTTCTTAGCTGCTCTTTGTCTGAAATTCCCAACGAAACTAGAAGATTTTGTACTGAGGAACAAGGGGAACACTTTGAGGCAAATATAGTAGACTGAGTGCTTGAATGGAATGAGATGGGGTGACGGAGGGTCAATCACCTCCCTCCCTCCCGCCATCCTCCCTCCATCCCTTCTCGTGATGCTTGATGTTTGCTCAGCCTAACCCTTCAAAGGGGATCCAAGCGCACTTTTTCTTCTCAGTTTTTTCCGGGGAATTTCGGGGAACGTCTTCATCTTTCTTTTCTTCAAAAAGGATCAACCTTCCTTTTTTCTTCTATGAATACCCCAAAAATCAAGGGGAGCCGAAAAACATTCAATCTCCACTATAATAACCGCTTTATTCGATTTACACGTCTCAAACATCAGCACATTTAGGGAATAAGTACGGAAATTTAAAAATGAATGAATCAGGGATGGAATTTGAAATGAAATTGAAATGACAAGGATTGAGGGTGGTAATCTAGTGTCTGAGGAAAAGGATTAGTTGAGAAGATCTACAAAAATGTGGACTTTCTAATAAAACAATTGTTCTTAATAAAACAATCACCAAAAGGTAGAAATTTGCAGGAATATTTATCGGAGACTTTTTCTCTCAATTTGATTTTGAGTCTAAATTGATCAATTTGTAAGGTTAAGAGTCATTTTTGGTGCCGAATATGAATATGAGAAATGTGCTTTGAACAGTTTTAATGCCAGTTTTTTTTCCGGAGAAGATCTGCCAAAAATATGTAGTCAAAAAATAAAAATAAAGAAACCTTCAAACAAAAAAGGAAGTTTTTTTAAAACAAAAAATCGAGTTAGAGTTTTGTTTTTGGGAACTTGGAATTGGGGGGGTAAATGAAACCTCGATTGCGCACTGATTCTGAAGCTCTTTGCACACAAAGTTATGCCCAAAAAAAAAGTTGGAAAAACCTGGGTACTGGGCAACTGGAAAATGAAAGAATAAATGAAAGAATTTGAGTAAGATGAGGAGAGGTGTCCTTAGACTATCAAACATATTCACTAAACGAAAGCTATAGCGAAAGCTCAAATTTGTGCATTAGGTGTGATGGGAATGAAACGAGCGCTCACATAATCCTTCAAAAATAAAAATATTCAGTAAAGCCCTGTTTAATAAAATATACTGTTCGAAAGCCCTGAATCTCAGCAAAAATAAGTGGAAAAAGATTTTGGAATTGAGTGACTATTAAAGCACTGGGTAACTTTTAAGTTGAAAGGTCAAAAATGACAAAATGACACATTTTTCTGGGAAATGTATTCTCATAAATAGCTAGGCTTTTCTGTTAAGAAAATAATGCCAATTAAGGCTTATTTGAAAAAATAAAAGAAAGAAAATAAAAGAAAGAAAATAAAAGAAAAGAAATCCCTTTGTTTGTCTGTCTGCGAGAGCCAGATCTTTGTTTTGAAAAAGCCTTATTTTAGGCGAAAACGCCTACTTGGAACTTTTGATTCTCATATCTCGATAGAATCTAAGCTTGGCGCTTGAGTTTTGCAAGAAATATTGAGTAATTTATATCCTTAATATACTGGAAAATTTTTGAAGGAAAAGATCCGTGGAAGCGATAGTTGCCGTCAGGCGCAGGTAACCAAGTCGAGACTGGACGGAGCTGCGGTTACTTTAACACCCAGGTTTTCTATAAAATAAAACTATTGGGTTATTTTTTGGTTTGTCGCCCTTTACTAAAATAGCTAAAAGCTTTTAGAAAAGAGATATCTTAAAACGGTTTTTACCAATCGATCCGTCTGAATTCAGCTTTAGGATGAGCTATAAAACGTCAAAATTGGACAAATTAAGGTACTCTCCCAAAAATCGGAAAGGACTCTTCATCAACCCAATAGATGGTACAAAAAGAAGATATTAAGCTGTAAATTTGTGAGGGGTTTTCAGAGTCGTAGAATCTTATTGTCCGGGCTTATGTTAAATGTTATGTTATGTTTATTTTACAAAACTACTTTACCAATGCTTCTTCATCAAATTGAAGTGAATTGAAGGAATTTGGTACTTGTTGATCTTTTTCCGTAAATATCGATGTTTAAAGAATTTCACCAGATTCACAATTTCATTACTATTCTACTAATACTAATACTGTTGGCCAAGTTTTCTATAAAATAAAACAACTTTAATTAATGCTTCTTCATCAAAATCTAACATTTTTCTACAAATAGAGCAAAAAAAGTAAAAAAAAAAGAAAAACTGGCATTTAAAACTGTTCAAAGCACATTTCTCATATTCATATTCGGCACCAAAAATTACTCTTAACTTACAAATTGATCAAATCAAATTGAAATTAGACTAAAATCAAATTGAGAGAAAAGTCTCCGATAAATATTTTCTGCAACTTACCTTAATTTAATTGTTTTATTGCTTTATTATAAAGTCCAGAGTAAACCGAAATAAATGCATTGTTCGTTGGCTTTTCTTCTTTCTGCACAATGTGAATAGCAAAGAGATTTTGATGAAATTAAAAATCAAGAAAAAAAAGAAAGGAAAGAGTTCAAAGAAAAAGCTCACGTTTTCATCAAAATTCTTCCTCTGGCCCTGCTTGCAAAGCAGTGATACTTATCCTGATTGATATCCATCTGCACCCGGGGGCATCCAAACAACCCACCATCAATTGCAAATATCTCACTGAATCTCCCCCCTTCACATACAACAAACACCTGCGCTCCATTTCTCTACTAAAAAATTTCGACTAAAACCCAAATAAAGTAGACTGTGAAGAAAAGAAAAGTAAGTTTTTGCCGGAAAAACAAAGTCGGTTGGAATTATTTCAGTAAAATAGAAATTAAAATAATGAGTAAATGGATGGAGAAATGGATAATGAATTAATAAATTAGTAAATGGAATCAAGAAAAAGCATAAAAGAATAAAATGAGTGACGTTACGTTGCCAATAAAGAAAATGAATTGGGATTGATTCGAAACGGAAAACTTATTTAAGAATTAGTTAAAAACTATTCCGTCATTCTCACAAAATTCATAAACTAGGGGAAATGGAAAGAGCTCTGAGTAAAGGATATGCTCCAAAAGGGGGGGCATATTTTAGAAAATCCTGTCGTCGGTGACTGATTGATTGTCAATCAAGTCGCCAGTTTTCATTCAATCACCGATGTGATCGACTTTAATTCTTGTGAATATGGATCAAACGCGATCTGATCAAATGTTCTGAACTTTCCTACAGTATCCTATCGTCGTTCTATAGATAAAGTATCCAATCATTTTGAGAAAATCATTTTTGAACGGTATATCTGTGCTGAAACTCAGCTCACTCCAACTGATTACTGTAGCCTAAGATACTGTATCAAAGTAAGATATCAGATGCTGGGAATGAAGAGTCGGTAAATATCGTAGGGGATTCCTCGTAGCAGTTTCGGGGGTGTTCTTTTCCCCTCAAAATCTAATCAAAAAAAAGAGAGTTGAAAATGGCTCAAAAATCCCAAGTGTTAGGTCATGGTATTTGAGTCATCAGCTCTATAGCACTTGATTGAAAACTTTATGCAGAAAAGAAATTTTAAAAGGGGTTGCTACGCAGGAGTACGCGATGATACTTTACCCGGTCTTCATTCGAAGAAATACGGTAGTTAGTTTAACCAAAGTGAAAAGCAAAGACAATTAAAACAATTAAAATTTAGCTGTTCTGCTGGCTCGAATTCTGAAAGTGAGCAAAACTATCAGACGGTTTCCTATCAAGCGGTAAATCTTCATCAACATCAAATCTTTTTAAAATCTCTTCAGGTTGGGATCATCTACGTATTACCTTGTCCTGTTCACGTTTTTCGTGAACATTCTTTATTCTTTCATCGCTAAATATCACTCGTTTCTTCGATCTGCACATGGACACACGCCAAAGGCTCTGCCAAATCAGAATCTTTCAAACAAACCCTTTCAGTTTGTCCAATCTCGGCCACCAAGAACCTCCTATCCAGAATAATAACTATTAAAAATTATTGATAAATCGCATTTCAGGAATCAAAATAGCATTCTGTTTAGTGGGAAATGGCTGGTTTGTTTACTGATTGAACTAGTGTAAAAAACAGGTTAGTTATGCTTTGTGCCAGTTTTTTCTGCAACAGTCATTTGCGCAACTGGATCGTTTGCGCAACTCGCCATAACTTTCTTCTAAGTCGGACAATCCTTATGATTTTGGTTTCATTTTGTAGATCTCAATAAGTGGAACAATTTTGGTTTCCCATTTTTGTTGCACTTATTGAGATCTACAAAATGAAACCAAAATGATAAAGATTGGTCCAGCGGGAAGAAAGTTATAGCGAGTTGCGCGAACGATATAGTTGCGCAAATGACCCTGTTGCGCAAAAAAATTTGGCGCAAAGTAGCCTACCCCCAAAATAGAAAATGATTACGAGAAAGTCAATCAAAATTTCTTTTGTTCGGGATTTTCTTGATCTTTATCAATGAGCAGCGTCAATGTTCGTTTTGATGGTTTCCTTGTTAGCCAATAAATAAACCAATGCTTTTGAGGGGGAAATTTTCATTGCACAATCTTATTTGAAATGATGAATGTGTGAGTCACACAAACAGCTGCTACAACAGAGATTGACTGAGAAAAAGAGGAATTGAGGGGAAGATCAAGGAAAGGATCGGAGATATCGATGCACCGGAAGATTGAAGAGGGGAATCGATACCCATCGCTCATGTTTTTAACGTTTCAAATCCGAGGCTTAGCAGTTTTTGGGAGAAAAGGGGAATCCTGCTCTTGGGCTCTCATTTTTGACCCAAGTCTCTTAAGAAAAATCTCAAGAGCGGACAAAAAGAGGGAAAGAGATCCCAAATGTCAATGCACAATTTATAAACAAAACGACGAAAAGAAAAGATTTGCTATTTTATTACGATAGGAAAATGTTTAGGGCCTTGAAAAGAATCGATTTCACTTTATCGTTTGTAGAATAGGCAAAAGGATAGTAGGTATCCAAATATAAACGTTGGTCAACTTTAGAAACTATCGTACTTGCTCTAGTTTTTACTGTAAAATATCTATTTTATTTTGATTCTATGAGGTTTACAAAGGATATCGAAAAAATAAAGTAGAATCGATAAAAGTTAGAGGCAAGATTACGCATTACAGTTAGAGGCAAGTTCACGTTCATAGAAGTCGGTATGGACACACTTAGTCAAAGAATTCATTCGTTTTGTCATTGTAACGAAATAGCTGAATGATAAAACCCTTATTACTGTAAATGATGCAAGAAACAATGACTTTGTATCTACACGGTCGTTTAAAGGGGACCAAAGAAAGAAAGAAAGGAAAGATATAGATGGATCAACTCTTCTTACCAATGGATGGTAGAACGATATCCCTTTTGTATCTTTATGATTTTCCTCATCCATCAATAAACTCCGAGTGGACGAGCTGAATTCTCATCCCCCCAGTGAGTTGTTCTCTATATGAATTAGTCTTTCTCTCGCCAGCGGTGAGCTTCCCCAAGTGGTCTCAAAACGACAGTGTAATAGGGGACCAAAAGAAAGAAAGAAAGGAAAGATATAGACGATCAACTCTTTCTTTCTTTTCTTTTCTTACCCATTGTAAGGGAGGAATCAAGTCTCGACCTGGCACCTTTTTTTCTCGGATTCCATATATGTTCTGAGATCCGATTCCTTGAGGTTGGGAGTTTCAGCCAAAAAGTATTGAGTATTTTGTCACCTCTGAATACCAGGAGCTTTGTTAAGTGGATCAGAGAATCAACGAGAAGCAGAATGGATAAAGCTAAAAGAAAGGAATATGATGTTTTCTAAATCACCCATCTTTAGAGAACCCATGGCCATCTGGCTTCACTTGACTCAAGATGTCTTGTACCAAAGTTAGGACGTGCAAAGTGCCAAGATTTCATGCCTTGTACCTGCAAGAGATCAACTCGTTCTGAATAAAAGATCTGGGTCGGAATTGTTTAGCTGTATACTGTAACTGTGTACATGTTTATTATAAAGCACTGTGCATCTTTTTGTGCACTGTAAACGTTCTCTCCTCGAAGACCACGGGCCCTGTCACCCGCCAGCTGGTAAATGTTTCGATTGAAAAAAAAATGGAGACATTTTCGATGGACAGATTGTCATCAAAGAGTTGAAGGGAAGAAAGGATTTGAGCCAGATCGGGAAAGGAAAAGAAGAGAATGGATGGGCCTGAGAGAAACGATCGAGATCTCTTTTCTACTTTTCTTTTCTCCTTCCTTTTCCTTTCTTCCAGTTGCAGCTCCATCTCTCTCCCCTCTCTGGAGTTGGTACGGTACGCAAAGAAGTTTGGGAAAAAGAAAGAGAAAAAAGAATCACTTTTATGTTGTCCTCCCTTCCAATTCGAAGAAGACCAACGCAAAACAGAGACTTAAAAAGAGTCTCCCATTCTCTCCTCTTTTTCATTTCCGAGCTACACACCATATTTTTCGAGAGTTTTTACTAAATCTTTGGAACCGATTTAGACAAGTGTTCGAACAAAAACGAGATTGAAAAATAGTTAAGTGGGGGATAGATGAACGAAGACTTTGGAGCTTCTTCGACACCCAGGGAACCGCAAAAGAGTGTACATTGGTTGATCGATTGAAATCAAATCTTTCTTGTTTTTCTTTCTTGTCTTTTCTCGTCGCTTAATGCAACTTTTTGTTCGTCTTCAGTTAAAGCAAAAATTCTCAGTACAAAGCTGACTTTAAGACTTAAGCATTGACAAGTAAAATAAGTCCAAAAAGCAATAGCTTTACAGAGTTAAATAGTGAACTTATGGATTAAATTCTTATCTTCTTTTATAGAGTTCTTGAGAGAGATGGGATCGATCAAATTGGGAGAAAATGTGCAAGGAAAAGCTCGGGAGGAGTTGGGAGATGGCTTGAGGGGTGGCCGAGGAAGAGTGGCTGTGCTCCTCCCTCACTAGTTTAGGTTCATCGAAGGCCCTATCCCTTTCTTCCTCCCATCAACAGACCAACTTTCCACTTCAATCTCACTCATTCATTAATTCATCAAGATTTCCTATTATGCAAATTTCAGATTTCTATCAAGTCTATCAAGTCAGGAATCAAGTCTGTCAACCTAATGCGCTTTAAAAACGTTTCAAAACTACCGTAATCTGGCTCTAAATTTATAAAAGATCAACTTGATATCTTCTGTAAGGATGAAAAAAGGGTGCAGAAGAGGGAACGAGAAGAGAAAAGGTTATAGAAGTTGAGTTGAGATGTCTAATGTTGTTGATGTTGAATGTTGATGTCTGAAAACGTGCTACTTAAGAGAAATACTCTGACAGATGAAACTTCTTTATTAAAATGTTTTTCAATTTCTTTCAATTTCTTCAATACCCATTCAATTGTTGAATTGTTGAATTGATTGTTCTTAAGGATGAGATCCTCGACGGTGATTCTCTGCCGCTTTTCTCGGTCTTCTTTTATTCTCCGATGTCATCGATGCCACAAAGCAGAGTCAAGGGGAAATACGGAAAAATGGAAGCAATTTCGAAATAGCCTTTATTCTTATTCGAAAGTTTAAATTTTTCATAGTATTCTTTCCATTCTGGCTTTTTCTTTCTTCTCCATTCTTTCCATTTGCAATAGTCTCGGGCTTTATTTCTTTCTTTTTTTTTGAAACAGCAGACAAGTTTTTTACTGTAAATCATATTCAGAATGTGCGGATAGAATTTAAAAAAGTAATATATCTTTAGCAAAGAAGGGCAATGATTGGGACGAGTTAGAGTCGCTTTTGGAGGATATTGATGAGGAGAAACACCGGAAATCGAAGGAGCAAGAGGCCACAAAGACCCCAATCACAGGAGAAGAAAAGTGGGGGAACTGCAAGAAATTTGTATATTTAGCTTCTCGTTGATCTTATGCCATTTCTGAGCTCTGATTCTTGATCCACTTAACAAAAACACAATTTTTCAGAGCTATGATTAGTTTATTATTATAGTATATTTAGATAATAGTATTTCTTTTCTATATCCAGATCTTTTTCGGGATAAAAGTCGAATTTCAGCCGACGTGAAGAGCCCTTGTGAGGACTGGTGTGTGCGGATGGGGAAAGGTTTGTTCATTCTTTCGAAAAATATCAAATTATTCTATAGAAATGCTTTAGATAATGATATAGATTCAAAATAAAAAGCTTAATGTCGTCGAAAAGCAGATGCAAAATGCACGAAACATCAATTTTTCAACTTCGAAAAGCTTTTGAGGGTACTATAGCTTTGCTTTGAGTTGAGCTAGGACGGGAAAAAGAATTTGGGAATGAATACGCTAGGCTCAGAAATGTTTAAACTCACAAATCTATCTAATCTATCTAATCTATCTAATTTTCGAATTCCAGGAATGCGCTTATCGACAAGAAGGGCGAGCCTCACCTGTGAGTGCGTTGCCAAGTGCCCTGAGCTTGACGGAGATCCCATGGGACAAGGTTTGACTCATTTATTGATGGTGAGATATTGATGAGGAGATATTGATGATATTAATGATATTAATGATATTTAATAGAAAATTTACTTGGAATTGAAATTGCCAGAACATATATTTGGGTTAAGAACACAATTTTTTTGATGCTCAAATTTACAGGTGGCGCCAACAACAGAGACTTTCGTTTCGCTGTGCGATCTGTACCGCGAGCGGTGCTTGTGCAAGAGAAAGAGCTCAATAATGTGCCAAGCATGGTCACGCTAAGGTCGAGAACTGTGGAAATATCGATATCAATTCCGAAAATTTGATTCGGATTAAGGTTTAGTGGAAAATCGAAAATGAGAATGCAATGCGGAAGGGGAAATTTTGAGGTCAATGACTTTTCGGACCGATGACCAATGAAATGACCAATGAAATGACCAATGACCAATCAAAATCTCCCATTTCAATTGCAATTATCATTTTCTATTTGACACCAAACCTTAATCGATATGTAAATAAAATGAAACATATATGCTAATTTTGATAAAATTCAATATTCAGGTTCACCTCGAGTATTTAAGGAAATGCAAGAAATTGGAGGAGTGCAATCGCCGACCATATGGCTCAATTCCCGGAGAGAATGAGCGATTGCCTTCCAGGTGAATAAAAAAGAAAATTGATAATAAATGATAAATAAATATGGAAAAGATATGGAGATTTTCTAAGCCTTTATTTTTTGGCTTATTTCTAAGCCATTCTAGGGTGATGCGCGAGTTGAAGAAACGCCGGGAGTTGCACGCTCGAGTGGGAGGAAATTGTTGCGGGTAAGTGATGGGAACTCTTTAAAAATCTATTTCTCATCAAATCAAATTTTAAACATTTAGGAAGCTGAGAGTGACGATGAGAAGAAACACGTCTACCCAGTCATCTGGAAATTCTGCGATTTGGATGGGAAGCCACAGGATAAGGTTTATTGATAATGATTTCAATTCTTATCTTATTCTTATCTTTGATGACATTTAATGTTTAATTATGACTCTAGGTACACACACTTTATAGCTATAGCTAGATTATCGTAAATTACGATAAGAACAGAATCAGACTGATTGCTCACTTGATCTACCGTCTAACTTCTAACACCACCTTCTCCCTACAATCGCCTAGTCTAACTTCGCGTTCCAGCCCCTAGACTTTTTCTCCCAACAAACTTTTTTGATACCAAAAATACTAGCTTTTGAGCGCTATCGTTTGACACCATGTAGCACACTGTAGCATAAAGCAGAAAGAAGAACGGCTCGTTTAAGGTAGACTACACGACTGTACACCCAGCATTATGGAAATATAGAACGATTTTTAAGACGTTGATCACATCGGTGATTGATAGAAAACCCTTTATATTTAAAGATCCTCCATTTGACAAGAGATCAAATTTCAGGAAGTCTCCCACCAAGAGTTGATCCCAATCACGCTCCAGTCATCCCACGGGAAACTGCATCAAGCCGTTCTTGGAGGGATGTGATGCTGACAACAATGGAGCCATCTCCATCCGCGAATGGGGAAAATGCCTCGGATTGAAAGAGGGCAGTTTTCGCAGTATCAATAATTAGAATTCAAAAGCCGCTTAAACGGAGATATTCGAAATAAAAGAAACAAGGAGGAAATTGAGAGTTGGAATCAGTACCTCGTATGGTTTCTGGATTTTCAAACAAAATCTTAAACCGTACGAGCCACTACTAATTACAGAGCTAGCAAAATCATCAAATAAACCATAAAATTCTAAATCTAAAATCGGGCAGTGAGATCCAAGAACGATGCTAAACCCAAAAAAAGGATCAATGAATGATCTGATCTTGAGCAACACTGCCATTTTTTTTGTCTAAAATCTTCTCTGTTATCATATTTATCTCTTTTATCTAAAATTTACTTTTGTTTTTTTTCTTTATTAGATAATAAAATATTTATAGAGAATTTTCTTTGGTGAGAATTGAGGTTTAGAAAATATGAAGGCAATATTAAAGGCTGATACAGATAAGTGTTTCTGATTTGTACAGAAATGAGGGGAGCAAAGAGAATGATTGAAATCTCTGGGCTTTGGCTGCTTTGAAAATGAATTTGAGACCAAGGAAACGGAAAAAGAAAACGTTTAAAAGAGATAACTGGGTTGAGGTGATAAAGGAGTAAATTTGAGAGCTGAAAGAATGTGAATCTGGGACGAGTTCGATGTTGAAACTTAGAATGGTGGATCAAAATTTGACAATATTCAAGTTAAAAGTGGTACTGAAAGAGCTAGGGATAAGGGTGATTCCATTTACGCGGTGCAATGATGTGTTGATTGTCTCTCCTTGATTCCATTTATGGGGTGCAATGATTGTTGATTGTCTCTCCTGATTCCCTTTGTGCGGTAAATGATTTGTTGATCGTCTCCTTGATTCCCCTTCACAATCTCCAACCATTCACGAATGCATTCCCCACACTGAAACGATATTCTAAGTTGTTTTTTTTATTTATGTAATTTATAGTTTGAATTTTTGAAAGGTTTAAAAGCTTATTCAGCAAAGTTCCAAATACCCTTAAGACCATCTCCATAGATTTGACTTAACAGTACTTTACAGTACTATGTAGTGTCAATTCCAGTAATTGCTGGCACATTTCATAATAATTAGCTTTAACTATAAGCCTATGAGTTGCAATAGGGACGACTTATAAAAAGAGAGATGAACAAAGGACAGAAAGATTTCCCATCCCTTACATGTAGCTTTCCGATGGCGCTCAGTGTGCCCGCACGCGGCCCACACGCTGAACTTTTGCCGTTTTGGGGAAATCGATGAGCCTGAGATCTAAAATTTTGATAAAATGATCATATCAAAATGCTTCTCTGAGACTCACGTGTACATTCGTTGTCAATTGAGACGATGATGGGGTCCATTTTGAGAGCATTTTCGCTTCTCCATCCCCGTCAATCCGTTTTGCGTCTCGGTTCGACCAGGCGTCGGCCAAATTTGTCTACGAAATTGAGTGAATTGCGACTTTAATTCGATAATAATGGTAATGGATAATGATAAGAATAGATAATAATAAAATTAGATCTCTTTTCCTTGGCATAATCTCCCAGACAGGAATTTAGAATTCCCATATCCAACAGCCACTTTTGATTCTCCGTCAAGTGGCGGGCATTTACAGAGTGAACTCTTCCCCTCGAAGTGGCTACAGTAACTTCAAGAATTGTCTAACTTTACGAAATTTGCCTACTTCTTGATTGAAACCTCAATTCTCTTTGAATTTCTTCTGTCGGTTGGCTTTGGCAGATGAAGAAGTGCATGTTGGAAAAGTGTGGTTGAGGGACCGTCTCTCCAAGAATTCCCTCCCATAACACTCCGGACATGTAAAAACTCGTCATCTTGATCAGTCTAAGAATTGAATAACATTGACTGGCTTACAACAAACCATCACTCCATTTCTATTATCGATCACCTGTTTCACTGTGTTCACCGCACTCACAAATTCCCCGCCCAACATGTGAACGAAAGCCGCCGCGAGTGAGGGGAGATCTTTGATCTAAAAATTCGAATTGAAAATGATATAAAAATGAGTGTGGTGACTAAAAAATACGCTTAAGAAAAGGTGCAGTGCACCCAGTGAACCTGAACAGTCATTAAGATATACCCTGCCTAGTCTTCACCGCTTGAAAATCATGTCAATGAGTTGCTTGAAAGGGAGGCATTTCTACTAGCGAGTTACAGTAGCTTTCCCTGGGGCATTATTTAGGAACTGTCGAATTTAATATACTGTATTCCAAGACGAACAATATTTCTATCAAGAATCGAGCTTCGCCACTCGAAGACACCGTGTATCGGCTGTTCGGACTTTTCAACCAATTTCACCTCGGCGTCAACTTTTCTTCAACGTTTTCTAGAATTTTTGATTATATATGTCGTAGCCGAATTATGCCGGAATACTTCGAGCTTCGATTATAAACGAAAGCGGGTCTGACGTGTTCAACCATCAAGTATTTAGTATCATTCAACGCAGAATATTACTGATTATGTTAAATTTTAAAAATAAGAAAGATTTGATAAAAAGAAAAAAAAATTATGGGGCCTCAAAGTTTCCTCTTGAACAAACAGTTTTTTTGCTCTAATTTTTACCCCCCCCCCCCCCTTCTTTTTATCAAATCTTTCATCTAAAAAATTAACATAATTATTAATGATTCTGCGTTGAATGATACCAAATACTTGATGGTTGGACGCTTCCTAGATCTACACATTCATAATCGGCTTTACGGGGGTCCCGCCGATTTTGGAATGAAACGTTGAAGCGCCGGTAATTTTTTAACCTAAACTCAAAAATTTGGTACCAATCGACGCAGAATTTAATTCGCTACAGGATGATATAATATTGTCCTCATACATTAAAGGGTTGCTCTACCAGAAAGATTTAACAAAAATTTCATTCATAACGGCTACGACATATATATTTCTCGTTTTCTGAACCTTTCTTCACGGGAATCTCGAGCAAAAATCGATGAATCACTACTTGTGGTTTTGAAACATAGAACTCTCGTCGGGGCGATGGACACATCTAGAAATCTTCAGCTATTATCAATTATATAATCTCTAAAAATCTTGATTGGATTAGAATATTGGGATTACTCTTACTTTTCACGTCACCTTGAGCTTGAAAGATGAACTTTCGCGGCGATTGCGGGATTTTTCGCCGATCACCTGTAAATCGGGATTGTCTTTGCTTAGAAATAGGTCAGGGAATCTTTTTTTTAAAGTAATAATAATAAATTTGTAAATATAAATAGTAATAAAGTTTTAAATACTAACGCCACATTGGGAGAAATCGTTTCTTCCCTATGAATGAACGTGTCCACTCTAGAGACGCCCAATGTGGAAATGACCACCTGAAAAAAAGGAATTCAAGTTCAAGTAAAGCATAACAAATGCCTTCAAGTTTCAACTGTCCAAGCAACGAGTTTCAACAATATTCCCCTACCACATTGCACATCAATCCAAGCATTTTCGGGGTCAACAACTTTTGTGGCTCATTTCTCTCCAATTTGTTCCTATGCCTGAGTTGGTGATCGAGTGACTGAAATGGGCAAGTTTTTCATAATCAGTCGATTCTTTTTTGACTTGTAAACTAATACTGTAAAACCTCCACTTTGAACCAACCTTCCCCACGTGTAAATATGCTGTTTATTGGTGAGAAGCGCCGAATGGGAGAGCCCTGTTGAGACGTCAACGATATCGGCATCAATTTCATGTTTTACCTGAATCAAATTCTTTCATCGATTTATTTCTACATAAACTTTTTACCTTGAAAACACCAAGAAAATCCTTTGGAATATCGGGGCTATGCGGTGGAATCTTTGTCCCGTTTTCTCCCTTGCTGCTTGAGCATTCCGCAGCAGCCATCACAAACATTTTCATCCGAAAATGTTGAATTCGAAACATTTTGATATTTCTAGAACCTTTAAATCATGTGGATTTTTGCCCCATTCAAATACTTGATTGTCTTCAGTGATAGCGACTGTATGATAGTATTTTTGTGGCCATCGTTCGCACTCGGATTTCCCTTTCAATGCCAGGGAGGGGATAAGGAAAGCTTCTGGAATTTTGAATGATAACAGAAATTTGCTATGAGATCTTAAATTAATGTATAATTTGATTGATAAGAAAAAGGAAACTGACCGTGAATGTAAATCTCTTCCTGATGTCAACGAGTGTCCCAAGTTGTCCAAAGAGTCCACAACCAGTTGTGTAGATTGATCCCGGACTCACCAAGAAGCACTGAATGCGCCTGTCCACAAGAGATTGCTTTCATTTTCTCAAGCTAAATTTTTTCATCTAATCAAATCAATCAATAAATCAAATACAATAGAAGCTATGAACAGATTTGTTTCTATTGGGTTGATGGAAAAGTCCTTTCCGATTTTTTCGGAGAGTACCTAAATTTAAACCACTTGACTTTTTATAGCTCATCCTAGAAGCTGAATTCAAGACGGACGATTGGTAAAAACTGTTTTGAGATATCTTTTTATAAAGGCTTATACAGCTATTTAGTGAAGGGCGGCGGAGCCAAAAATGGCTGTTTTCACGTTTCGTTAGTTTTTCGTGCAGAAACCTAGGCTAAAAACATGTGTTTCGTGATCAGCGTCAAAAATCCCCCCCTAGACACGCATTTTCAGAATCTTAGCAAAAATTTTTGAAAATAATATCATACGGTGGAAGTCGAACCAGCGACCCTCAGATCAATAGCCTTTCCGCCGCTTCTTTTTTGCGATTTTCCTTCGTTTTCTCGTTTTTTTTTTGTTTTTAAAAAAAGTTGTCCAGCCAAAGTTCGCACATGTTTCTGGTTTTAGGTTTCTGCACGAAAAACTAACGAAACGTGAAAACAGCCATTTTTGGCTCTGCCGCCCTTTTACTAAAAATAGCTGTAAAAACTTTTAAAAAAGAGATATCTCAAAACGGTTTTTACCAATCGATCCGTCTTGAATTCAGCTTTAGGATGGAGCTATAAAAAGTCAAAAGTGGACAAATTTAAGGTACCTCCGAAAAAATCGGAAAGGACTTTTCCCATCAACCCAATATTTTGCAATTATTTAATCAATTCATAATCAATCAACGGAAAATCGGGACAAATGTCGGTGTCCAAGCGTCCGGTTCCTCCTCTTCTTTCACCCAATCCCAATTGTCCGTACATTCCCCAGCCTGTAACATTCTATAAAACTTTTAAATACTATCAGTTACCCCCATGTATAAACACTTCCATCATTGAGCACAATTCCTGGAATGATATTGACCATGGACAAAGAGATTATCGATCCCCAATCACCTGGGGATTACCTGAAAGAAAGCTTTCATCATTTCTTTTACAACAAACAGTTGGTGTTTCGTGTTTTTGATCGTCTCCAACTCCACATTGCCCATATGTGTTTTGACCGAAAGAATAAAGAAGTCGATCTGTGGAAACGATTAGACAATGCACCGCACCACAGCTCACTGGAATTCAAGTTTTGTCTTTATTTGTACAATTGAATACTTGCGTTCAACTTTCGAAAACTACTGTAATAATATCTTTTAGTGTTTTTACCTGCAAATGGTTTTCCCTTTTGGTAGACGAAATGTTTTACGGGTGGCGGTGGTGGAGGGGACTTCTTTGCCTCATTATCCCTTTGCTGTCATCAGATGACCTTTTAGGGATAATTCCTAAATTTTTGTTCCTCCCTTTTCTTTTTCTTTTCATCCTACCTCCTACATCGAGCACTCGTGGTTTTGTTGACTTCCAAAAGAAACCAAAAATCGTCAATTTACCCGTTTCACCCATGAAAATACTTCAATTTGCGCCCTGCACACTGAGCAACCTTTAGAAGGGGGAGACCCTGGAATTAAATATTCATAACTTCTATTTAATGTTAATTTTGCCATACTAACGCTCAAGTCCATGTGGAGAAAGTAAATATGTTGAAGAGACGAGAAAAAGCACCGTCGATGCTGATGGATAACTGGAAATTGGTTGAGACGTTCTCTCGAAATATTCTCACTTTGTCCGAATGTTTGTGGCAAGTTGTAGACAGGCCCAGTGTTTCGATGAAGTCTTTGGCCATCCAGCAAGAAGATAAAAGAGTTTGTCAACAATTTTTGAATCAAGATGCCCATTTTAAGGCAAGTAGCATACTAATTATCTGAAATACTTTGTTTATCTTGTTCTTGAAATATCAAGCACCCTTCCTGCGTCATCACGGTGCCTCCTTCTCTCAGCTGTGATTCGTTGTTAAGCAAAAAAGGTTACAAATTGAAGTTGATTTGAGTTACTTCTGAATATAGGTGAGTTGGAATATCTATCTTTGAATCTTGTACCTTTGTGCACAACGAAGGCACTTCTCCAAAAAGAATGTTTCAGTAAAGGACCAATGGTGACGCAACTTCTGGATGTGCAACTAACCAAGCACTAAAGTGATTTAGGCATTACTTTTTGTCTTTTTTATTGTCTTGCAACCCTGAGCTCGAAATCGGTGGTGTCTCGATTTCGTTCAGTGCTTCTTTCATACCGTCGCACAATCGAATCGAACCCCGTTTCTTTGGCGTTTCATTCTTGTTCGATGAATCTAGTTAGTAGCTATTAAACTATTAAATAAAAGCAAAACCACCTTGACTTGAGTGGGCTGCATCCATTCCTTTAGGTGAACATTAAGAATCTACCTGAATTTTTATTTAAACCTACACTAACCTAAATACATCGCACAATAAAATAAAGATAAAAACAAATATAACATTAACGCTTGAAAAATTCACGTTCAACACGGGTAGTAAAATCCAAAAAGATTGTTATATTTCTTGAGTAAGTTCTGCACCGTGGCATGGAAGTTGTGTGGTCATGATCGAATACAGGTGCCCAAAGAGCAAAAGCATCCGCTTCTGTTGGCTTGTCGCCCATCAAAATTCACAAGAACCAAGCTGAGAAGAGAGTGATCGGAAGGCACGATCAGCCGCTTCTAGCACTTCATCCATAGACTTTGTTGCCCAATCTTGATCATCCAAATATCCAATCATCTCTCGTCGTTTCCAATCTTGGCAAAATGACTGTGAGAGGCCAATGGAACACTGACGCGACTCGAGATGAGGTAGATCTTGGAAAAAGTTTCGTCATGTCGCCAAACAACGTAGATCTCAATATTCCGTAGAAGAAGATCGATCATCGACATATGGGCCATCATTTCAGCTAATTGAACCTCGGTTAAATGAGCTGAAAGTTTCACTCCCTTCTGAGCAACAAAATCGACAATTCCAGGGAATTCAGCCACAAGAACGTTGTTGAGCTTCAAAATGGTACTTTCCCGGTGGGCGAGATGAAATCCACATTTGGTCGTTGTCGAAGCTGATACGGAAGTCCGGCCATTCGAAAGAACGTTTGCGCAGCAAGACAATCGGCATACTCTGCCAATAAAGCTGCTCAGTGAGAAATGGTGTGAAAAGAAGAGCATCGATCCATTCACTGTCCGCATTCATTGAGAGAGTTGGAAGCAACCAAATCGCTAATCTAAAGTTGGAAATCCATAAAACGATAATAAATACAAACCGATTCTTAAATTCATTAAGCAAAAAAGTTTACACTAACAATAACTATAGCTAACCTTAACAAATGTAATGAAACAACTAACCAAATGTCGATGTGGAGTTGAAGAGGAGCTTGTCGTTGCCATTTTCTGTAAAAAGTTGCAATTAAGTAAACTGGAAATTAATTAAAGTTAAAGATAACAAAAAAAACGTTGAATCTGCAAAAAGGGGACATAAAGGGCCAGCTTTAACTTACAGCAGACTATGTAATTTGTTATCCAAAACACTAGTGATGGACATGAAAATGAATGTTTCCTGCAAAAATGCTACAATTTTTATCTTCAAGTTGTTCAACTTTTCCAGTGAAGCAGAAAGCTTTGAAGATAAAAAAGCCTTCTTAAATAGTATAAAGCCAAGCAAATACATGCATACTCTTTACACTCGCTCTACGACGTTTTTCATGCGATGTTTCAAAGAGACTTGTCCCTCCTCCCCTTTCGCATGCTTTCCTTCCATTTGTCGTCGCAGAGGTTACTGTTTTCATCCTTCCATATTTTTAAGCTCCAATTTATTACTTTTTATCTTTGTTTGATGGTATTTCAACAATTTTAATGTTTCCTTTAGATGTCTTCTGACGATTCGGATGACGAGGTGCAAAAAAGAATTCCGAGGACGACGAGCCCCAAGGCAGAAACGATGAGGGAAGTGATCATGATTCGGAGGTTGACGACGGGCCAAAGAAGAAGAATCGCAAGCGAAGGGTAATTTTTAACTTTAGGATTTTAAAACCTATTATAAGAAACTCTTAACCTTTGTGTTTAGATAGCTTCCGATGATGAAGAGGAAGACGAAGAAGAGGAGGAGGGAGGAAGAAGATTCAGATGACTCATCGGCCAAACAGAAGAAGGGCAAAAAGGTTTTTGTAGCAGAGAATATAAAATTTATCGTGTCTTTTTAGAGAAAGAAAAAAGCCTCGTGGTTCGGATTTTATCCTTCACGATGTCGATGTAGTTTTTGATCCCATTTTTCTAGTGTAATGTTTTATTTAAGGTAGATGATGAAGACGCTGAAGAGGGACGACTATTCTGACGATGACATTGGAGGCTTGGACCGAACGGTTATAACTTTTTATTTTGTTTGAAACTGATTTTTTTGTAGGAGCGAGAAGAAGCCGAAAAAACCATGAGGGAACTTGACGCGGCAAGAATCAAGGAAAACGATCGGCGAAATATGTTCAAGTACTGCCATAGTTGATGCTAAAATGAAAACAAATTTTAGGGATATGTCAGCCGAAGAGATTGCCGAATATTATGAAAAACGCTATCGCGATGAGGGTAGAAGTGCCGCTGTTGAGTACGATGATGATGCAAGCTATGGTCAGTTTTGAAAAGCAAATGTAGTTTTGGTATTGATTGCAGCTGGTGACATTGCTCAAAATGGATTGCTACCATCAACGAAAGACCCAAATCTCTGGATTGTGAAATGTCGAATCGGCGAAGAAAAAACTTGTTTGCATGCAGCTGATGCGAAAAGCGCTTGCTTTTGAGGCCACCCAACAAGTTGGTTATCTAAATTTTAATTTTATGTTTTTATTTTAGCCGCTTCAAATCAAATCAGTGATCTACAAAGAAGGTCTCAAGGGAAGTAAGTTGAAGCCTTTCAAGAAGGAGTTTGACTAATAAATTTCAGTGCTTTACGTTGAGGCTTTCAAACAATCGCACGTGGCTCAAGCAATTGATAGTATTGGCGCACTAAATGCATTCAACATTGTGGTATTTTAGTTTTCATTTGACCTGAAAGATTTTCTCATTTAATAGATGGTGCCAATCAAAGAAATGGTGGATTCTCTGCGTGTTGTAAAGGATATACCTCAACTGAAACCGGGGACTTATGTACGACTAAAGCGCACGATTTACAAGGACGATCTGGCTCAGGTAATAAGTCATTTCAATAATTATAATTCTTATTCAGGTCGACTGGGTAGACATTGCACAAAACAAAGTGAACCTAAAATTGCTACCTCGAATCGATTACACCAGAATGCGAGGAGCGTTGCGAACAGTATGTTCCACTCTTTTTTGTACATCTTTCAATTTTCAAACTTTCAGGAGGCCGACCGTGCTTTCAAAAAGACACGGCGTCCAGGACCACAACTCTTCAATCAAGAGAAAATCAAGTTTGTCGCGTTATCAAATGATTGAATTCCGTTCTTTTAGGGAAATTGGAGGCGAGGTTACAAACGATGGTGATTTTACGATCTTTGAAGGAAATCATTACCGACGCGGGTTTCTCTACAAAGCGTTTCCATTGAATGCAATTGTGAGTTTCTGTTACCAATGTTTTACATGCAGAAAATCTAGATTGATGAAGGAGTGAAGCCATCACTTACAGAACTTGAAAAGTTCCAAGAAACGTCCGATGATTTGAAACGCGATTGTTTGTTTTTATGAACTACTGTAGTTATTTGATATTTAGTGGAGAAAACGTCAATTAAAGGATCAACAACCAAGTTCGCTCCTGGAGATATTGTTGAGGTAATTTAGTGAGAGTTTTTGGGGGTAAGTAAATTTTAGGTGGCTGAAGGTGAACTTGTCAATTTGCGTGGTAAAGTTCTCACTGTTGATGGAGATCAAGTCCACATTATGCCCGACCATGAGGATTTGAACGTATTATTTCTGTTATGAATTGATTTTATTCTCAATTCAGGAGGTTATCACACTCAAGGCCGTTGAACTTCGCAAACATTTCAAACCTGGTGATCATGTGAAAATCATTGATGGAAAGTAGGATTTTATGTCTAGATTTTTTACAATAAATTTGAGGTATGAGGGAGATACTGGACTGATTGTGAAAACGGAACTGAATGAAGTGGTTATCTTCTCCGATTTAACGAACGATGAAATCAAATGTCGCCCTAGAGACGTTCAACTGTGTGCTCAAATTTCATCGGGGGTGGATTCACTTGGAAAATATCAGTTCCATGTATGTTTCCATTGTTGATAAATTATATCTAAATGTTTTAGGACCTCGTACAAATTGATCGTGAAAACCGTGGGAATGATTGTGCGACTGGAAAGGGAAACTTTGGAGATTCTCAATATGTATGGAAAGGTGAGAGATTTTGCTGGGGACTTTTTTATACGATGCTTTAGTTGGTTCGGCTGAAACCACTGGCCATTATGGGGAAAAAAGAAGACAAGTTTGCACAAGCTTTGGACTCGACTGGAAACAGCGTCCAAGTCAAGGATATGATCAGAGTTATCGACGGACCTTATCATGTTAGTGTTAAGCTTGCAAATTGTTACCCATTTTTAGGTGAAAAAAGCCGGAGAAGAAGAATTGACGGGTGAAATCAAACATCTCTTCCGGAGCTTTGCATTTATCTACTCAAGAAAGTTCACCGAGAATGGAGGGAATATTTGTCTGCCGACCTAAGCACTTGACTCTTCAAGGAGCGAAAAATGAACGAAGAGGTGAGTTTAATATTGTTGTTACAGTACTTTCTATAATTAGGAGATGGACCAACATTGAATCGTCTTGGTTTCCTTGCTTCTCCAAGACACATGGGCGCTGCCACACCAAAAGCAAACACTCCATCAAACGCCGCAAGAACGCCTACAATGGGTAACAAATAGGATTTATTTGTCACCTACGAAAAATCTTATAGGCATGCTTGGTGGACAAGGAAATTCCCGGGTCAGACGTGATGCTGCAATTATCGGCAAGAGCGTCCGGATCACTCAAGGTCCGCTCAAAGGGTGAGACTTTGTTATAGGGTATTCATTTACTCAATTTTTATAGATATCACGGTATTGTCAAGGATGCAACAGAACAAACTGCTCGAGTTGAACTCCACACAACATGCAAGGTTACTAATTAATTAGTACTTGCATAGACGCTTGTTTAGACGATTTCGGTTGATCGCTCACGTATCCAAGTTGTTGGGGATGGGACCCCCGGTGGTGCTCCTCGTGGTATCAGCGAGTACATGCGAACACCAGCTGGTCCGTGCTTATGACACTGTTATTAATATTATTATTAATAACAATCAATCAATAGATTGTTTTTTGTTTACTTTTTACTAACAGATAAATTTCAGGTCCTACTGCTGGTTTTGGCAAAACTCCCGCATATGCAGGTTGAATTTAATTTTCGTGGAGCTTTTGAACTGCTTTCGAATTTTAGGAAGCAAAACTCCTATGTACGGAGCTCAAACTCCCGCAGCAGGTGATGGTGGCCGCACTCCACATTACGGAGCTCAAACTCCCGCTTACGGAGATGGTGGCCGTACTCCAGGATATGAAGGTTTGACTTTTCATAGACTTTACAAAAATTTTTGAATAGGTGGACGTACTCCAGCTTATGATATTGGTGGCCGTACTCCGCATTACGGGGGAGAGGTAATTTGTGTTTATTATTTTTAATGTTAATAAATTTAGGCAGCGCGCACACCGGCATATGAAAGTGGAAGCAGAACACCTGGATATGAATGTGTGTTTATTCCCTGTTTTTGAACCCAAATGTATTTTAGCAACGGGTGGACGGACACCAGCCTACGGAGGGCAAACACCAGCTCGTAGCGATCGGCATAGTAGTGGTGAGTTATTAAACCATTGAAACTAAGGAAATGGTCGTAATGATTTCATTGATTTATTGGTTTATTTTAGAATCTCCTGATTCATCTGAAGACGAAGAGCAACACGAGCCTCGCGAAATGGAGTATGAATCCCCAGCCTCGCCCATGTACTCCGCACCAACTCCTGGAAGCATGAACCCATTGACGCCGGCAACTTACGATGCTCCGGCAAGCAATTACAATTACACCACACCGATGTCGCCAAGCAACTATTATTCGGCTCCAACTCCATACTCAAGCAACGATTACGACAATGCAATTCGTAAGACCATGTTTTTAGCGTTGTAATGCAAGATTTTAGCACAAAATTACTTGGACGGCGGCGAGTGGCTCGAAGAAGGTCTTGTCGTGCAAATTAAGAATTCCCATGAAGATGAAGATGTTCGTGGAATGAATGGAGTTGTTAATAGTGTTCACGAGGTAAAATTTATTATCCCTTCCCATACACAAGTGTTTCAGGAGTATTGTATTCTTTGGTTGTCTGATATTGAGAGAAAGTACGCGCCTACTACGAACAACTTAACCCAATTCGCCCACAACAAGGAGAACAGGTAACCTATTCTGGATTTAACTTCGTAATTACACAAATTTTAAGACGCGAATTATTTATGGTGAAGAAGCTGGGTGTGTTGGAACGCTTGTATCTGTTGATGATAATGATGCAGTTGTAAAGGTAAAAGCTATAAACCATATTTCACCATGCATAAACGATAACTTGACTTATTGCTTTTTAGGTCGCTGAAGATGATGTGCGTCTCGTCAACTGGAGTATGTGTTGCAAGATGCGAAATCGTTAAGGAGCGCCTACGCCCAATCTATTTGCACTCTAGGTCTTTCTTGAGCCTAGAATTTATTTTCATAATTTATTGTTACCGGTTAGTACTATCTTTATTCTGTTTATAAAAAAGTTAATAAAGTTTTGTTAAAAAATACAGTAACTACGAATATGGCAACTTTGTTTTTGCATCAGAGGCATGAAAGCAATAAAAAAATCATCGGAGAGAAACGATTGTTTCCATTTGGGCGAATGACTGTAAATTTTGGAAAACCAAGATTAGTTCCGGACATTTTCGTGTTTCCCAGAAGCAACATGCGGCTGAAAGTCGAGTACTCCCCTGTTCAGGCTCTTGTGCGTCATTCAGCGAGTGATTTGCATATTTTTGCTCTGATCCCTGGGCGCTCGTATTGTGCCGTTTGTCGCTATTGAATGCTCAGGTTGACTATTTTGCAAGAAGTCTTCTGAAATTAGCCAGCTCTAAATATGCCCAAAAGTTTGTTATATGAACTTTACAACTTTAAATTCAAAAAGTGTTCAGTGAGTTTCCTTCGGTTGATGATCGATTTTTGTCGAGAGAATCTCCTTCTCACGATGACCATTATATCCGTGATTCTTGGTAGGTACGAAGAGAATTTGAAATCGCTTTGTCTATCGAATTTTGGATACAAAATGGGAGCTTAGACTCCAGCTTACGGTAGAATACCTGCGTTAAAGTTATTTCAGATTTTAGAAGGCTCTTAGTGTAAAAGATTTGGCTATTTTTCGGGCTTATCGTATCGCTCTTTCTTTCGTTCAAAAACTGAATAAATAGTATATGAACTAAATGAGGATATAGTGTAACGTGCTTTATCTTCTGTGGAGTCTCAATGTGGTTTATGTCTGCTTCTTTAAAGAAACAAGGCTTTATTTAACACCTGAATCACCACGCAAAACACTACGTTCCACGTTAACAACACCACGTACAACAAACCAAGAATAAAACACTCACTGAGAAATGAATGAAAACAATCACTTAATAAATGAGAACACGAACCACTTGCAAAAGGGAATGCGAAAGAAATAATCACTTGATCAAGAGCAAAAAATGAATCAAAAAGACTCAAATGAAAGAAAAGACCAACGGAATAAGATAGGAAACGTTTTATAGCCTTTTATTTGTGCAAAAGTTACTTAGTCAACGGTTACGTACGTTCCCAAGGGCACGTTATAGAATTTAAAACCTTTAACTGACGTGTGTGAGGATCGAGAGTTCGATCAAATAGAATCGTTCTCGAAATTTGTAGGTGTCTCTCTTGGATTCGGTCTTCGTCCATTAAATCTCTCCCCGGAAACACTGCAATTAATCAATTTTCCCGGCGAAATCTTCATGCAGGTTTTCGATAGTCATTTTTGAATGGAAAATTTGTGATTTCAGGTGTTGAAAATGATGATTTTACCACTGATTTTCTCGTCACTTGTTTCAGGTTTTTCAGGGTTAAATTTTGAATATAACACTTTCTTTTTAAAGCTCTTGCTCAAATGGATGCCAAAGAATCGGGGCAAATGGGTCTATGCACTGTACTTTACTACATAACAACGACAATATTGGCCACAATGGTGAGTGGACAAAAGATTAAAAAGATAATATGATTGCTATCAAATCATCTGACAACGTAAGCTTATAATTAGATAAAATAGATAAAATAGAGACAAGGCTATGGTAGCTTTCGAAAGCTGAAATGCTTTAGAAACACTGGGAAACATGATGTGTGAAAATCTAAAACCCAAAACCTAGCTGGGCATCATGTTGGTGGTGACGATTCACCCGGGAGATCCGTCTGTTAAAGTCGGTCTCATTCCTGAGGCTCCAACTGATGCTGATGTCTCTCCATTAGACACTTTTCTCGATCTTGTTCGGTTTGCATTTTTGAAAAATGACGATTTTAGACGATTTAAAAAATAGACGATTTTAAATAGACGATTTTAGAAACATGTTCCCTGAAAATATTCTCCAGGCCTCGTTTGAGCGAGTACAGACTGAATATCAGGTTTGTTTTCATTTCATTATCATTTTTCAAGGTTCAAGGTGTTTTTCTGCCCAATGCGCATTGCCTTGTTTGGAAATTAGCCTTTTAGTCTGTATTGTAGAATATCTACAATAAAAATTGTAGATATTCTGGCAAACTGATTGGCTAAAAGCCAATCAGTTTGCCTGTAATGCTGAATAGCTTAAAAATGAAACTATAAACTAGATGATAAAACCGGTTCGTCGGAAAAACTCCACGGATACTTCGTTTGTGTTGCGGAAACGTCTGGTGACCTCAAGTGGGATGAATATTCTGGGTAAATCGATTCAATGAAAAGGAAACTTTAAAAGTTTAGGAATTATCGTTTTTTGCACGGGATTTGGTATCGTTATCTCACAGGTTTCCATAAATATTTCATCAAAATTTGCTATTTATTTAGTTGGGAGAAAAAGCGCGAATTGTTGTTGATTTTTTTGTGATTCTTGATGCGGTGATTATGAAATGGGTCGAGACATTGATGGTGTGAGTGGCAATGGGAAAATCGAGAAATTCAATGCAAATTTGAAATGAATTGCAGATTTGCCCCGTTGGGAATCACGTGTCTAATCTGCGGGAACCTCTTGGAATTGGATGACCTCAGTGACACGGCTGCGGTCAGTCACATCTTTTTTTGTTTCGTAAAGGAACAGTGCTACTGAGTAGAGTGTGTTACTCGAGTAAATCGAGTAAAAGATTACCCATTTGCATGAGTAATCTTTGCTCGATTAATCGGCGTTTTTGGTCGAGTAAACTACGAGTAATCCTCTTTACACGTCGAGTAAATTGAATATCTTTACATTTGAAGGGAATTTGGCACCAAATCTGTTGAACGGTTGAATATCTTTAAAAGGAGTCGTATATAAGGCAATTTTGCGCCAATTTTTTCACAATAATTTTCTCTGAAAGTACGGAGCGTGTGTTTTAAAAAAAGGCATTACTTGCGAGGAACACACTCTATTTCTAACTTTCTCTAACTGAGATGCATTTCTAAAACGACCGTAACCTATTAAACCTTGAATTTCCAGGTATTGGCCATGTATGTGGTTTGTGTGATGGCGGGTTTTGTGATACACACCGTTTTCGTGATGCCATGCGTGTATTTCTTGGTCTTATAAGCTTATGCTGTCATTACAAGCCATGCAATTTGTAGGTCACAAGAAAGAATCCCCTTCACATAGTTAGCGGAATGTTACAAGCAATCGTCACCGCTTTTGGGACAGCTAGCGGGTGAGTGAAAAAAATCATTTCCTAGTAGATGTTTACTTAAGAGTGTTTACTCTTTAAGCTATTCAGCCAGCAAAGTTGCGTTGATTTTATCAGTTTATCAGTTATTGAAAGTAGAGAACGGAAAATGAATTGTTGTGGTAGTGACTGTTGTGATTGTTGACGGTTGTAACGTGATTGACCTGCTTGTGGAATAATAGTTAGCGTTTTTCCAAAGTAGTGAAGATGAATAAAATGAAATAAAATTCGTATACAAAAATGGGAGGGAGAGAAAGAAAATAAAATGGCACAGACTACGCGACGTTCCTAGTGACAACCTAGACAGGTGTAGAAGGTGCACTTTAGAAAACGGCAATTTTGTGGGAAGTATAAAAGGGTTTCTTCTCAACATGAACAAAATTCCCTTTCAGTGGTGCCACACTGCCGATGTCGATGCAATGTCTTGAAGACAATTGTGGAATCGATCGACGGATCACTCGTTTCGTGTTGCCACTTGGGAGCACAATCAATATGGTGAGAGGATTAGTCGCAAAATTGTTCACCTATTCAAATGGAACAGGATGGAAATGCCTTGTACGAGGCAGTGGCCGTCGTCTTCATCGCACAACTCAACAATGTCGAATTGTCCTTTGTCGAGGTGATCACTGTGAGGTTGGGATGGGCTTAAGAAATAAACATGTCTAGATATAATGAACTTATATCTAGAAATGTTTATTCTTTATGATTCTTGATGTCTTTATGTTTATCAAGACATCAAAAAGAGATCAAAAAGAGATCAAAGAGATCAAAAAGTCCAGTATAACCGCAACGGTTGCCTCGATCGGCTTGGGATCTGTGCCTGCTGGTTTGGTCTCAATTCTGCTCATTCTTAACACTGTCGGTTTACCGATTAAAGATGTCTCGTTGATCATCACTGTCGATTGGTTACTGTAAGTTTGAGAAAAGGTTGTTGTTGTGAAAAAAAAATTCGTCTAGAGATCGAGTGAGAACGGCGGTTAATGTGATCGGCGATGGTTTCGCGTCGGGAGCGGTGGCTCATTTGCTGCAGAGAAGGCTTGAAGCTGCTGATGCAAGACATGACTATAAAGCTGAGATAAAAGAAGACATCGGTTTGTAGAAATGGATTTTAATCGGTTTTTTTTTTTCATTTTAGAGCTCTTGAAATCGGCAGCGAACAGCGAGAATCCGAGTCGACGTCCAAGTGCCTGGAGTGAGCTCTCGAAGTGAGACAGCTAGGGGAAGTCACTGGAAAACCTAAATCAATATCTATTTTGATTAGAAACATAGAAATAATCCTAACTTAAAGTTCAAGAAAAGTTGAAATGTTGAAATGTTTTTGGTGACTATTTCAGTGATATCTTTGAGAGTGTAAAGGCTTAAAAAGATAAAAGAAGAAATCGGTTTGTAGAAATGGATTTTAAATTGAGATGAGAAATTCAACAATAAACACTTTTTATTTAAAGAAAACCATAGGTGAATTAGTGAATTTGTTATTTTTCAAAAGAAAAGCAACGAGAAGACTTTCTGAACAGTTTAATAAATTATATTGCATTTTCATTACATCAATTCAATGTTTAGTACCGCGTATTTCCCGGCGAAATCCTCATTCTCGGGTCTTCCGAGCCGCTCCGTTTCTCGCCGTCCATCAACAATGGGACAACTCTCGTGGAGACATCCACTCCTCGACACACTCTATCCACAACAACAAACTCTACAAAATGTCTAATCTTAGTTTTAGAATAAATCGATTTCTTTTTTTGTGTGCAATTATATTGAGATGAGAGAAAAATGGAGAACGATTTTGAAAATATGAGGAGGAGAAGGGAAAAAGGAAAAGATGAGGATGAGAAGGGAAAAAGGAAAAGGCAGTTTTCTCTTCTTTCTCTTGTCAAGGCACAAAAATTTGTCGAGAAAATAGGATTTTCTCGTTTTCTCTTGTATGTATGTTCTAAGAGCATATGGATCAAAAATGAATGCTGTTTGGATGTAAAAACATGAGACTCACTGAGTTTCTTAGTAAGAAACTCAGTGAATCGTTAAAGTTTTAGAATAAATAAACAATGTTTATTCTGGTTTTGGCAGAATTTTGAAATCATTAAAAAACGAAGTTTTTCTTATTTTGCTTTTTTTTTAACGATTTCAAAATTGATACTATATTATTGTTATATTTGTATTTTAATCTAGCTTGGTTTAGATAAAAAGCTATCCAGCTCAGCTAGAAGCCAGGCCAGAACCCTGGCTTGCTTCTATAATTTTGCTTCAGCTCAGCTAGGCCAGGCCAGAACCCTGGCAGCTTCTGGCTTTTGAGACCTTGTCTGTAGTCTCTTCAATAGACAACAATCAAAGTATTTTATCTTAACTTTAGCTTGTTTTATCTACAAACTCTAAGGCTTAAAAAACGTATGAAATATCGCGGGATATGAAAGGGTTTCCAGTTCAACGAGAGGAGGGAGATGGGTTGCATAATCGGATAACCTGCCCTCTCCTTTGTCCTCTTCTGTTCTCTTCTTTCTTTTCGTTCTTCTCTTATCCGATTCCTTTCATTTCTTGCTTTATCCCCCTTGGCTTTTATCTAAATCTTATCGAAAAACTTTCTATTTTTAGAAATATCATAAACTACTCGACTTGCTTTCCAGAAAGCCTTTTCCATTTGCCAGATGAGATGCTTTTTAATCAAAACTCTTGATAAACCGTTGCAACGCTTTTTCGAATGGTACACTCGACGGATCCTCGTCGATCATTATATCGTTTGTTTTTATGAGATCGAATTTTCTAGAAAATATTTAGCTTTTCATAATCTGGCCCTTGTGGTTGACGATATTTCTGGGCAGCGGTTTCTATTGGATTGAGGAATTGACATTGTTGGATGCGAGGAAACTTTACACTCCAATATCGGCTCCATCGTGGATCGAAGAGGAGACTTTCTCACAAGTAAAATTGTTAAACAAACGCGTTTTTGCCTATTTGAAAACTTTGCAAAGAATCGACTTTCATAGGCGCTTTGAAATTTGACTCGTCTACCGTAAACCAATCATCAGAATGATATAGTAACAAAGCCATAAACTGCCTTAACGCCAACTAGCTTAGACAGAAATCTACGGAAGTAACTACGGTAGCTCGGCAGGCTTTAGAAAACTAATTCGAGTCAGCGTTTGGAAAAGTTTACAAGTTTCTGTTAATATTAAAGTAAACAATAACTTCATAGCTAGATAAGATCATGAAAAACAAAACTCTTTTCAGTTATGGCCAATAAAATCATTCGAATTCCTGCCCGAGCGAACATTTCAATGGAATCGATATTTGTATGTGGTTGTGCACGGGAGAATTCTCAAAAATAACTCATATCCAAATATCCTTGAAGGTTTGAGATTGAGATTTTTGTTTGAGATTGAGATTCTCAAAAAAAATTGAGATTTTTGGTGAGAAAGTCTTCTTTTCTAGAACCCTACTTGACAAAAATCACGGAAATCGAAGAAGAAATCGCGAGAAAAGTCGAATTTCCGATGGAGGAAAAATGGAAAAAGAAAAGAAATGAAAGTGAAGGAAAAGGAAATGAAACGATCGGATTTAAGGTAGGGAATGGAAAGATTCGAATGACTAGTTATTTAGGATATTTGCCTGAATTGGTATGGGGATTGTTATCGACAAACTGGGTTGATCGAGATGTTGAAAAGGAGGTAACATTTACTGTTTAATAACTGAATATCTTTCAAAATTGCTCATTGGTTTCCATCAATAAATGCATCTTTTAGGAAAGAGCTGTCAACTCACGGGATTTCCGTTTCCTATCCGGTGGCCAATCCTGAAGGATCCCCAATATACATTGCATTCAATGTGGGCGGGGTGGAGACATTTCCAAATGATACAATCAAGGTAAGTCTTAACATTTTGGACTTAAAAGGGAAGATCACAAGAACAAAATCCTTCCCTATTTAAGGCTTCTTTCACCGTTCAACCTTGTGGTGTAGTGTAGTGAATAAGAGTCTTGTTTCCAGAACAAACCATCAAGTCTTTGCTTGGTTTCGTTCCCCTCCCCTCCTTGTCATTTTTTTTGTTGTTTAACCGCTCGAATTCACTCTATTTTAACTTTACAATAAGTATTATGAAATCTTTTATGAGTATTATGGCGTTAATAGGATATCAACGTCTTATCTATGCTAGATGAGGCACGATTACGTTACAGGCACAACTACGGTCACCTCATCCTTGTGACTTTCCGTCGCTAATAAGATTTAAAAAGTAAAAAAAAGCTGTGAATAACAGATTAAACGTTTCATAATACCTAAAAAGTGATCCCATTTTGCAGTCAGCCAAAGCGATGCGTCTCTTTTATTTCCTCCGTTTTGACACTGCCGAAATGAACGAAATGTCGACGAAATGGGAGGGGATGAAGCGAGTCGATTCATCGCAAAAACTTATCAAAATCACTCGTGGATACAGGTTTCTTTTTATTTAGACTTTTGTAAGAAATAATATAAGTACCCTAAAGTCTCGAGTATAAGTTCTGCCTTAATTTACATTCGCTTTAATTGCTTTGAATTTCTTTTTGTTGGGTTTTTATACATTTTTACTGTTATATAAACTTTTATTATTGTTCTTGGAGCGCGGGATACTACAGGGTGACAGCCTATCACCATTGCTATTTGTTATGTGCATGGATACATCCAGACGATAGTGTTGAAGAAGACGCTGGAAAGCATCTCTTTCGACCGTCGACGTGGACTTTGGCCGGATGAAGAGGCCAGGGAGGGGATCCATAAGACTGAGCACCGGAGAGGGAGCAGGGCGGACGCGCCGAGCCACGCCCGGAGCAACAAATAACAGCATAAAATTGCTATAACCCTCAATAAATTTACTTCTACCGGAGACAGCCGTCAATTTGCATGCGAAAACCAAACAGAACTTATACTCGCGACTTTAGGGTATATGATTTTATATTATTTTTTTTAAAATATTAGTTTAGATATTAGACAAAATCGAAATTTAGTGTCACATCAAGCACTCCCGCATCCTTGATCTTGGTCTGACAGCGAATGCGAATCGCCTCAAGCCCTACTTCACTGTCACCATTTTTGTGCTCATCGCGTTTACGGTAGTATACTTTATCGAAAATCCAGTGCCCCTTTTAGACATTTTATGCTGTCAAATGGCATTTCGGGAGTGACAATGGGAAATGGAGAGGTGAGGAAGACTCGTCAAAGCTACAAATACCTCAACTCATCTAGTGTCAATTGATTGGCTTCGCTCGAAACCGATGCTCGCCTTGGGTGGTGTGCTCACGGCTGGAATGGCGATTATGAGGTGTTAAATAGAATCGACTTTCAATTGAAACCGATTTCAGCGGAATCGGTCTCATGCTCTGGTTCGGGATGTTCTTTGCCGAGATCACACTGATGGCCCCATTTCTTGTGCTATGTATGTGGGGAAAATTGAATCCCCTACGGGATTTGCTTTTTAAACTTTCCTAGGATTACAGTAGTTTTAGTAGTGCCGTATTTTAGAAAACACATTATTTTTGGAGTCAATTGAGCAAATACTTGAGAGTATTTGCTCAATTTGATCAATTTTATCTCTGAATTTAGCCATCGCTGTCGATGATATGTTCATCGCTGTCGCTGCATGGCATAACACTGAAATTGAGTTCCCAGGTAAACTTGCAAGTAAAACTTTAAATCTTAAATTTTGTAGGCAATTCGGAGAAAGTGCTTAAAGAGCGAATGGTTGGTGCGATGTCGGAAGCGGCTGTGGCTATCTTTATCACCTCGGCCACCGATGTTTTCTCGTTTGCCATTGGTGAGTGCAAAAATAAAATGGTTAACATTTACAAATTCGCCAATATCTTAACAACTTCTTTTTCTTTCTGAGAGTTTTCTTCTTTTTCTATTTCTTCTCCGAAAAAAAGATACTAAAGAGCTGAATGGTTAAAGCATCTGCCAAAGCAGAAAGGTCGAACAAAAGGGTCGGCTTTGCAAATTTTTTTTCGCGCGACCTTTATAGCTTTGCTTAAAAAGCGCACCTTTTAGAAAACGCGTTGTCGGAAGTTTGTCGGATCAATTGTCTGACAAAAAAGTTGTCAATGAAAATTTGTCTGACAAATTGTCTGTCAACAAGGAGCACACTCTAAGCTCAATGGTTAAAGCATCTGCCTGGAAAGCAGAAAGGTCGAACAAAAGGGTCGGCTTCAATCCCTTCTCAGCATTCTTTCTTTCTTTGCCATTTCATACTTTTCTTTATTCGCTTGCGTTTGAATTAGAATTTGGAGCTGAACTTTAAATTCTAGTAAGCATAAAATCTTCTGTGAACAACTCATAGATCGGCCGTGATCTGTGAACTAAAACAAAAATCGTCTTGTTGTTTTGTATTGCACTTTGAAAGCAATCATTGAGTTTTGAAAACATGTTCTAGGAACGTTCACTGACATCAAAGCTGTCGAGGGCTTCTGCGCGATGACGGCCGCCTGTATGTTCTTCACATTCTTCTATCAGGTGATTTGCAAATTTAAGCGAAATATCCAGGATAATTTTCTTAGCTCTTATCTTTGAGAGAGCAATCATTTTGAGAAGCAATATGTTCCAGGTGACATTCTTCGCCGCTTTGTTAGTCCTCTCGGCGAAGACCCAATTGAACGGGCGAAACTCGTGCATCCCTTGTGTGAAAGCTGCCGACATTCAAGAATCATCCTTAGCAAAACTCAAAAAGATTTCCCAACAACGTATGTTACTCAAAAAAAAATCAAAGAAAAATTTCATCTACAGAACTCGGTAATCCTTCAGAACAAGCGAATCTTCCGATCAAAGCTTTCGGCTTTATGGGAACATTCTTTCGGTAACTTCAGCAAAAATTTCATTTATTTCTCCGATTTAGAGATGTCTATGTCCCGATTTTGCTCAATTTTTGGTCAAAAATCGTCATTTCGATAGCTTTCATCGTTTATCTCATGGTTTTTTTTTCGATCGTTCTACAGTTAACAATATTTTCCTTTAGATTTCCATTTATGGGATTACCGTAATGGAACAGGGATTGGATTACGAGAAACTTTTGATTGAAACGGATCCTCTCGTGGAAGCGCTAAGAACCGAAATACAACTGTTTCACGGGGGAGATCAGGTGAGCTGACATAGAGATAGAGTTAACTCTGAGAAATGAGCTGACAGAGAGATAGAGTTAACTCTGGGTATCGTATTTTCTATTAGAAAATACAATACTTTTAAGAAACCAGGGTCTTGGCCGAATAGATCTGATCAATTCAGATCGAAATCGCCATTGTGAACGCTCCAGACATGACAAAGCAAGAGAATCGAGATCTCATTGAGAAAATCGTTCAACAATTTGAATCAACATCTTATGGTTTGAGAAAAGAAATGTTTTTTTGATGAAACTGGAATTCAGGAATTGGCAAGAAAGGGACAACTGTATGGACAAGAGAATACGAGAAATATGCAAATATGACAGGTGAATGATGGCTGAGATTTGGAAACGAAAAAAAGTTAGGTTCATATTTGAATGACGATCACGATTCGTGGGTGATCGGAGTGTATGAATGAGTCAACTCTTCGCTTTCTATAAACTTTGGTCGGTTTTCAAAAAGGGAGAAGCTATTGGCTATTTTACCAGCTATCAGATAAGCAAAGTTAATCGAAATCCATTTTTCTCAGGTCTCAAGATTTCGTGTGGTCAAACAGCTCAAATCCCGAAGAACTTCGCCTTATCTCCTTTCGTTTCCGAATCGGGGTCACCGATTTCTCGACTCCATCGGATTTGGTGGCTGTGAGAGGGGAAACAAAAATCGAATAGATATTCAAGATTAGGTGACAGGCGAGTTGAGAAGTGTGGCCCACAGAATATCCACAGCTGAATATCATCACGTATCAACAGAGTCGATCGATCGCTGATCAGGTTGAAAATCTCATGTTCAAACTCTCTAAATTGTTGCTTGGAATGGTCGAAAATGCGTCTGTTTCACTCAAGGCTATTGTAAAAAGCTACAGTATACCGAAATAAATAAAGTACCGGCTTGATTAGTATCAAGTAGTGCAAAATAGACCAATTACTGTATTTGAGACTCCCTTTCAGCTAAACGTCATTCTCCCATCAACCATTCAAAATGACTCGTTGGCCATTGTTTGCATGGTCATTATTTCTCTACTTTTCATCCCAAATCCCTGTGCACTTTGTGGATCACAATCGCTATCATAACAATCGATATTGGTATGGAAAAGTGATGTGAATGGTTGAGTGAAAGAAATTTCAGGTGTAATCGGTCTTCTTTCTTTATGGTATGTGAAATTGGATCCGATCTCGATGGGTCACAATTATAATGTGAGTTTGGAGTCAAGAATGAATTTTGCAAATTTTATCAAAAACTTTATAGGAGTATCGGCTTTTCGATTGGAGTTCTCCGCGCATATCACGCACGGTCAGTTTGAATTGAATTTGGTGACCGAACATTCTAGATTTTGTAAAAAGGGAAAGGTTTCGGAGACAATCTAACTCATTGTTTTCTAGGATTCATGAATGGGGTTAAATTTGACGCCGAAAGAGCGAGTGATCGATAGTATGGAGAGATTGGCATGGCCTGGTGAGTGACATAAAAGATTTGTGGATAAAGATTTCCCAGTTGTCCACGGATCTTTATCGACGATTCTTGGAGTGACAGTATTGGCTTTTATCAATTCCTACATGGTGCTCGTGTTTTTCAAAACAATTTTCCTTGTTTTAATCATTGGTGAGTTAAAGAAGGGAAACCTCCGATTAATCACGATCCTCCTTTTCAGAGGTATTTCACGCACTGGTTCTTCTCCCAATCGTCCTCAAAGTCACGCATCCTTATGTTGAAAATTTGATCGACGAATCGAAAAGAAACTTGAGCAGAGATCGTCGGGAAAATACGGAAAAACCGAGCGGTTATGCAATCCAGCATACCGGTCAATGCGTTATCCTAAATACCTACCTTTTGAGAGATTTCACTACGGGTTTTGCCTTTGTACAGAGAGATATACGTGATAAATCTCTTTATCGTAAAATCGAACCTATAAAATCCACTTTGTAAACAGAAAATGCTTAATAGGTCGTTTGCATTAATATCAGTTTATCCGAAAAAATGTACAAAAGCTTTCGACGAGAGCCTATCACTATAACACCGTACATGCTAGACATTTAAAATACAAGGACAATCATAATGAAAAAGAAAGAAAGAAACAATCAATCTACCACTGAAATCCGCCATTCTTTGGCCGATAGCCGAGCTTTTTGGCAACTCCTTCATAAACGGGACTATTATCACTGAATGCGATATTGAACAATCCTTGAGTCGGTGCATCGCGTGGAATTGGCGAAACCTAAAAATAATTGATAAAAAAACTTTATTGTTTTTGATCCAAATCAATTTTCATCAATCTTCTTAGGTCACAAGATTTTATGCTTAATAGCTCAAACTCTGAAGAACTCGACTTATTATTTAACACCCCAGTCTCTTTTTTACATTCGTTTTTTATAAAAATAACATCATCGATTTGCTTTTAAAATCAATACCAAAAGATTAAGCATCGGGAAAATCATACTTAAGCAAGAAAAACCCCGCCGTAAACGAGTTTGCCCATTCTTGTGATTTTTATCTAGTACGGAAAAAGTTAACGTACATTCTTATGCTTCCCATCACACAATGGTCGGTGATCAGTCTGTTTGCACATGCACATTTGATACTCTCCGCTCTTTTCGACCTAAAACAGAAAAATTCTCACCGTGCTATTGTTATGAAAAATTACCTGAAAAATCTAACGGGCCAGCAAGTCGTGAGTCCATCCAATTTGTGAGACCCGTCACCAGAATGTCTAAATTTTATAGTTAATTTAGTTTCAAAAAATTTTACAAAAAACAATACAAATTCCCGAAACACAGCTGACCTGCGAAGTCGAGAGACCGCAAGAACACCACGTATACGATTGCCCGCAAATCCCAGGAGGCCACCTAAAAGTGAAGCATTGGGTAAACATCCTAATTATTTTATGTTAGTTGAGGTCAAAAATTGTTAATTAAAACCTTTTACATGAATGCTTTTTACGCAAATTATTTACTTTACTTGACGGTTCTTAATACACTCTTTTACTCATTCACAAAATCTTTTACTTGAAAATGAATCTACTTTTACTGAATTTACTAATTACATTTACATCTACATTTTATATTAACAATATTCTTGGCAACATTTAAAAGAAAATTGCCGGAATAATTTTTAAAATCAGGTAAAATAATTCTCCTCTCAACCACTCACCTTTTTCGGCTTCTTGGCTGCATCGATTCCTTTAAATGAAAGCGCATCGTTCAACGGGGTTTCAAAATGCCAATACCCTTTGCCCCACTACCAGTGAATGTCTAAAATTTAAAATGAATCAAAAGAGGCACTACTTATCTTCAAAGTCTAATAAAAATGAAAATACAGAAATACCTTTTGAAGTGTGGACTGGCTTGAGGCAATGTTAAGTAGAAACATCTCACTTGGATTACCTAAAAAAAAGATATGAATGCTTTTGTTAAACAAAAATACAGAAAGAAAAGTGCTTATTGCCAAGAGTTTGGCGCAAAATAGAGTAAAACGCAAAACGAAAGATAGCGGAAATGTTCAAATGTGACGTGTTCAAAAGCTTTTGGGATAGAGAAACAATGTGGAATGGTTTTTGTTGGGCACTAGTAATATAATAGGCACCCTCCAATGTGAACTTTTATCGTTATAAAGTGCCTACAAAGAAACTTGCTAACAGCAAAGCAAGGTGAAAAAAAAATTTCTATGAGGCGATGGAAAAAGCATCCAGAAGGGACGTCAATTGTTCAGTGAGGTAGTTGCAAGTAACTAGAATCTTTTGTCGGTTTAAGGCCAAATCAAAACAGCTATACGATAGAGAAATCGAAGCAAATGTATAAAAATTATCAAATTCGATTGAAAGCACGTTACACAATACTCTTGTTGCTCCAATGGGTCCATAGTTTAGAAATTAAAAGATGCAAAATTTCCCCCAATGGCTTTTTCGATTCAACGTTTATTTGTCACTTTTACTTTATGCCCCAAAAAATAAAATAGTTTCAACGATCGAAAAATTCTTACAGTCTCTTTATAAGGCGAATTTTAGATGAATAGATTTTAGTATTCTCGTCATAGCATTTATTTTCTCTGGAATGACTTACCACTAGAAACGCTCCCAAAAAATCTCGACATTAGAGATTGACTTTATGTTGACTATAAGATTTTCAAATTTTTGTAGATTTTCAATCATGAGCCACAAGTACGTTTTAGCAACACTGTTTCAATTAAGCGAAATCGAGATCGTATAGAATTTCTCTGATGTAGATCAGATGATCGGCTTCTTGTGGAAGAAGACTGGCCGGACAGGGTTAAAGAGAGATAGAGAGAGAGAGTGGTCATCCCGTTCGGGAAAGAATGAGTGAGAGGGCACCCACAAAGGGCGGTGAGACAGGGAGACAACAGGGCTACACACACACACGGAGAGGTGAACGGAAGGGAAGCACAGCCGCTCTCTCACCCCTCCGCCTCACGAACTCTTCACTACCGAATGCACACAAATAAACCCCCTTTCTTCTTTTCTCCGATTTGACCATACGACCCTCACCAAATCTGTGTCACCCTAGCTTAACGAGAATAATCCCCATTCCGCCTTCAATCCACCACTATTTGTTTTGCTTTTAGACTAATCGAATGATTATTGTACTTCTTATAATTACTTTTTACTTGTTTAATCTTTAAATTTACAGTTCTATTTCGCAATTTTTGCAATTCCACTAACCTCATTGACTTATTCGAAAAGAGATTGAAAATTTTACTGATTTAAGGGCGTTGGATAAAAAAGGGTGACTTTTTCTTTTCTATTTCTTTCAAAATTTGTGACTCGTAAAGTGTCAAAGATTTTAAAATGGGCTGGCATAAATCAGGAGCACCTGTTTTCCACCTTTCTCTTTCTCTCTCCGAATATTTCTCACACCATCAAAGAAACCATGGAAAGCAGCAGGAATTGGAGAAAAGAGGGATGGATCCGAATGGAGTAAGAGAAATGGCGGTGCATGAAGAAGTATTTATTCTCTTCTCCTCCCTACCTACTTGTGTATTCACTCTTCAACTCGACTCTTCTCCTTTCACTCTCTCATCTCACTCTTTTACCAAAGCTTTGGTTCACTTTTTTTATCACAGTTTGCAATTCTTTTACATATTTGATCTTTTTCAATGATGAAAGTTTCAAAAGGCAGTTTACTGGAAACTGCAGGTGAATATCCATTTCTTGAAGAATTTTGATAGCTACAAGGATATTTAGCTAGTGATTAATCGAATCAAAAACTAAAACATTTCTAAAATTTTAAGTTATTAAATTTGAAAATTGAAAATTTTGAGATCCAGGCCACTTGCTCTATAATTTTTCGTCTCCTTCTCATTATCATTTCATTTTGTTCATGTCACTTTTTTATCTTTCACTAATCCAATCCCATTATTCAGGGTAAACCTTAGCTTCATGCTATTTCATTTCATCCAATTGGGCCTGCCCTTTGGCGCAAAAGAAGGTTCAACAGAAGAAGCCAAAAATATGGCATTGCTCTTTTTCATGGATCATCTCATGCAAAAGGTTGGATGCTAATAAAAATTGTGAAACCGAGTAAATCTTTAAAATAAATTTCTGTAGAACGGTCGCCGCACAATTCACGATTTATCGTGGTATCAATTCAGTAACTCGGGGTTTCTCAGAAGAGATGCGAAATGCAGTGGGAACGACACAAGAAGGATTGACGGATTTCCTTCAACAACACCCCTCACTTTTCACCATTGATGGAATCAAGTAAAGTGAAAAAAAGTAGAAAAAAAATACAAATATACAGGTGATTCTGGAATGGCTTTGGTGACATCACCGCAAGAAGAACAATCCACTTCTACAAAATGGATCTAGACAAAGGAATTACGAGGAAAGAGGCTGTACAGTTCTTCAAGTCAATGAGCTCACCAAATTTGGCCCAGAACTTCCCGGAGTAGAACTCAAATTTGGTTTTGGATTCAGTCTCTAATGTGCAAGTAAGACATATTCATAAGAAAAATCTCAACCTAAACTCGAGGGGTCCAGATAGAATCTCCTATTTGGTCATCGCTCATAAGCAGCTCCAGAAGTACGTCTTGCTTGTCTCTGGTCGACATCTAAAGGATTTTTGTGAATTTCTGCAACCCTAAATTGATCATTTCGTTGAAAAAGGGGATCGAAAGTCAGATTAAAGGTTTGAAAATGCAAATGAAGCCAATAAACTAATCAATAAACTTTTCAAGAATATGCCCGAACCGAGCGAGGACGCAATCGAATTGGACGACGAGGGGAAACCGCTAGCTGGAGTGAAAGCAAAACAAGCGGCTGTCGAATATTTGAAGAGTGTTCTTGAACAGGTTTTCCCCTTAAATATCATCTAAATAAAAAGATCTATTTACTTAAATGATTATGATTTAGAATGATGATCAACCGATTCCCCTTGACGCTTTCTATCAGCATTTTTGCGGTCGTTTCTCGCATTCTGTTCGGTGAGTGCTTTTAGCTATTATTTCATTTATTTCAATAAAAACATCAATAAAAAATTGAAATAAGAAAGTAAAAAACAAACAATAATGTTTAAGACAAGATGTGGCGACAAATCCAAAAGAACTACTCCAATTTTTGAAGCTTAACCGTGGTCTTTTCTTCATTCGGAGTAACAAGGTGAGCTTTCAAAGCAAAGCATAAGCATAAGCAAAGCTTTCAAAACAAAATTCTAGGTCTCACTGGTGAAAAATCGTCTATCCGAGGATGGATCAGAAAATGGATCGGATGAGGGAGATCCAGAGACAAACAATAATCTCTTCCCATTGGATCAAACAGCTCTCTCACGAATCCATTATGTGAAAGCATTGAAACCAGCACAGGTACTAGAAAAGGGTATATTTCCAAATCAAACTTGTATAGGAATTGATCGAAAGACTCTGGAATGAGGTGAACACAATGGAGAGGAAAGTGGTCGGAGTCGATCTGAAGACGGTCACTGTCGGAGCTGAAGGGGAACAATTCCTCTCGTTGGCCATCATTGCGACCACTAATCAAGTCATATAACGATTAAATTATTTCATTTTTCGATTTCAGATAGGCGTACTTGATTTGGCTTCGTCTGATGTGATTCTACTGGAAAGTGGAATTAAGCAGCTTCTCGAATCGGATCGAGTAGTCAAGGTTCATTTTTTCGTTTTCTAAAATGTGTCAACTTTTGAAAGATTCATTTCCAATCCAAAAAATCAGACGAAAAAAATCGACAAAAATCAAAGTTAGTAGAAAAATTACGATAATTTTAAAGGGTTGGCACTTTTTAGAAAGCGATTATAGCTGAAAATCTTTCGCAATTTCTTTCTTTCGCAGGTAATGCACGACGCTCGTCGTGTTTCTTCACTTCTTGCTCACAAATATGCTTTAATGCTCAGAAATGTCTTTGATACACAGGTACAGGATTCTTTAAAAAAATACAGTCGACTCACGATTTAACAACTCTCGATAAAACGATTTTGAAATTCTAAAACACGTCCTTGGTTTCTGCGTAGCTGCCCAACCGTTGGCCGTTCAGGGCAGCTACGCAAGAAATTTGGGAATCGTTAAATCAAGAGTCGACTGTATATCAATCTCCTCCAGGTAGCCCATGCAGTTCTTCAACACGACAAATTCGGTAAACCCCTTCATGACACCCGGCCGATCAGTTTCGTCAATCTACAACGAGTCTACTATCCACAATCGATTTTGATGAGCGATGTGACGCCGAGGAAACTCTCGATGAGTCCAAAGTATGTGTTGTGGACAAGCGTCTGTAATGAAAGGCTTAAAATCTGCCGTACCCCTCCAAGTACACTCAGAGGCTTCTACTGGGCATTCTTTCATTAAACTGGACATACTCGATAAATCAATCTAATTTTTAAGCTATTAGATAAGATCAATAACTGAAAAAAAATCATATTTTCAGTTGGGGTCTTCGACCGATCACCGATGATTTTTTGCTAACAGCCGTCGAGGAGGCTCACACGTTGATTTGTGCTCTTCACCAACAACTCTCCAATTTGATTCCCGTTCATTTACGGTCAATTGTGATCAACAAATAGCATTAACAAAGACATTTCAGAGGTTTATTTGAAGACAAATGTATAGAAGCGTTGCTGGCCTCACCGACTCGTCCTCCTCCACAAACGTTCAACACCGGATCGCCATATCGGTAAGTTTACATAGGAGAAATCTGAAAAAGTTTGTCTTTAATCTTTCAAAAGAAATTTTCCAGATCTTCGACTCGTCGAGGCGAACGGGCTGTTTACACGGCACCATCTCCGCAACAATATCAGGTAGTACTGGAGTACAATCGGCATTGAATGGACAAGTTTTACCAACCATACCCTTTCAGTCATCACCATCAACGGGAAATCAAACCCCGAGAAAAATGGTCGACGCCGCATGCCAAACCTTCTCAACTGGTGAGGTGCACGTGTTAAATGTCTTTTATGAATGAACCTTATTATTGTTTGCAAAGTTTAAGGCTTATTATAAAATGCAATCGAGCTTGATCTAGTAGATTGTTTCATCTCATGTTCTTCCTAAAAGATCTAAATCGAGCTTAAAATTTTCTTTGTCAGTCTTATTTAATCCTTTCTAATCAATTATCAAAATCATGTGATCCTTTTCAACATTTTTCATTTTGTGGCCTTCCCTCTTTTGATTCTTAACGATGATCATTATCAAAAATTTTAAGTGCTCTTGAAAAGTCAATAAAAGTAACATACCGTGAACTAAGCAAATGGACATTTAGAAGCGCCTAATAGGGACATGAGAATTGAAGGCTAGTATCGACTGTACATGGAAATTCAACGAGAAATCTTAAATCAACGTCTTTGATAGAGAACATAGAGCAACAACGATATATTAAAGATTTTTCAAAACAATATTAAACTTGAAGAAAAATTATGAAGGATCAGAATCTCGGTCCTGTTTACGGAGAAAATCCTCGCGAGAAAGTAGAAGCGCTTGAGTCAAAACGTCATCATCGACCTCCTCGACTTCCGATCCAAACCCCGTGATTGCTAAATCTTTAAACCTTAATCTCATGGAACCAAAAATAATGATACCCTCTAATGCCAGAAGTTCTTCGTACAATCCGACTTCTTTGCTGCCTGCCTTATTTGTTTCCACGCGCTCTTTCTTGAACGAAGACTGACGTGAAGTAGCAGGACTTTGACCCTTCAACTTCATTTGATATCCTTGACGAGCTAAAAACGCAAAGCATACGAGCTATTCTTGCTTAAAATAAGTTACTTGGCGAGAGAGTCTTATGGCTCTTTATGGCCGAGGCTGGTCTAGGGCTTTTGCATCCCGATTTCAAGTGGTCGAGATATGACGCATGAATAATCTAGTCGAATAAACGTTTAAGAAATAAGAAGCTGAAATACCTGTTGCATGAGCTCTGTTTCGGTGCGTTGCAAGTCAGTGTATCGCAATTTGTCTTCAAGCATCATTCTCTCCAAATCATCCATTTCAGAACGCTAAATTTTTAAATTAATCTGGAAAAAAATTTACAAAATGCATACCTTCAGAATCTCTTGGATTAAGTGTTTGTCTGCTTGACCGGGTTTGGGTCCTGCTAAACCAAGTCCAACACCAAAAGTCGAACATCGAGGATCTTCGACTAAAAGTTCGAAATAATAAAAGCATCAAAGATATATGTTGTGATAAAATTAAAACAAACCAGCATTATAATGACACCCATCATGATAGCTCAATCGGAGCGGAGCTTGTTGATTGTCATCCGATGGATTAATTGCTGGATGGAAGACGTTAAGCGGTTCTGAATGCTTCATTATGATGGTTTGAGAAATTAAAATTACCATGATTGTATTCATAAATTTCTACAGGACGAGCATACATTTCGGAAATTGCCTAAAACTTTGGCATCATCTGCAAAGAAACCGGTCTCACCTGAATTTCCAAGTGATTCCCATGAACGTTCTCTGCTCGTTTCCTTGCCAAATATTCGGAAAAATCCTCTGTGATGAACTGGGAAAAGTGATCCCGATTCTGTTCCTAAAACAAGCTCAAATAAAAAAACCAAGATAGCAAACCATATAATTGAGACAGAGTCTTCGAACCTCTGTGTGCATTTCTTCATCGGCATAAACCTGATAAGCTAAAAGAGAAGTCATATTAGCAGACGTGAATTTTTCATACCGACAGCTCTGAAGAGGCAATTTCCATCTCCAGCGATCTCTCGAATCAAAAAGCCACGTTCTCGGTGAAGAGCTTCGGCAAAAGCTGCTTCCAACTAAATTTATTACGTAAACAAAATCATCCTCGGAAATCAACCTCAGGATCAACTCTAGGGCGTGGCGATTTCAAACTTTTCTCATCATCGCTGTTGTCGTGGACTGGAGAGAGACGAGAGGTAGCTAAAATTTAATTTTCGAAAGAGATAAGGCAATGTGATAAAGAGAGATAAGGCAATGTGATAGTAAATAACTTAGAAAACAAGACTGCTCACCGCTTGCTGGATTCGTTCTAGCGCGATCCACCATTTTCTTTCGCTCTCCTCCATTCGTTGTTTCACGTTGTCTTTGTCTAAAAACAAAAGTTGAACAATGTGCAAAGTGATTTTAAATGAAATAGGAACTTTTACTCTCTAGACCTATACTACTGCCTGGGTATAAGCACTTATTCTTTGAATACACCCAAAATGAATCCTAGATAACACAACGTGTTACTGAATGAAACTAACCGAATGCGAGCACTCCTGTGCTTTTCGCGATCCTTCTTTTTTTCGTCAGCGTTTTTAATTGGGGAAACCGTCATTTTTCTAAAACAAATTGTAAAGAACTGCAAAATTCAACGGCAAGGAAAACAAAAAGAGAAAACGGTTGCCGTGTGTAAATGCTTGAGTGCTACTAAGCTAGAATCGAAATAAATTTGCGGATTATCTAAAACCTTAAACTCGCGAATAGGAAAGACTCGGAATTTGATTACCGTGAATACTGTAATAGTGGGGGTGGGACAAATGCGACCTTTTTTTTGCTGGAAAAGGCCTTAGGAAAAGTCGTAGAGCTTCAAAAACGTTTTCATAGAAGGGAATCGTATGCGTAGATTCAGAATTTTGACAAATCAGACCTCGCTGACACGTCGAATTTGGGCTAAAAGGCAAAAACTACGCAACTTAACGCTTTTCCGCAGTTTTTGCGTTTTAGCCAAAATTTAACGTGTCAGCGAGGTATGATTTGTCGAAATTCGGAACCTACGCATACGATTCCCTTATATGGAAATATTTTCGAAGCTCTACGGCCTTGCCTAAGGCCTTTTCCAGCAAGAAAAAAAGGTCGCATTTGTCCCACCCCCGTAATAGTACGCCACGCCCCTCGTACAGTCGCGTAGTCGCAAAAGTTTTTAGTATTTCATTTTCTTCAAAGCGCCCGTACTTCCAAAAAATGCATCTTTGGTATCAAAAATAGCGCTGAATTTCAGCTATTTTTTGATACCTAAGCGCGCATTGTAGCATAAACCAGTGTCGAGAAGAGCGCGTTCAAAGCTAGACTACGCAACACTACGCAACACTGCGCACCGTCATTATGGGGGTGGGGTACTATTACAGTATTTACGGTAGGTAAATCGCTCTGCTCTCACCGCTTGCTGGATTCGTTCGGTTTATACTTTTTGTGGGTGCCGGTCTCTAAAAACGGTCAGATGTTAGGGTCTTGTAACAAAATGTCAGCAAATTGGTGGAAATCTAGATTTTGTTTACCACTCTGAACATACAAAAACGACGCAATGATATAATGGACAAAAAAGAGTACAAAACTCCGCTTTTCCTGACGTAACTGGGCGGGGTTTACGTGAGGTGCTAGCAAAAGCGCGGCGTTTTTTGCGCCAAAATCCTTTGCGCTAAATTCATTTTCTAACGATATAAAGAGCAAAAAGCCGAATCGGTGACACAAAAATGACTGTTTTTGGGATTGTATATGTACTTAAATGTGTTTTCTAATTGAAAACAGTGTGAACTAAAATTTCAGAAAACTGTAAAAAGTTGGTTAGAAGTTGGGAAGGCTTTTAGTCATTTCTGAAATTTTAGTTCACACTGTTTTCAATTAGAAAACACATTTAAATACATATACAGTCCCAAAAACAGTCATTTTTGTGTCACCGATTGGGCTTTTTGCTCTTTATATCGATTTTATGCCATTTTCAGACCCGGCGAAAGCGCCAAAGTAGCGAACATCGTCGACGAGAAAAAGTAGTAAAAAAATTAAAATAAACAATCAGAGTTGGTAGGAAAGTGTTTTGAAAAGCGCAAATTTGGCACAAATGATACGCAGCGCAAAAAAAATGGCGCAAATGATTTCGCGCTTTTGCTAACACCCCGTTTGGGAAGGCCCAAAAACCGAAAAGGGGTATTTTCGCAACTTTCTATAACTCGACATAACTCGATAACCCAAGGTCAGATTTTTATGTTTTTGGTACCAATTTGTTGCACTTGACGAGAGCAACAAAATGCTATCAAAAACATAGAAAGCTAACCACGGGTTGTCAAGATATCAAGGGTTGCGGAAAAAATTTGCGCTTTTTTGGGCCGTCCCACTCGTTGCAAGTGACGCTCCCCACCTTGTGATTTGCATAAAGCTACATTTACATTTGATTTGTGTCTAAGGGTTCGGTAAAGCTTGATGTTTTTGAAAGAGGGAATTCTTGAAGTGTTTATTCAAATTTTTGATGCTTTTTGAATTGAAATTTTCAAAGAGAAATAACAAGACGCAAAAAAGGCACAACAATTGACTGATTTGAGGAGAGGGAATGAATAAAAGAGGTTGCTGCTAGTTTACAAACAAATTGTGACTCAATTCTGAGAAAAGCTTAAAACTTAGTATCTAAATTTTGTGTTGACAATCGTAGAAATTTTGGTTTCAGCAATTCTAGTAGCCTCGAACTCTCTCATTCACTTAGGCAAAGAATCATTTTGAAAAGGAAAGGATTCACCAAATAAATACAAATTTCAAAAGTATCTAGGTTGTTCAAAAGTGCTCAAAGCAAAAGTGCATATTATGAGTGCGTATTTCTTTTTGTTCATTGTTTTCATTGCCGACTTGACCCTTGGCCTTGATGTCGGAAAAGTTCTTGTTGTGAAAGGAGAAGTGCTCGGGCTAACAGATCGTCCTCGGCTCGATCTGTTGTCTCGAAACCGGACATTGCTGAACAATTTGATTTGTATAAGAATCGTTGAAATATTAGATTTCATTTCTGTAAAAACTAATATGCCATAATTGAACAAACCTTCCATAGCCAACAATTCCGCATACAGCCCACTATTCGTTGGAGGCATTCGACTTGGACCTGGTGACGGGCTTGCCGATCGTCGGAGATCGTTTTCTGGAAATTTTTGGGTTTCAGGTATATGTTATAGATGTTAGATTTACATAATCATTGTTCAAATTACCATTTCTCATAGCTGAAGAAGAATGAGGACCCGGTGAACCAGAGATATTTCCCTGTCGGGGTCGATCCAACGTCGCAACAGCCCCATTTTTCTTCCTCGTCACTGTTGGGCTTTTCCGTTTCGTTTTCAATGACTCCACATACGAAGAATGAGCTATCTAGAAATGAGATCTCTTTCTTTTCATATCTCCAAATCTACTTGATGTGTCAATTCATCCTCTGTCAATTGCCAATCGGTGAGTCGAAGTTTATCCTCAAGCATCACTTTCTCAAGGGCATCAGTTTCGGAACGCTTAAAGTGAAAGAATTTTTTTTGAAAGACATTAGCAAAGTTATCAAACCATTAAAACATCTTGCATTAAATGCTGATCGGCTTGGCCGGGTTCCGGCCCGGGCAAACCGAGACCGACACCGAAAGTTGAGCGTTGTGGATCGTAGACTAAAATTGGTTAAATGTGGCAAGATTGTTTTCATATTTTGAGCTTTTAGAAACATTTTTCTGCTCTACAAACCGGCATTATAATGGCATCCATCGTGATAGCTCAATCGAATTGGCGATTGCGGGTGTTGTTGGGAGGACGGACTGCCACGAATTGGATGAAAGACATTCAATGGGTCTGTAAAAATGTCTATATGAATGCAAAAGTTGAGAAGAAACGTTAAAAACTCATTAATCAATCAAAACTCAAAGCTTGAAAAGCAGTTGATAATTTGAAAATTCACCAATGCTGTATTCATAGATCTCAACCGGCCGAGCAAACATCTCAGAGCAAGCCTAAATTATAAAATTTCCGCTTGACAGATTGGATTGAGATTACCTGGATCTCCAAATGATTCCCATGAATATTCAGCTTTCGTTTCCTTGCCAAGTATCCGGAAAAATCTTCAGTGATAAATTGAGAAAAGTGATCTCGATTTTGTTCCTAGAATCTTTTTGAGTAAGAAAATCTCTTTTCAACAAACCATATAATTGAGACAAAGTCGTCGCACCTCTGCATGCATTTCTTCATCCGCATAGACGTGATAAGCTAAAAATCTTTTGAAATCAAATTGCTAAATGAAATCAGCTTTTAAAATATGAATTTTCTAATCAAGAAAATATAGTATCCAATCCCTCACCAACAGCCCTGAAAAGACAATTCCCATCGCCGACAATCTCTCGAATCAGAAATCCCCGTTCTCGCTGAAGAGTCTCGGCAAAAGTTCGTTCCAGCTAAAATTTTGATTCAGAAAGTACTTTAATAACTAAAACCTCTGAATTGACTCGAAAAGATCGTTTTGAGCTTTTCTCATCATCGCTATTGTAATGAACGGGTGAACGACGTGAAGAACCTAAACGAAGTATTCACTAGATCAAGTCAACTACTACCTACCATTTCCCGCATTTGTCCTAGTCCGATCTCTTTCTTGAGTCTAAAATAGCATAGTTTTAAAAGATAAAACTCATCAATACTTACAATTTTCTTCCGATGAACAGAGCCAATGGGTTCAGCTGGGATCCTTTCAATGTTCCACGATCGGGTCGAACCAACGCCTCCACTTGTTGTCTCGCGCTGTCTTTGCCTGAAAAGTAGATAGGTTTTAGGAAGGTTTCAATCAAACGGCAAAGTCAAATCAGAGTTAGTCTAGATTTTATAGATTAAACCAGGTCAGCTCGTTTCTTTTATTCACTCCAACCTAATAATATTATTCTTTCGAATATCTCGTAGATCTTTCTTTCGGCCATCCGATGATCGATTCGGTAAAATCGTCATCTAAAACATTTTTGAAAAGGGGTTTTCTTTTTAAACGACAATATTTCGATAACGATTGTACATACGTAAAAACTCTCAAAAAACATCTCGATCAACTCATTGAAAACTTTTATTTTTTGATATTGAGGCAATCAAACAAATGACAAAAGACAAAATATTTACATATTTGCATATTTACAAGAATTCTAGGAAAACACAAATTAAAAAATTAAATTATCTCCCGTAAAAGATCCCTGAAAAAAAAATTGTGCATAAAAAATAGAAAAAATAAATATAATTCTTTATAAAGAAGTCTTTGCTTTGTTGGTAGGACGATTCTTTTTTGATGAGATTTGCACCTGAAATTTAAATGATTTCGATGATATTTTGGTTGTTCTTTACAGTTTATAATAACTGATAACTGATAACTGAAACTAGTAACTGATAGCTGGATAACTGAAATTCTTATTGTCTGGGCCAGGCCAAGCCAGAAACCAGCCTTGTTTTACAAAAAGTACCTAGACAAAAGTCTGGCTTAGCCCTAGAACCTGGAGCATTCTTGGATGCAACAAGACCGAAAAAAGCTCATTCTATTCAATCTTCTACTCTAGAATCAATAATTTCTTATGAATGAGTTACCCTGCAACAAACGCAAACCTTAGCTCGTGTCTCATTGATTGGCGGGATGTGATCCTCATCCTCGTCCCCTTTCTTCTCTTCATCTCTTTCCAACATCGTCGGATCATTCAACCCCTCCACCGTCATTATCAGCGATTTTTCGAGGATCACCTACAATTTTTGTTTTTAAGAAATTTATAATACCAATGCACCTGTTTCTCTTTGTAGCGTTGATCTTCTGAATACGCAAATTCGTACATCCATCCTAATCGATTCTGAAATCAGCTTTAATATCTCTTCATTTCAATTAAATCCTTACCTTGCATTTCCCGCATTCAACATCTCGTACCACATGTTTGCCAGTCATCATCTCTCTCATATCGGCTTCTCTCTCGATGATATTCCAAGCGTGGAGAAAGAGATACGCGGGTCCAGTAGAGCCTATAATTCAATTTTATTGCTTATAGAACTACACCTTTTCCATGTCATATCTAGGCTTAACGATCAAATATCTGCTAAATATAAAAGAGCAGTGTCCGTCTGTCCGTTCGTCCGTCTATTTGGACTTTTTCTCAGCCGTCTTTAGGCCAAAAAACTGAAATTCTTTAAAGGTCTTAAAATATAATATAATTATGTCATTTAAAATGAAAAATTCTGAATAGTCTGAATGGAGTCGCACCCCAGGTGGGTCGAACCCGGGACGTGTGGGCTGTAGACCAACCAGCTCTTGAGCTGCGCCATACCGTCAGAAACCTCTAACCGAAAAAAAACCCGCTATTATGACGGTTTTTCGGCTTCACACTTCACAATCAAATGACTGTTGCCAGTTGATCGACATTACTTCAAACTTTCAAAACCAGCTTATTAAGCTCAAGCCCAGATTAAAGAAGGCTTTTAATTTTTGCAAAATATTATTCGTCACTGTTACAAAACCATGCTTTGATCTTTAAAATTAAGAGATTGAGCTATTTTCTCAAATGAATCCAACCACTTTCCCCCTCTTCACATACCTGTAAATCTATGTGATGTGAGCTCTTTTCGATTTGTGAGATAGGTCTGACAACATTTACACACGTAGATCTTCTCTCCGCCCTTGTGCTCAAAAAAATTTTTATTTACATCACAATTGAATTTGAATTGATTCGCAGGATCAAGTTATAGAATTTTCTCGGGATATGAAATTACAATGGGTTAGTCAATAGACATACACAAAAATGAGGCATCACATGGGAAAGAATGGGAAAAGAGGGGAAAAAGGAATGGCTGAGGGAGGTACGGTAGGTTGGGCAATTTTTTGCAAGCAGTGCTTAGATGAGATTAAGCCTGTGAAACTTCCAACTTCATTAGATTTCCAATTTCTGTACTGTTCAATTTGTGCACTATGTTAGAGATTATTTATTTAAAATAGAAAATCCGTCAATCAATCAATCAATCAATCACAAATCGACCACACGTCGCCTCAAATTTGTTCCCATATTGTTGAGCTATTCGAGCCGTGAAATTTTTCACGAGCTTATTCTGAACAATTGTTAAAAAAAGAAAGAAGTTTTGGGGGGGTGGGACAAATCCGACCTTTTTTGGAACACCTGGACATTTGCGCACCTTTTGCTGAGAGAAAAGGCCTTAGGAAAGGTCGTAGAGCTTCAAAAATGTTTTCATAGAAGGGAATCGTAGCCGTAGATTCAAGAATTTTGACAAATCATACCTCGCTGACACGTCAAATTTGGGCTAAAAGGCAAAAACTGCGGAAAAGCGTTAAGTTGCGTAGTTTTTGCCTTTTTGCCCAAATTCTTTTGTGCTCAGGAGAAAAAAAGTGTCAAAATGCCCAATCTTCGCATACGATCCCTTCTATGAAAACGTTTTTGAAGCTCTGCCCATTTCCCTAAAGCCTTTTCCAGCAAAGGGGAAAAAAAAAAAAAAAAAAAAAAAAAAAAAAAAAAAAAAAAAAAAAAAAAAAAAAAAAAAAAAAAAAAAAAAAAAAAAAAAAAAAAAAAAAAAAAAAAAAAAAAAAAAAAAAAAAAAAAAAAAAAAAAAAAAAAAAAAAAAAAAAAAAAAAAAAAAAAAAAAAAAAAAAGGGGGGGGGGGGGGGGGGGGGGGGGGGGGGGGGGGGGGGGGGGGGGGGGGGGGGGGGGGGGGGGGGGGGGGGGGGGGGGGGGGGGGGGGGGGGGGGGGGGGGGGGGGGGGGGGGGGGGGGGGGGGGGGGGGGGGGGGGGGGGGGGGGGGGGGGGGGGGGGGGGGGGGGGGGGGGGGGGGGGGGGGGGGGGGGGGGGGGGGGGGGGGGGGGGGGGGGGGGGGGGGGGGGGGGGGGGGGGGGGGGGGGGGGGGGGGGGGGGGGGGGGGGGGGGGGGGGGGGGGGGGGGGGGGGGGGGGGGGGGGGGGGGGGGGGGGGGGGGGGGGGGGGGGGGGGGGGGGGGGGGGGGGGGGGGGGGGGGGGGGGGGGGGGGGGGGGGGGGGGGGGGGGGGGGGGGGGGGGGGGGGGGGGGGGGGGGGGTTTCCAGGTAGAACTTCAGTAGAGCATGTGAAATTTTGTTCATTAACATAATAACATTAAATCACAACGAGATTTTGACAGATCGCTCTCAAAAATCCCCGAGCTCGGCTCTCAACTTTGGAAAGCTATATAAAAAAGTTGAAAGTTTTAATTGATTAGATAATTGGTACCGTCCCAAGAGACATACTTAAGATTTATCTCCAGAAAAATCAGAACAATTAACCCAATTTTGGTCAATCTAGGTCCTCTGAAGTGAGGTGCTATAATTTTAGCTGTAGCTATCTGTCTACCAAAACTTGTTGATCTCGATGTCGAGTGGGAACATTCTCTTCGTTCAATGGAGCTGTTGCATGAATGATAATTTGTGGTTCCCAGGAGGAACCTCTGAAAAAAGTAATCAAAATCTATTATCGTATCGAAAGCTTCTCTCAAACAAGGTATTTTCTAAAAGGTATTAACCTTTGAAAATTAATCTTTTTCTGTACAATCAAGATCTATTATCGAACCGAAAGCTTCTCTCAAACTTCTCTAACCTTTGAAAACTAATCTTTTCTAGACAATCAAGCTACTTTTGGATTTGATCATTTGTGAGGTTTGTGAGAGTTTCCAAAAGATACAAAAAGTAGGAATACGGTAGTCTTCAAAAGTGAATACATCTTAGAAAATGCATTTGAAAGGTTGACAACCTGTAGGAAATCTTTTCAATGGACATCTTTCTTCAGCGGCTTCTTCAACCATGTCCACAAACCGGGAATCGTGTGTCCTGCCGGGAAATGTACATGGTGAAGTTCGAAAGCTCTGAAAAAAAACATTTCACTTCCTCGATTGTAATTCATTTACTCTTTGGCATAAAACATTCGATTCAAATCTTTTACATATCGTGGCGGTGAGACATTTGATCGAACTTCAAATCTTCTAAAGCTCCTTCAATTTTTTTCTTTCTTTACTCATCATAGTCTTTGTCTGTCTTTCTTTACTCATCTTTACCTAATCACAATGTGTTTTTCTGACCGGAACTCAAATAATCATTTGCGAATCTTTTAGCTAAAGTCGCAAAATTATGAGGAGCAGATCATTTCGATATCGGTAACTGAAAAAGGAATCCTGTAATATCTAGAAAAGTTAAACCAAAATGAAAGTCAGAAGAAGCGCCAAGACGAGCAACATTTCTCTATCAAATTGATCGGATAGATTTGAAATGGAGCTAGCAATGAGGAGACTGATTTTGAGACTGAAATTTGTTTTCTATCAGTAATATTGAACAATTGTAGGCACTGTAAGTGTTTTGTTTTTTACACTAGAAATAAGTCTGTCGAGAAATCGATCTATTTTCGAGATCACATACCAAATTTGTAGGTGAGTTTCGACATGAGATCGAATTCGGGACAATGTCAAGAATAGGACATTTCCCACTATCGAATGGAGATCCCGAGAAAACGATGTGAACATTTAACTGAGATTGAATATCTTTGAAATTCAGCTATGCTATTGATCCGTTTCCGGCTCAATTTTTAACTATTGGGGTTGGTGAATTAAAAACTGCCGGACTTTGAACTAAAATTTATTGAACATAAACCCATGAATTCATTCGAAATAATTCCCATTATTATTGACGACTTCTGCTCATTTTACAGGCAATTTGCGGACTTCCTCTTTCGTAGTAGGATTTTGGTTTTTGTGTGAGACAAGTGTGAGACTCAAAATCGAGGACTGGAGATGTCCCAGTTTGAGCACTTTCTTCAAAAAAAACCCATTTTGGTGTCAATAGAAAAGTTGTAGAGAATCAAAAATTAGGCTTATAGCCCAAATTTCCAAAAAGATGCACGTAGTATTAGGGGTTTGGAAAAGAAACTGCGTATTATACGCAACGTTCAACACCCGGGGAAAATTAATAATAAAAGACTTTATTCCAAAAGGTACTCGCCAAAATTATCAACTATATTTTTCCATTTTTGTGTAGACTTCGGATGTCTGATTCGAAAAATTCGGGGTCCCGCTGATGCAAAAGTAGTCTTGCACCCAAATTTCGACTTCTTCAGGATTGTTAGACTTTAGCTTTGCAAGAGAGTGTTGCATAGACAGGAACGAGTGGTAATCTGAGGGAGCGATATCAGGCGAATAGAGCGGATGAGGCACAAGTTTCCAGCCTAATTCTTCTATGGTGTTTTGAGCCAAGTTTGATGTGTGTACCCGGAAATTGTGAGCGAGTAAATGGATTGTCCTTGGATTAACACCTCTTTCTCGTAGAATTTCATCAACTTTCTTCAGCTGTTTGGCGTAGCTTTGAGAAGTTATAGTTTTTGAAGATTTTTGTAGTTTAAAATAATACGATTTCTTTCATATTCCAAAAGACCGACAGCATAACTTTCTTTCTGTGAAGTTCTGGATGTGATGTCGGAATCGGCCTTTCTCCTTTGCTCAACCATTGTCTTTTTGCGTGTTGAATTATTGAAATATATCCACTTTTGTCCATCGTCAACATGCTTGCAAAAAAGCACTGCCCGTAGCCTTTTTCAATAAAATCCGAGACAATAAAACTCGATTGGCTTTGTTTTCAGGCGACAATTCATGTGGGACCCATTGGCCACAACGATTCCTTTTTCCAATAAGCAAAAGGTGTCGGGAAATTGTGCTCTTATCGCATTTAAAGCATTCGGCTAATTCGGACAAAGTTTGAGTTGGATCCGACTCGACAACCTCGAGCAACTCCGCATTATCGAGGACAACAGGATGATGATCATGGGGCTCGTCTTCCAAGCCCTCATCTCCTTCACGAAAACGCCGGAACCATTCCTGACAACTTCTTTCACTCAAAACGTTTTCTCCAAATGCTTCACAAAAGATTCCGGTGCGACTCCAATGCTGATTTCTTCATTTTAAAGTCATAGAGAAGGCAAGCCCGCAAAACGAATTTTTGATCCGTCATCTTCGACAACTAAAATTATTTATAATTCAATGGTCAAACAAATGTGAAAATCAGTAAAATAAATAAGCGTTATCAACACAATAGAATAAAATTTAAACTGGGTTAGAGCACTTTCAAATAGAGAAAATATTGTTCCGGAAAGTCATGCGCAGTTTCTTTTGCAACCCCTAATAGTTTCGCTTAAAATGCAAGTTTTGCGAAAATTCGTAAATTGGCATTTCTTGAAAACCAGTTTTTGAATTGTTCTGAAAATTTGGATATAAGCTTAATTTTTGATTCTCTACAATTTTCTATTAATACCAAATTGGGTTTCCTTTGAAGAAAGTGCTCAAACTGTGACATATGACAATAGCCGGCAGTTTTCAATTCACCAACCCAATACTTTCATTCAGAAACCTTTTCCTGAAAGACTGAGCTACATTCGTGCAATCGAAGAATTATTCCAAGAATCGATATTGAGTGACGATCGATGAAAAGTGACAATGACACTGGACCATTCCATGCTTTTAACTAAAAAACAAAATTAAAAACAGTTTCAAAATCTCACTTGTTCATAGATGATTGGAAAGAAATTAGCGGTAGCATGGCTGGCAAGGGGTTGGTTATCGCATGATCGCCATTCGAATCGAAACTAAAATTTTATTCCGAATTTACTAGACTGGCTTATTTATTTTGAGAGAATAGTGTAAAATAGAAAATGATTACGGTAAAAAGAAACATTATTTCTATCAAAAAGTTCTTTTGGCTTACACTTTTTGTGCTTGAGTGATGTTGAAAGCGACACAGTGCTCTCCTCGGCTAACTGTTTGGAAACTTTTACTTCGAAGATATCCGAAAATCCTAAAGAATGTAGAAAAGAAGATTTCAAATTCAAACCTGCGTATAATACTGTGTGAATAGAAGAAGTCCGATCAAGGCAAAAACAACATATACCAACCATGGATTTCTTTTGGCGAACACGGATTACCATTGAGCTCGCTGGATTAGAAAATTACAGAATTGTTTCAATTTTCACTCATTTATCAAAATGAAATCTTTTTTGAGGTATTGTTTTCGAATGGAATTGTTTCAGAGAGTAACGGTCCTTTTTGAAAACCCACGACATTGACTCGGTGTTTTCGTCATCGCTTATCCCCTCTCTCGCCATTTCGGTAATGGTGGAAGTTTGAGTGGCCTGGTCGAAAGCTGGGGTTTGAGTTTGAGGGTCGAAAGCTGTAAAATAAGGCTGTTCATGTTTGTCATTGTGGAGTATTTAACAATTTTTTTACTCAAGTATTCGGTCAATTTAGAAGCTTGATTTAGATTACCAGACTAAATTGAAGCTAAAATTTTGAGAATTTACCTAACAAGAACGAACATCTAACCAAAAATCGATTACTCCCTAGATGTTCATTTCTCTAGCTTTGAATATCTTAAAAGATACCGATATCGGCTGGAGTACAGCTTACCCGCACTTCACTACACTTCACGAAAAATTTTCGAAAACCACTTTTCTGGGATTTTCGACCATGCGGAATCCAAATAACATAGATCACTGGAAGCAAAAATTTTGCCTTGGGAGACCAAGACAAAAAAAATTTTAAACCCTTCTTTCAGTTTCTCTTTTCTTTTTTGTTGATTTTATGCCGATTTTACTACCATTCATTAATTTTTTTCTTCTAGGATGACGGACATTAGTGAGTTGCTTGATGATTTGGCAACTACGGCGGCGCCCGTGCTAGCCCGTGATGCGCGGTCGGGAAGTGACCATGCGTCACACCGTATTTTTTTAAAGGGGCCGGAAACCACGTGACGCGCAGAGAATGCCCAGAGAAAAATACTACCTGATTGAGTTAGTCCGCTCTGTCCAACACAAAAACTTCGAGTCTTTTACTCACAATTTTTTCGTTTCCGATGATCGGGACTATGTTACAAGGCAAAATTTTTCAAAAATCGAAATTTTCTTTGTTTCCAGTGATCGGAAGTATGTAATTCGGATTCAGCATGTTCGAAAACCCCCAGAAAAGTGGTTTTCGAAAATTTTTCGTGGGGGTAAACTGCACTCTTACCCCCGGTATCCTTGGATGATCTCTTTATTCTCTCTCATAACAATCCCCCAAATAGAGTTCAGTCTCAACCATATAATGGATGAAGACAGGATGGCCTTGTCATTACCTCGATTTCCCTCCATCCTCTGTGTTCACTTTTGGATCATTCCATTCCCTCAATGGTCTCCCTTCCCATTCTCTCTGTGAGCCGCAACGCGACACGTCTTGCCTCCATTCCGTTCACTCCATTTTTTTCCTTAAAGAACCGAATCCGAATCGTTTCTGACACTTTTAAAACATTAATGTTTTTATTATTCTTTTCAATTCGAGACTAAACATTGAGTTTCTGACATTTGAGTTCCTATAAATTCGAATTGTTTGCCCTAAAGTTTGATTTAATTATTTGATTTAAATATTTGATTTAATTATTTGATTTAATTATTTGATTTATGCTTATTTGATTTATGAAACTATTTAACCTAAAAATTAGCTCAGCTATTATTGAAAAAGATTGAAAAAAGTGTTTGAAACTTTCAACAAAATCTATAGTAGTCGTAAAGTTGCACTTTGTATAAGAAACAAGACTAAATTAAACTATGATAAAAGGAAATTCATTTTTGGGGGTAGGCTAGTTTCCGCAACTTTTTTTGCGCAACAGGGTCATTTGCGCAACTGGGTCGTTTGCGCAACTCGGCATAACTTTCGGCGTCGGCCAATCCTTATGATTTTGGTTTCATTTTGTTGCACTTATTGAGATCTACAAAATGAGACCAAAATCATAAAGATTAGCCCACTTAGAAGAAAGTTATGCCGAGTTGCGCAAACGACCAAATGTTGGCAAAAAAGTTGCGGAAACTAGCCTACCCCCATTTTTGCTTAATGAAACGCTGTGTTTTAAATCTGAAAGCTTTCAACGCCTATCACTTTTTGCCATTTTCTCTGTTTTGTCCCTTTCTAAAGAATGGATCGAGATTTATTGTGTTCTTTTTTTCTAATATCGGTTAACGAGGTCAGCTCACACATAAGGTTTCTCTTTTCTCTTTCTCTTTTCTATAATATAAAAAAAATTTCCGATCCAAATTTCTTTCGATCCAATCATTCCTTTGCCGATTTGCCACTTTTTTTGCGTTGAAATTAGGGAATTTAGCCCAATTCTAAGCAGGTCATTCCTATTTTTTGTGTTTCTTTATCAAATTTATTGGCTAATGTTTTTTTTTATTTTAGAAATCGGAAACGATGGTGAAAGACGCGTCAGCGCCACACGATTTCTCCGATCACACGGCGCACATGCAATGGCGGGTAAATATTTGATTGTTAATCGAAAAATTGTTTCTTATTTTAGATGGAAGCTGGTGGACGAGCCGCCGAGAAAAATGTGCCGATGATACCCGCTGATCTTTCTGGTGGATCGAAATCTCAGGTTTCTTTTTGATCAAAATGTTAACAAGTTTTCTTTTAATTTTAGTCGAGTTCGGCGGCCGCCTTGCAGAAATTCGTGTCTAATCCGTTTATTCCGCTTGGATTACTTGCCACTACCGGATGCCTAATTGGTTCGTTGAGATTCACATCTGTTTTAAGAGAAATTTTTAGGAATCATGGCTCAAACGTTGAAAAGAAATCCGCATAAAGCTCAACTTTATATGCGAGGACGATGTGCGGCGCAGGTGAGAGTTTTTCTAATATAAACTTGTGAAATTTGAATTGCTAAGCTTTATTTGCGTAGATTTTTAAAACCTATTATATTTTACAACTCTACTATATTTTATCCTATTAGTCTTTTTTTAGTTTTTCACGGTGGCTTCGATCGTTGGAGGCGCGTGGTTCTTTGGCGGCTTTCAATCATCATTGCAACCCGGTCAGCACGGACAACCGCATCAATTAACACAGAAGTAGTTTCAACTTTGCTTTAAATCCTGTGGATATTTTGTTTCCAAAATTTACTGAAATATCTAGTCATTGTTTCTTAGACTTTTCTTCATCTTTCATCAAATCTTTTTTTCTTTTTCTTTTCCTCTAATCCTTCGACGTCGTTTTTACTGAATGAAAATACGGGCAGCCATAGAATTATTAGTTTGCGTTGTTTGATATTATATAGCTTTTCTCGTTATCGATGATTGTCAATAAAAGTTTTTAAATTTTAGATTTCGATGAAATAGCTGTTTAAAACGGCTTGATTACTGTTTAACTTTTCAATCGTGATTCGGACGATGATGGATTGTGATTCTTACCCTTTCACCTTTCACGAATCAGTCACTTATTCCCCGTCCTTAGCACGTCTCTATTGTCATTTCTGTGTGTGGGGAGGGGGGGTGTCGGTGTGTGCATTTGATCGATTTGCATCGGGGCGTGGCGACACACAAAAAGAAAAAAAAGGGATGAAAGAGAGGGCAGGATTGTGCTGACTGAGGGAGGGGGACTCACACCCACCTACCTCAATCACCTCTCATCTCACCAACCTCTTCATTTTTTTCAATAATTACCCTCATCCTGGGGTGAGAAAGAGAAGGCGCACCTTTGATTTCCTAACATTTAGCTGGATAGTAGCTTTTAGAATAAATTCTCTTTGCATGAAGGATATCAACCCTTGGATCTTAACATTTTGTCGACTGATCTTTTAGAATACAATTTGATCTCTTTGAATCTCTTTGAATTTGAGTCAACTTATTAAGCTTTGATTCTTAATCTAATCTAATCTAATCTACAATCTAAGAGTTAAATGCTCCATTTGTTAAAACACAGTTGCAACTTTGAATATAAGACATTCGATTTCAAATAATTTTTCGAAAAATTTTCATCTTTTAAAATGTAGTCTGTTTGAGGCACTATGGTGTTGGCTGAGATGACTGTGGCCGCTTTAATATGATGCTACAGTACACTGTTAGAAATAAAAACTAAGAAAATACTATAAGATCAACAATATAAGAGCACCATATTTTCTAAAAAGCAAATATTTCTAGATATCTAAAGTTAACGACTTCCATATTTGAATTTAGCGCCTTTTTTCTCTTCTGAACTCGATTTTCTTCTCACCTTTCTGAGGTCACTTTGATAAGCAACGAAAGATCAGACTATTAGTTCTGATTTTTGAATCAAATCCAAAATCCATAAAAAACGTAAACGATTGGTGTGTTCTCCTCGCTTTCTTGAAACTTGTGTGGTATGTTTGTGGATTTTCGCTTCAAGAGCTCGTTGGACCCTCTCTTCTCTCATTTCTCCCCCTTTCCCCCTTCCAATTCCCGTTCTCAAACACATTCATTCTATAGTCCCGCGTAGGTTCTTTTTTTTTTTGATCTTTTCTCTTTTTTTTTCCATTTTTCAGATTTTATTTCCTCTAATCTTGTTTTGTATTGGGCAACAATGTGAATCAGAACAAAAAGATATGAGAAACCATCTGTTCTGAGTCATTTCTTTCCCGTCTCTCCTTTACGAGCCCATTTTTCGAACCAATCAATCAATGCCATCGGCTTCTTTTCTCGCTTTCCCCCAAAAGAATTGTCTTGATTTAAATTTAGCCCATTGGCTAAAAAGTGACCAAATTTGCGATAAGAGTTTTCCTCAACTGTGACTAATTAGAAATCACTATTTTAGCCAAATACCACTTCCCGTATCGATTTTCCTTTTTTTTTATCGAAAAAGAAATCCCTGAGTTGGACAAATCCTTTTCTCGTATGATTCTTTTTTTCATTGCTTTGAAAAGCACGTCTTCCATTGTTCGATTTCTCTATTCGAGGGTTTGTGAGAGGGGATTATCGTCAGGAAACCGGTTTACTTTCTTTTTTTTTGATTTCCTCTTTTTTTATTTTCATTCATTTTTTTTGATTTCAAATTTTTCTATAAAATATGGATTTTTTTGTTTTACAGATCAAAATGCGCGAGTACAAGATCGTCGTTTTGGGATCGGGAGGTGTTGGAAAGAGCGCTTTGGTGAGTTCAGACTCGAGTAGATCGAGAAATTTGGTACTCAATAAAAATAAATACGGTAGAATAGCTGCAAATTACAAATAAATATTAGCCAAATGACAAATTCAATGGGCTTCTCTATTTGACGTTGTTTTCATCGCTGAGCAAACCCGAAATTTTGAAATAGCCTAAGCCCAAAAAATTTCAGACAGTCCAATTCGTTCAAGGGATTTTTGTGGAAAAATATGATCCAACGATTGAGGACAGTTATCGAAAGGTAAAAAAAAATGACACCGGCTTTCCAAGTCGACCCACCATCTACCGAACTTGTGTTCTTGACCTGTAGCGCAGGATACAAAATTTCCATCATTTGAGAAGCGAATTTGATTAATGAAACCTTTCTAAAACAGATCAATAACTATTAATGAAAAAAGTTAATACCATTTCGTACGTGTAAGTCAAAAGAAGAGGCTTTCAGAAGTCGATAAAGTTTGTGATTTTCCTTTGAAACGAAACCTTGCGTACTTATACAACAGCTACGAAACGCTCCGTTTTAGAAGAAAAATGATGAACTTTCAAAGTATACAGTGTGTAGAAAAAAAAGCAATTCAAATTTCAGCAAGTTGAAGTGGACGGACAACAATGTATGCTGGAAATTCTCGATACGGCTGGAACGGTAAAAATTGATTTTGAAGATCAATTTTGAAACAAACAAAAAAGACATTTTCAGGAACAATTCACGGCTATGCGAGATTTGTATATGAAAAATGGACAGGGATTCGTCTTGGTTTATTCAATTACAGCACAATCGACATTCAATGATTTAATCGATTTGCGCGATCAAATTCTTCGCGTCAAAGATGCCGATGATGTGCGTTAGAATGACTGTGAATGCAAATTACTGTTCTCCCAAACTAAATGCGGTTTCTAAAACATGGCCGCTTTTCTGAAAACTACCGTAATTCTATCGCTAGTAATTTTATTTATCTAAATGCAAGTAAGAATGCAAATTTCAGGTACTAATGATGATTGTGGGGTTACTGAAAATTTACTTTGGTGAAATTTACTTGCATGCAAATCTTTTGCAAAGTTTTAAGGACAAATTATTTTAGACAAACTCCTTACATTCATAAAATAGTAATCTAGTAATCTAGAAATCTAGTAATCTAGAAATCTAGTAATCTAGTAATCTAGTAATCTAGTAATCTGGAAATCTAGAAATCTAGTAATCTAGTAATCTAGTAATCTAGTAATCTAGTAATCTAGTAGTCTAGTAATCTAGAAATCTAGTAATCTAGTAATCTAGAAATCTAGAAATCTAGTAGTCTAGTAATCTAGAAATCTAGTAATCTAGAAATCTAGAAATCTAGAGAATTAGCTATAAAATGCAAATTCCAGGTGCCAATGATCCTTGTTGGAAATAAATGTGATTTGGAAGATGAACGAGTGGTGGGGAAAGATCAAGGACACTCATTGGCAAGACAATTTGGATCGGCTTTTCTTGAGACTTCGGCTAAAGCGAAGATCAACGTTAATGAGGTAGTCACTGTTTAACAAAATCCTCTTTACCCCAATAATCTCTTTACTCTTTATCTCTTTACGCTTGATTCCAAACAAAGCACTGAACATATCCCCATTTGCTAAACTTTTGCTTTGATCAATAGAGATCAGGAAAATTTACAAATTTTGTTACCCGATAACAGAATTGCTGTTTGACTCATCCTCTGAACTCAATATTGAAAACAACTTCCGTCTGGTTCACTCAATACTTTTCACTTGTCATGAACAGTGACTTCAATCAGAAAAACATGGGAAAATTCCAAGCCCAGCCTAATTCCACCTTCATTTTCTCAGCTGTTTCTTGACCGATTGCTCTGAAATTTTGTCTACGAGCGGAGAATATTAATTTCTATTTGTAAACAAAATTTCAGAACAATCCGACAAGAAACGGCTGAGAAAATGGAGGTGGAATTAGGTTCGGGTTCGAATTTTCCCATGTCTAGTACACAAGAAAAAGCCAGTATTTTATTGATGATTGGCACGATGTAATTCTTTGCCAAGTACAAGATTAGAGTTGATTCAGAGTAAACATTTTGGGGTGTGCTTAGTAAACATATGCTTAACATTAAATCCTATTCAGATAAAGGTAATTTTTCGGTAATTAATTAGTAATTTTTTCATAGAAAATGAATGAACCTGAAGAAAACTGAAGAAAAAGTGTTCCCTTTTCTCAGGTATTCTTCGATCTCGTTCGACAAATCAATCGACGATACCCGGAAACGGGGAAAGGTCATCACGGATCGAAGAAATTCTGTTGTTGCTCAATTATGTAAAGATTTCACGATACAATTTTTACTTTGGTCATGTATTTATTTCGATTCTTTTTCTATTTCAAATCATTTCCTTTCCTCAATCGATTCATTCATTCATTCATTCAGCATAATCTGACCATCATCGATTTTCTCTCTTTTTCATCTACGTTGAGCTTTTTGTGATATAAAATACCGTATTTCTTCGAATAGTAGACCGGGTAAAGAGTATCATCGCGTACTCCTGCGTAGCAGCCCTTTTTAAAATTTCTTTTCTGCATAAAAGCTTTCAATGAAGTGCTATAGGGCTGGAAAATGACTCAAAAATACCACATGAGCTAACAGATTTTTGAGCCATTTTCCAGCTCTATAGCACTTGATTGAAAGCTTTTATGCAAAAAAAAGAAATTTTAAAAAGGGCTGCTACGCAGGAGTATGCGATGATACTCTTTACCCGGTCTTCTATTCGAAGAAATACGGTAACCTTTCTCAATTCATCCAATTTCAGCCCAATTCCAATGAAACCAAACTTTTATTGTGAATTTTCAATGAAAAAATGAAAAAAAACAAAAACGTTCCAGTGAGGATTTTAAGTGAAAAAAGGAATCTCTTCAGTTTTTCAAAATATTCAGTTTTGAACTGGAACTCTTGAAAAACTAAAGACAACTAAAGATTCAATTTTCGTTTATAAACCTGCTTACAGTAGTCCTTATCGACGAAAGTTTGGTGTAAAATAGAAGCTACGGTAGTCCAAAGATTTCATTTCCGATTACGGTAGTCAATGCGGTTTTCTATTCTGCACCCAACTCGATATCGACAAACTTCTCTTTTTTTTTTTACACATTTCAGCCTCAATCTAATTCTTGCTTTTTGTACGAGTGTTTGTGCCTTTACATATTATGATCAAAGGGATCAATTGCTATCAGCTTTCTCTTTTCTTTTCTTCTTTTCATTTACTTTTAAAATTCACCTAAATTCCCTTGATTTCTTTATGTGAGATATTATTTTGGTTTTTGAAAATGATCGGGATAAAGATGCTTGAAATTTAATTCTACATCAAATCTGCAATGAAGCAAATTGGTAAGTCTGATTGTTCCTTTATAGTTCCTTTATAGTTCCTTTATGGTTCCTTTAAAGTTCTTTTATAGTGCTTTTATAGTTCTTATAGGTTCTTATAGACTTTTATAGGTAAGAAAATGATCGGGATAAAGATGCTTGAAATTTGATTCTACATCAAATATGCAATGAAGCAAATTGGTGAATCTAAAGAACATCTAGAAAGCTTTATGTTACAAAGCATTGTGAATCTAAATGTGTGTAAAAAAATGAAGCTTCTTTGATCCAAATCTTCGATCGCACGGCCATAAAGATGAAAATTTTTAGAATAAGCATTAACTTTCACGTTATAACTATTGGGATGGTCAATAAGTAATGAGTAAGAAAGAAAATTTTGTCGTAAAGTTTTAGTTGGCTCTCAGTGTTTACCTCTAAAAGAGACAACAGAATTCTCTTATTCCAAAGCACTTTCATTGGTTGAACACTTCTTATTTCTTTATTAACTACTTCTTTTTTCGATTAGTGTAAATTTGCCAAATGGGCATATTCAGCATTCAGCATGCTATTTGGGTTCGCTAATTACTCATTTTCAAGCCTAGCTCTAGATCACATAACAAAAGTATATGGTCATGATCACATAACATGATCGTCATGATCACATAACGTGATCATCATGGTCACATAACGTGATCGTCATGATCACATAACGTGATCATCATGGTCACATAACATGATCCTCATGATCACATCTAGATCACATAACATAACAAGTATATGGTCATGACTCCCTTTATAGACTATATGTGATCGATGATTTCACAAGTTTAAAAATGGGGACAAATCTTTGATCGAAAGCAACCGCTCCGGGAGACCGGTTGAGGTTTTTATTGAGAGTTATTGGATACTGGGAGTGCTGGAAGTTATAGGATAGCAAGCAAACACTTAACTCTCAACGATACAGTAATCAATCGCAGAATCTGGCTAAAGCTTTTGAGATAAAAAGACCAAATCTGAAAAAGATCATCTTGCAGCATGACAATGCTCGCCTACACACTGCTAAACTGACTCGATCTACAACCAAAAACCTGGACTAGGAACTTCTCCCACACCCAACATATTCCCCAGATCTAGCTCTATCAGATTACCATTTATTTGGAAAATCCGCTAGTCGGAGAGCATTTTGAAGATGAAAAAGTTACCAAAAAATTGTACAGAACTAGTTTGACTCAAAATCAAAGTTTTTTTACGCTAAAGGAGTTCGCCTTCTACCAATAAAATGCGCAGTTTATTGAAAAAGATGGAAACCTATTTTGATTGATTTAGAAATTATTGAATAAATATTTCTGCTTGAAAACGACTCATTATTATCGACCGATCCAATAAAATAAAACGCTCACCAAAGCAATTCTGCAAGCCTTTTCAATCAAAACTTTTACAGAAAAATATCTTTTTTTCATAAAAGACTTGTTCATATTATGGTTATTCCCGGAAATCTCCCGTGCTTCTTTTCCATCTTCTTCTTCAGTCAGTCATCTTCTATTCATTCTATTCATTCACTTTTGCCCTTTCCCCTCAATTTCCAACTGCTCATCGCATAATTCTTGGGTCAGTCCATCCCCAAACCGGTTTTCAATCTCAATTCATATAAAAGACATCTCAAATGAAGACCGTAAGAGTCACCGTTCATTCATTTCCCTTCACTTATATCTTTTTATTTATTGTTGCAACGTGTTCCTTTTCTAAGATTACTTTGGCTTCTTGAATCGCTTCTTGAATCGCTTCTTGAATCGCTTCTTGAACCGCTTCTTGAAACGCTTCTTGAATCGTTTTTTGAATCGCTTCTTGAATCGCTTTAAAGTCTTCAACTCGTGGATTCAAATACTCCCCAGGAGACAATTGTTCAACATTTCAGAACCTTATTTGCTCAACTTTTAAAATGAGACAGTGGGTATTCATATGTTCATTGATGACTTGTACAATGGCATGTGTTGGCCTGCTTGGTGGCTGTTGTGGAGGTGGTGGAGGGGGGTGTGGATGTGGAAGGAAAAAGAGGTTAGTCCAATTATTGACCAGATTTTCCAAAAACTTCTAGATCAGCTGACGTGGAGTGGCTTGGGCAAAGCGGTCAGAACGACGATTTCCTCTGCAACTCGGCGCATTTGCGAAATCTCCTCAACGAGGTTTGAAAATAGAATTCTGAAAAAAAAAACCCTATCGTTTTCAGACAATCTCCTCTTCGCCAGAAATCTCGAAAATGGCGTTGATGACCCGATTGCACGCTGAGGGGGAGGATTCGGCGGTGAGTTGAAGGAAAAAAATTGACTAACTGATTCCTTGATGGAGAAATTTTGCATAAACTCATTGTCAGATGGGTTGAACGTACTTCTACGTGTCTTGAATGGATATTTATCATATCTGATAATAAGAAGGATTTTATGCAAATTACAGTGAAACTCCAGGGTGACCGCGAATTATAGCGACAACTTTTTGGAAAAATAGCTGGGAAATGTCTAATTTCTTTCAAAAGTGGCAAGTGTTATATAGAGAATTGTAGCCCTAATTCTCCGCAATATTTATCTACCAAAAACTTCCCAATTGGACGTATGCAACTCATTTAACAAGCGCCTGAATGAGCGCTAGTCTCGAATCTATCATTTGGCTTTTCTCTTTTCTTTTCAATATTTCTTTAATGCAAAAAATAGCGTTTAATATCCCTTAATAACATTAAGCTTTGTTTCTCTTTGTTTTGCTTTGTTTCGAAAATGTTTTAAAGGCTGGTTAACACTAAAAGAAGGTTATATAATAATACTTTATTCAAACGATAAAGTGAAAGAAATCATAGAGAAATGCACAGTGATACTTAATCATACAATACATACTGAAATCAATAAGCCAATTACTTACGGCAAAGAGCCACTAGATCTAAAGCATCGATACGTTTCTTGAATATGAAAAGCGACTGAATTTCTCGTATGTCGTTTGGGAGCAAGTTCCATAATCTAGCGGCTCTAACGGGAAATGAATTTGATAAAGAGGCATTGGAAGCAAAGGGAATTTGCAAAAGGAATGAGCCACTTCTGGGCCCTGACCGCGGTTTAAATTTGAAAAAGTCTATAAACAAAGGGCTAATCTGTTTACAACGGAGGATTTTGAAAGTTTCGACTAAATCAATGACAAAGCGACGATGCTGTAAAGTTTTTAGTTCAAAAAAAGCAAGTCTCTCCTCATAAGTAAAGCTAGAATATTTAGAATAGTCAATTTTAGGGAAATGCATAAGAAATGCGGATTTCAACATTTTCATCATCAATCAATCGATAGAAACCTGATATCGATGAATGTTATATACTATTTGAAAGTTGTAAAGCTCCTCTACAAAATAAGCTAAAACGTGTTTCAATTGATCGAACCATTGAAGAAATTTCGAGGGCGAAATGCGAGTGACCAAAAAAAGGGCACTTTTTGAAAACCCCACTTTCATAAGAGTTCGGTTTTGAATATATAGTGGAAAATTTCCTAAAATATCAATAAAACCGCCCTAAAATATCATTCAAAATAATTAAGAGTTGGGATTTTCATGGGAAAACATTTCATGGGAAAACTTTGTTTTTACAATAATTTTTCTTTTTTGTGAAAAAGCCGGTTTTTTTTGACAATTTTGAGGGTTTTAAATTTACGCTCTATCTAAATTTTTGTAATTGCATTTCCGTTAGACTCTTTTAATGAATTGATATATAGTTATCCTTTTTTTAAATCTTTAATTTTGGGAGGCTAAAACGTGTTTCAATTGATCGAAGCATTGAAGAAATTTCGAGGTCGAAATGCGAGTGACCAAAAAAAAGGCACTTTTTTTGAAAACCCCACTTTCACACAAGTTCGCTTTTGACTATATAGTGGAAAATGACCTATCAAAATCTGAACCAAATCTGAACCAAATCAGAAAATGACCGCCCAAAAAATATCATTCAAAAGAATTAAGAGTTGGGATCATTTCATGGGAAAACTTTGTTTTTATAATAATTTTTCTTTTTTTGTGAAAAAGCCGGTTTTTTTTGACAATTTTGAGGGTTTTAAACTTACGCTCTATCTAAATTTTTGTAATTGCATTTCCGTTAGACTCTTTTAATGAATTGATATATAGTTATCCTTTTTTTTAAATCTTTAATTTTGGGAAGCTAACTCGATTTTGACCACACTAAACTTGTCCCTAAAGTGACTCGATTCCTTGTTTTGGTCACTCCTATTTCGCCCTCGAAATTTCTTCAATGGTTCGATCAATTGAAACACGTTTTAGCCTATTTTGTAGAGGAGATTTACAACTTTCAAATAGTTTATAACATTCATCGATATCAGTTTTCTATCGTTGGAAATTTATGGAAATGTTGAAATAATCTCTTATGCATGTACCTAATATCACTTAATAACATTAAGAAAATGTGGAAAATCGTGAAAAATCGCAGATCGCTGAAGTCTTTTACTTTGTTTGTCAAGCTTTTCGGCTTTTGATATATATTTGGACATTCTTCTTACATGCTCAGGGGATTTTATGCAAATTTAAGCGCTATTATGACAATGTACCCTGAGATTCTGACCATCGGATTTGCTTTCCCTTGTACACACATCAATATTTTTGTGCTTTTTTTGATTGGATAATTGGACTTTTTAGAAAACAGTTCCAAAAATGACTTACAGCCTTTCACCATATTATTGACGTTTGGTTCAGATGATCGTCTGCTCATCGCAACCTTTCTCCTACGCTTTACCACAACACGCCGAGTATTGCTCGCACGCGAATTCCGATAACATGTGCTATGTTTTTGTTTTGTGAAAATTAAACAATTTTATTCACTCAACTGACAAAGAAAAGAAGAAAAACCGAAAAAAACCGTTCTGAGTTCATGTGTATCACCACTATATGTACTATATGTAAATGGACAAAAAAAAACAATGACGGTAGAGAAAAATTTTCAATTGGAGAGATCACAGACCCGAGTAAATCACAAAAAATAAAATAGCTAAATAAACTAAAGAACTAATGGTTAAAACTATAACTGAGACTAAAATGGATAGAATCATGTGAAGATTTGAGGTGACAAGAGAGAGAGAGAGGAAATGAGGAGAATCGCGAAGGACTCATCACAATGAACATGTAAAAAAAGATGAGAAAAACGAGTTGACAAATGGAAAACAAATGGACAAATGAATTTTTCTGAACAGTAGTTCAAAGCCTGAATCAACATCCAATCAACAGACCTCAGCGATCTGCGATTTTCTCGATTTCACGATTTTCTACATGAATCAACTACCGTAAACTCAGTTATTCAATCTATTACAAGCCTTACGATAGTGACAAAGGAATAGAGATAATATAGAATAATATAGAATGACAATAGAAATCAAAGGAAAATATTCTTTTCTTTTTTGACTTATGTGAGGAAAACATCGCGAACGAGTGGATCGAACATCATCATCCCGAAAACATCGTGCATTCGAGTGTGCGTATAGGCCCAATAAACACTGCACTGAAAATGGAAATCTTAGAAAAAAGGTTAATTAATTACCGCATCATAGGCAGCAAAGTCATCAATAACAAAAGAAGAGTACTTTTACGCTTTTTAAAGGCTATCAGACATTTGACGCCCTTTTTCCCCATGAGCAATCGAACTTTAAACTCAAATATCTTGGTGTTGGGCTGTTGAATTTATAAACTATTGACAAATTGTTGTTGTTTGTTTGTTTGTTGTTGTTATCATTAGATGCACCAAGTCTTTCTCTGTCGATTGGTACAAAAAACTATTTAAATTGCACAACTCAACACCAAGAATTTTGAGCTATTACCGTACTCTTCACTTACCCGGATATTCGTTGTCAAGAGCAGAATTGCTCCCAATCTCTCTGCCGCTTTGTCTCCCTCTTTTGCTTTACTGTAATCCATTAATTCGTTGATGAGTTTCGTTTGAAGACTGAATGCTGATTTCCGATGTTTTTCCGTGAAATGGTTACGATCTAAGAAATGTTTGATACTTGATGACAAAAAAAATAGAATTTTACATGATAGAAGAATGATTGATTTGAGCACAGCACACTCGTACTCATCAACTTTCAAGGCACGCATCGGTCGACCAACATCTTTGATAGCCTCGGCGACAAAACACGGGTGTAGTCTGGAGATTATTACTGTACGAAAGTTTAAATGCTTATAGTTTTTGTTCTTACAACTTTTTATAGGTACTGGTCTTTGCTATATGCAGCACTTGTTTTTCTGTTTTTCAATGTTTTTATCCCACTCACTTTGCTTTATCCTTATCAACAAGGGGTAGTTCGTGTGTGGGTAAACCGCGGGTGTAATCTGGGCACATATAAGTGCCATTTTGGAGAATCCAGAGCTAGAATGAGATTGTTGAAACATGATAAAGTGGAATCATCAACCTCGAGATCATCTTGTTGAATCGTTTGATATCCTTGATCAATGAGCATCATCGCGAAACCAAAATCTTGTAGGATGAGGCGCTGAAAGCTCGTTTGACTGCACAAAATGAGTTTCTTGATATTGATATTGAGATTTATAGATTAGGAACTAGTAATTGTGGTTGTAAAATGCTTGGTACTAATAGATTAGCCATTACAGTAGTTTGTGAGTACTGTAATATCTAATTCATTTAATTGAACCCTCAATCTTCTGCTCATTGGCAGATGCTCTACCAATGAGCTATCGACGTCTTCTTTTCCCTAGAAGAAATAGGAAAGATAAGGAAGAAGAAAGAGAAACTAGTAAACTAGTTGGCAAAGTCGCGCTCGAAGGACTGTAAGTGTAAAGTGGAATTCAAAGTACTGTAAAATCATCTGTAAGTACTGTAATTATACAAACATCAGATACTATACTTCGTAAAGTTTGTCAGCTATAGCTATTATTTCATTCTCTTCCTCAAACCTTTGACTGTGTGTTAAGTGAAGCGAATTCTTTAAACGCTTGTCCCCATTCGGCCGCATCCATCAATCCGCATCTCAACATTGCATTCACATCGTGTCGTCTAGCTCGCCGTGGCCCCGATCCACCAGGATGTAACTGAAAAAGGATTTTGTTACACAATTGTCGACATGATCGACTGGCTAAGAGTCCTATCGGGATCTTAGTCCGGAGATCCAGGACTCAATCCCGTCGGCTAGATTATTGGTTCCTCAGATATATATATGTCGCAGCCGCTGATTTTCAGCCGCTAGTGATTGAAACCATCGACTAGCCGCTAGTGATTGAAACCATCGACTAGCCGCTAGTGATTGAAACCATCGACTAGCCGCTAGTGATTGAAACCATCGACTAGCCGCTAGTGATTGAAACCATCGACTAGCCGCTAGTGATTGAAACCATCGGCTAGCCGCTAGTGATTGAAACCATCGACTAGCCGCTAGTGATTCAATCACCATCGGCTGAAAATCACGAGCGGCTGCGACACATATATATATATGGGTTTTTCTTCTACATTTACGGCTATTGTTTGTACCAAATTATTCAAATGAATAAATGTATTTTCAAGAAAAATTACTATATTTTTGTACATATCATTCCATCTATTCAAAGAAATCAAAGAAAAAACAAACCCGAATTTCAACTTGATCAAAGAGCTCATCTTTCCCATCAATTCCCGCATCATAGGCAGCAAAGTGAGCCTTGTGAGCGGCTCTCTGGAATTTACGTTGAAAAAGAGATTCTAAAAGCAAAGATCTACTTGTTTTTGTTGCATTCTCATCACTCGATCCATCACACTGTCTGGACTACTCCATGTCGAATCGGAGGAAGCACCTGAAATGAGGAAATGAAGAGAAATGGCAGAAAAGAAGCTCTACTTTGTGCTCTTTCAAAACGCCCGCTTTCTGAAATACTCTTAAGTATGCCAGAAAGTGAGTACAAAGTAAAGCTGCTTTTGTGAGTTAGACTGACCCGAGCTACTGGCAACAGATAAGCATTCCGGCTTTGGAGGTGAATTCCTTCCACTCATTGCCGTCTGTGATGTCGATGTTGATGGTCTGTGGAACAATTGCGGGATTTCCCCATCTCCATCCTCTTCTTTTTTCTCTTTCGGTTTTCGCGGACCCATCACATCGCGGCGTTGAATTGCTGAAAATGGTTTTCGAATTTTTCTTTCACAAATCGTTATGGAAAAGTTTTCCATTATATACTGAAGATACTATTATAACAATATAACAATATTTGTTGTTATATATAAAGAAAGCTTTTCAAAGTTATGTATTTCTTTAACTTCAACAGCTTTCAGAATCATTCAACAGCTTCCAGAAGTTCAATTTGATTTGACCTAGCTTATTGTTAGCTTTTAAAGTCAACACAAAAAATGCAAAACAAAATTTGGCTTATTGTTAGCTTTGTTTTAAGTTAGTTTCTCTTTTTCCCTAATTTGCCCACTCACCATCCGGTCTCATCCCAACGTGGAGACATTTCGACAAACGGCAACACCGACAAATGCATCGAGATGCTGAAAAGCTCTTTTTTTATCTTTCTCTTTCTCATTTTCACTCACAAAAAGTGATTTCACAGTTTTGTCCTTTCATACATCGATATTTTGCCTCTTTGATGACAGCTCGGCGAAAAAACACTGAAATTTTTCGAGTTTTTAAAAATCTCCGCTTTGCAAAGCCAACAATTTCTCCATTTAATTGACCCCTAGGGAATAGACTTTAATTGGAAATCTTTTTCAAAATCGAATACAAAATACAAAATCAAAAACACGAGGTTACTTTATTGTAGTTGTAAACTTTTGATCGAATTAGGTCCGGATTTTCTGGTGGATTAAGCTTTTGCAAGGAGATTTTTGGAACATTGAGTTTTTGAGAAATCCACAACTTACTTACTACACTTTAATATAAAAACATAGAGAAAATTTTGGTCAAAGTTGGACTGCCTACCTGAAAGGTCTAAGGGTGGATCCACTTAAATGGTCTATAACTCAAGATGTAAAAGTTGAATCACCCACGGTTACTTTTATTAGAATCTACATGAAATTTGATTAAAGAAATATAGAATTTGTTTTGTAGACTTACCAATAAAAACATAGGGAAAATTAGGGTCAAAGTCGAGATAAGTGTCTATTGTCTATTAAGTGTCTGTTTTTATATTAAAGTGTAAGTAGTAAGTAAGTAGTAAGTAAGTTGTGGATTTCTATAACCGAATTTCTATAGAATGATAAAATAGACTTTGTTGAGAAAAGCTTTTGCTTTGATTGCTTTAAACATAAGCAAAATGCAAAATGCTTAAATGCAAAAACTTTTCTCAACTTTTCTCTCTTTTCTCAAAGCACGTGTGGCTGACTGGTTAAGTGTCTTTTATCTTAATCGGAAGGTCGAGGGTTCGAACCCCACATGCGACATGGTCACCCCCTTCGGATTTCCTTTCCCTTCGGGTTGAGAGGTTTTCTGGAGGGCAGTCTGGTGGTTGTGGCCCCAGTTCTTTAAAGTGACAAGCCACTCCTTCATCGTCATCTTCCCTTCACCACCAAAAAAGCTCTTTAGTTCCCCATTGAGCTTAGGGTTAGGGAGCCGTCTGTCATGACGTGGGTTAAGTTAAGATATAGCCTAGTATTGTGTGTGTCGTTGTATTGTGATTGATATATTTCGTGTATGCGATAAATTCACCACTGGTAGCCCCAGTCGGTATTTTTGAACAAAGTCTATTTTATCATTCTATAGCTTAAGCCTATTTTATCATTCTATCATTATGAATGTATTTCCTAAAGTTTCTCCTGAAGCGAAAATGATCAATTTTAGCATGAGAACTTCAAAAGTACAATGTTTTAAAGAAATTTTGATAAGATCACACTGGCTTAAATGTTTAAGTCAAAACATTTCATTTTCCTCATTTTAACGGAAAAGGGGATTCTTTGAGCAAATTGGAGAATTTTAGGCACTTCTTTCTCAAGCTTTTATTTGAATGATCCAAATTCTGTAAAGCACAGCTATTTGGTAGTTAAACCCTATAGTTGGAATACCAATCAACCGATCAAATCAAAAAAAAATGAAACGATACTGACCGATACATCCGAGACACGCAGGCGCTCCATATCTCGCTCCATTCACTCGATCTCCACAAACCGCACAACCATCGGAGACCATTGAAAAAAAAGTTGAATTGATGTCAGTGATTTTGAAATTAATTTCGAAACACACGGATTTTGATCGTTTTTCTTTCTGAAAGTTTAAGTTTAAATTTCAGAAAAAGGCTCAAAAATGTGATTAATCAAAAAAGATCACAGAAAAATCGATAGGCTTTTTTAGAGAGGAAAAAAAAGCTGAATAAAGAAAAGATTTCGAGAACGAGAAAAGGAAAAATGAAAAGAAACACAAAGAATGTACATATATTTATGCGCATAGAAGAGGTGAGTCTGTGAATGAGAAAGAAAGGAGTAGCTTTTGACGAGTGAAGTCGTCACAATTTCGTTTATTGTCCTTAAACATAGGGTGATTTTGGTCAATGATCAAACTTTAAAAGACTTCTTTTAACTCCAAAACTCCAAAAATGTTTGAATCGTTTCGATGTACCGATGTCAACTTGTTGCCTGCGTACAATATCGGTTTGTGAACCCTGATTTGAACCTAGCAGGACCTTGATCAACTTTGTCTACTCTTTAAAGCTTAAGCAAGGGTTTCAGAAGAAAAGTGAAACTCAGTGCACTAACTGATGAGAGTTTACACAAAAACTAACTAGAAGGAATTCATATAGCAATAAAATTTATGGACCTATCAAGCCATTTTCTTCAAATCGTCATGAAAAATCAGAAAAAATCCCAAAAAATAGTTGATCGATTAGCTGAAATGAAAATGGGGAAATCGACCATTTCGTCTTTTTTGCGGCCACAAAAAAAGCATTGGATACAGAAAAACGACACTGGAATGGCCGTGGACTTTGATGAAAAAAAGAGAACTGAATAGAGAAAGAGTCAATATTGGCGAATGAGGGAAACGAGGGAATATGGGGAAAAGAATTTGAGGAAACACGTGTCCAAAAAGCTTTCTCTATCTTTTTTTTTCTTTTTTCAAAAATCCCTCCTCGAAACATATTGATGTGGGAGAGAACGGTAATGATCGTTTCGTGATCTTTTTTCGAAAATATAAAGTTTATGAAAGGGAAATCGTTCAAGATTCCTAACGTTTACCCAATTTGTCACCGAGAACCGTTTTCAGCTAGCGAGTAATTCAAGGATAAATTCCTCGTTTCTACTTTCTCATTTCTGTACATTAAAAACTCAGTTGTTGACTACTTGATAACTCATTCAGTGCACCAAATGACTTCCGCAAACCAACAAAGTTCACGTGAACAATTAGCGTCTTACTAATTTTGATATTTTGTCAATCAAATGGCTTTGGTTGAAAGTCAAACAGACCACAAAAACAAGGAGAGTGTAGAGAGGTGAGAGAGTGTAGATCATTACCGTTCTCTCCCACATCAATATGTTTCGAGGAGGGATTTTTGAAATCCATTTGCTTGCTAATAAAATTGATAATCAAAGTGAGTTCGCTAGTTCCAACTGTCGAAAGTCCAAGAGGTCAAAGAAGTTAAACAATTTCATGTGACGCACGTGATAAACCTGAAGTCAGGTTGAATCAAAACATCTTAAGAGATGATAAACACTTCCTTGTCAATTCGGTGATTGAAATGGGTGGTTCAAAAATCAATCGTAGTTTTGGAAGATGGAAAAGGAAAGGAATGAAGGTAGGTGAGAACGAAAATTGAAAGATAGTGATTTTAGTGATAACAAGAGTGCAGAAAAGTGGAAAAGCGTCGAATTGAAGGTTGGGTGGAGATTGGGAAGGAGAGGGGACAGAGAGGGGACGCTGGGGGCACTATGGGGTTTATCATGCCAAAAAAAACATCTACTTTAAGCTCAAATCTGTTCTGAGACTATCACTATCACTTTCTCACCCTTAAACTAATCATATTCCTTTTGAAACGGCTTTTAATGTACTATGAAGATATATTAGGATGGCAAGAAAGTCAAAGATTTGAACTGAAACTTCTTAAAAACGAATCCACCAATTCAAGAACACTTTGTTCGATGATTTACAAGTCGACTGCAAGAAATTCCTCATTTAAAAAAATGAGTACAGCTTTTCGTTAAAATTTTAGAGATTTTTGAAAAAGTATTATTTTTCAGCTCAAATACATACCGTAAATACTGTAATAGTACCCCACCCCCATAATCCGGTGCGGGGTGTTGCGTAGTCTAGCTTTGAACGAATTCTTCTCGACACTGGTTTATGCTACAATGCGCGCTTAGTTATCAAAAAATAGCCCTCAATTTCAGCTATTTTTTGATACCAAAGACGCATTTTTTGAAAGTACGGGTGCTTTGCAAAAAAATGAAATACTAAAAAACTTTTGCGACTACGCGACTGTACGAGGGCGGTGGGGTACTATTACAGTATTTACGGTATGTATATTTTCATTTCGAAGTTGAAATAACCTTGAAATAAAATTGGGTATATCATGCTAAAGCACCGGGAAACTCAAAGATCTTTTTGTTAGCCTTAAACTGGCTAACCTTTGTATACCATAGTGACACAAATAGTCTCAAGTACCGGAAAAGGAAACTAACGACATTTGATCCTTAAACTATTCAGAATATCCTGATATAACATCATAAGCGCCCATTGGGTGAGAGATTGTAGAGAGCTGAGAGAGTGTAGAGAGCTGAGAGACAGACGAGCCTCCAAATGACTGCGCTCATTCTCTCGGGTACGAAGACCGTGTCCCGTGTCTTTTCTTCTTTTTCTTTTTTTCAATTTTGGGTCTGGAGGAAATTTTCTCTCTTTCTTTTCCCCTGAAATTTTTGTCAAATACCGTCAACAAGCGGGGGGATTTTCAGCGCCGATATTGAGAGAGTTACTCTCTCTAAGTTCGCCAAAATTGCAAGCGTATTTGGGGCCGAATTTGATCAATTGCGGTTGTGAAATGACGAATAATATTATTGGTGATTTGGACAAATATAGAAATATTCAAATATGTTATTATGAAAATGGGGAAGGCTTTAAAAACAGAAGAACAAAAAAATGCAGGAATGTTCATAACAGATTAGTGACTTTTGCATAAAGTAGGTATTTTATAAGTAATGTCTACAGTATCTTTGTATTATTAATAAAATTTACAGTACTTTGTCCAGAAACTTGTAGGCCAAGCCGGCTAGGGTTAAGCAGATGCTTGGCCCTGGCTCGCCCAGAAAATTCGGGCTTGACAATCCGCTTTCATTCACACTAAATCTTACAGTATTCCCAAGCTTTGACTGAATATCCTATCTAGAAAGATCTAAAGATATACAGTTAACAAATGGGTTTAACTTTACACCAAAATTTGTAAGTTTCATATACTCAACTCAAAGTATTTCCAAACTGTCATCAAAATTGACTTCCGAAGAGAGAAAAGGGTTTAGCAAAATCTATATTTTTACCTGAAAACCAAAAAATTTCCGTGCAAAAAATGTAAAAACAAAAGTGACGAAATAGAGAGAAAAGGGATTTGAATCATTTATAGAAATTTCTATCTAGTAAAACAGTAAAACGTGAACTTTTAAACAATGAAAATCTTTTGCAAAATGTGTTTTTCAAAACAGCTGCCAGGATGGTGAGACGCAAAGAAATTGAAGAAATCATTGCAATTCAAAAAAAGATTTTATTTTTATGAACAGAGAGTTCTACGTAAGATATTTACGGGAATGCAACTTTGAGAAAGGTAAAAGTCAAGGTCAATGGAGGATTGAATGGGGATTTGTTGAGAAAAAGGGAACATGGTATTCAAATCGAGCAGAGAATCGATCTTGAATCACACAGTTTAGATCTTAGAAATGGAAATGAGTATGAAAGATATTTCAATACAAAAATCTTGACTTTGATAACATCAAGGTGAAAACTTTACAAATTTGGGAGCGTTAAAACCCTGAGCTCTTGAAACAGCTTGCAAAACATAGATAATTTGTGTAGCACAATGAAACAGCTAAATTTGCAATACAATTTTTGAGCTGTACATTAGTTTGACGAGCTTTAAAGGAATCTTGTGCAAAATAAAAATAAAAATCGATAACGACTAGATGAGAAAGTAGAATTTTTTTGAAAATCGAATCGCAAAAATGAGTTGAAATTGAGAAAGAAAATAGGATTTGGACTGGATCGATGTGATGATGATTAGAGGGGGAATGGGGAAGCGGCAGAATCGAGACAATCTGGGGTTAGATAGGCTAGATAGGCTGAAATAAGGGTGGCTAAAGTAGGCATTTCACAGCCAGAGCACTTCATAAGTACAATAGTCCAATAGGAGCTCGAAATATTCAGTGTATTTGCAAGGATGTGGAGAAAAGCCATACTTGAGTGCTTGAGACCGTTTGGGAATATTTAGATTAGTAAATCAAGATCAAGAACTAGTTGAAAGAGTACAAGGCTACGATGAAGATCTTATCTGATCGATAATTTAGTCAAAAATCAATCTAACATGGTAACCAAAAGTCGATCAGAGAATCACATTAAATCATGCAAAGGATTGACAGGTCAAAATGAGTCGAAATTAGAAAAATCTATAAAAGACGGAGATTCAAAAATCTATAAATGTATAAAAGACGGAGATTCAAAAATCTATAAATCTATAAAAGACGGAGATTCACATGAAAACATGTTTATCCGACCTCGAGATACGGAAAGAAAGAAAAAAAATAGATCAGTTGATCAAAAGGGATAGTGAAGAACTTGAGTGACAAAGATGAGAAGGTTAAAAAGAAATAAAGAAGAAAAGAAAAGAAAAGAAAGAAAAAAAAATCAACGAAAAAGAAAATGACAGCAAAGATCAACGATTTCTCTTCACGGAAAGGGAGAATTGATCGAAACCGGGTACACCTCATTTCAACGAAAAGGGAAAAGGGGAGAGAAAGAGACAGGCAAAAGCTTTTGGCTACAAAAGCCTTTGGAATGGTTGCATGGGAATGAGGCGGAATATTATTTGACGACAGAAGACATACACACAGACGGGAGGGGAAGGGGGGGGGGGTCGAGAGACGGCCCCTCCTTCAAAAACGCCTCACCCCTCCTTTCCCCCTTCAATCTCTCTCTATTATGCCCAAATCGATCACCCTCTTTCCTCTTTTTTTCTTTTTTTGTTACTTTTTCACTTCAACAGGTGCCACATAGCTTGAACTCTTTCCTCTCTCGTTCCTCGTTAACTCTCCCCAAAATTCGTTTCCGGGATTTTGTTGAACTGGAGAATTTTAGATGAATAAATTAATAATTAATAAATTATCAAATTGACAAATGAATTGACAAATTGACAAATGAATTGACAAATTGACAAATTGACAAATGAGCTTTGACCAAATGTCTACAAATCTCAATAGAAATTCAAAGTTCTGTGATTGTTTTTTATCTATTCAAAGAAAATTTTATTTGCACTTGCACACCAAGATTGATCGGATAGATTATATTTGATATTTGGTTGGAGAGAAATATAATATAAAAATAAACTGATTTGTAAAAATCATAAAAATTTGAAGCAATCACGCGAAATGACTCGTATCATTTGAGCACTCAATAAAGTGTTGAAAGTGGATAAGAAATGGGCATTGTTTTTAAAAAAAAAGAGACCACCTCCCGAAATAAGAAATGAGGCGATTGGGAAAAGTTTCAAAGTTAGAATTGCTTATAGAATTGTCTACAGTAAACCATGTACTCTTCGGCTCGAGCACACGGCAAATTCGGATAGTAATTCTCGATATACGAACAATGGAGAAGAGCAAAGTCGGTCACATCAGCCATACCTGTAAACGGGAAGATTTGGTTTTTTTTTGGCCTTGGTTCGTTAAAGTCAGTTTAGTCAGTTTGAAGTTTGAAGTTTGAAGTTTGAAGCTCCGTATCTTTGTTTAGTCAAAATATTATTGTTAACTTTTGATATTTAAAAAAAAACACCAGGTTTTCAAATGATACCAAATAAAGATTAATTGGAATAACGAATTCTGAGAAAATTGCAAGACAAAACTCTCAAATCAGATTGCATTGTTCTCTAAGTTTTACTGCTGTTTAAGTGGCGCAATGTCATTTGAAAGGATGTAGATTTTGCAGCAAAAAAATATAGCCAAATTTAAGGCAAAAATTGATCCCAGGTATGATACTAATGAAACTCGGATTTGAATTGAATTCATTTTCTATTTCAATTTCATTTTCTTTTGAATCTATTCATTTTCATTCATTTTCATATGAAAAATATCAAAAATTTGACAAAGATAAATACTTCAAAACTTCTTTAAGACAATAGATTCTTGAGATCGAATAGATTATACTTGTGCATTCCTTGTAAATCACAAACCATGTTGCCATGCGAATGAGCGAATATTTCGGCAATGTCTCCTTGTGATTTGAAGGGGTTCAATGCCGGAAATCTGAAATGAAATCAATATTGCGTTTGATTGAATATCTTTTACTTGTTGAATCGTCAACAATTCAGCTGAAATCAATCCGTTTTCCACGGTTGTCGTTTGTAATGATGCTGTGGTTGTTGTTGTGGTTGTTGTTGTAGTTGTAGTTGTTGTCGTTGTCGATGTTGGTTGAACAATAAGTTCATGACTGAACAAGCGCTTCTGAAATGAATTTAACCCTTTGATTTAGCTTTTAGCGGATTTTAACTTGTCCTTGCTTGCTCTACAAGCCCTAATGCGCGGTTTGGAAAACCCTGATCATTACCATTTTACAATTCCTTACCTTTTGTGCGATTCTCTGTTGTCTCCGTTTCTTTTTCCGTTCTTTAGGCACAAACTCATCACTTTCCCTCACCGATGCCACTTGTACTTGTTGTTCTTCTTCCTTTTCTTCTTCATCTTTCTCTTCTTTTCTTTCTTTTTGCACTTGATGTAGAATTCTTTCAATTTCTCTTGAGAGATCATCACCAATTAGCATTCTTTCCTCCTCCGATCCTTTTTCCGATGATCGATCTTTTCTTTCCATTGTGAATTCTTTACGTGGAGTTGATTTCTTTTTCTTTATACCCTAAATTTGATGATTTATATAGAAATATTGTAGAAAATTGCAAGAAATCTTATTTCTTATTATAATTTTATTTCGATAAATCAAACATTAGCATTTGATAATCTCTGCTCGAGGACACTCAACATTTCTTCTCGTTTTGGGATTTTTTCAGCAGATTCGGCAATGTTCAGAGTTTCCTAAAAAGAAAAATTTTAATTTCAGCTTCAGTTAAAGTTATTTTCTAATAAAGAAACACATTAAAAACTCATGATTTGTTTAAAAAATTAACAACAACAACAACAACAACAGGGAGGAGGCACTCATCCTTACCGTTTTCTTAATCAAATCCATCGCTGATGGGTAATCTTGTTCCATTTTGGTGACAAATGGTGACTTTTCATCATCACCCACTTTCTGAATTTTATTAAGTTATTGTTGAATAATATTATTTCTTTCAAGATCTTTCAACATGATAGAAAATTTGAGAATAAATTTCTGTAATATGAAACCGGATCATCTTGGGGCGCCATTTTCACTCCGTCGACTCTCGGTGAACCGTTGATGAGCTCACTTCTCTGAAAAGAGATCTCAATATTGTATAATAAAAAGGACAAACTCTGTGATAACTTTTGCGATGTTTCCTCCGATGTCTTCTTTTCTTTTTCTTTGTTTTCTCTGTCGTTCTCATCAATCGCTTTTCAGCTTCCAATTTCTAAATGTACATTGCATTCTAAACGATTTTTACTACAAACCAATGCTTGTTGTGCTTGCACTTCAGCTTTTGCTCGAATCAGCTCCTTTTCAATAGCATTAGCCGTACGCTCAATTTCCATTTCAGCTTCCCGTGTATCAAGCGGTTCTTTTGTTGTCGTTGAATGAATCTCTTCCTCGACGATGAACTCTTTTTGAATTCGTTTCAAGGTTGGGTTATGCGTTTTTGTGTATGAATATTTCTCATCTTCTTCACTCTAAATTACCTTTTATTGATTTCTTTATCCATTCAACCTTTGACTGTTTCCTTCGAATCTCGAGTCTTCTCAACTTTCTTGTCACTTTCTCGGTGGTCGGGATTTCGGTGGTGGCCGTGGTTGATTCAGTTGTCGTTGTCGGCTCTTCTGTGGTGGTTTGAGTCTAGAAGAGATCAAGATAAGTACTATCTAACCACTCTGAAGCTACGGTATCCCGGCTTTGATCACTATATCTCATAAATTACCCGTATTTCTATCCACTCTGCCGTCTCCACTTACCGTCATTTCCTCTCTCCTATGTATCTCTCTTCTCCACGATCGTCTCCTTTTCTTTCCCTTTTTCCGTTTCTCTTTTACCATTTCATCATCTTGTTCCTAAATTCTCTATTCATATGCAATCTCATTCCAATCACCATTTCCGGATCTCTTCTTTTCAACTTCATCAACTTTTTATCTTCATTTAGTCCCATCATTGAAGATTTCACAAAATATGGAGACATTGATCTCGTCTGAAATTGGAAATTGCGGTTCTTAAAAAAGAAGATTGTTCGAACAAACATGATAGCTTTTTGAAGGAACGCTTTTCTGTGAGAATTCATCAGCGAATACTTGTGCGACTCGTTGTTGTTCTTCGTTTGATGGCAGGGAAGCGGTGGCAAGAGTTGAACGACCCTTGCTCTGGAAAAGAATTCGGATATTACTTTTTAAGTTATGAAATAGTATAGTTTTCAAATTTTATCAGGTCAATACTTTAGATTTTCAAAAAACTATTACTACTAAAACCTTATTTTGCCTACCACAAGTTTGAATGAATGTCCCTCATCATCTTCTCCATTTTCCTCACTCATCGATTCCTTCTCAGCACTCGTTGCACCATCTGTTTGAAGAGTTTTTGAGCTATATGTTCTAAAATAGTAATTATTTCAATTAAAAGATCAAAAAATTCTTTACTTGAATCTTTTCTCTGAGTTCTCCTTGTGGATGTCGATTTTTCTCTTTGGTTCGACACGAATCGCTGTTGTGATTGTCGTTGTTGTGGTTGTTGTGGTGACTGGTTGAAGGTTCACTTTTTGAAAACTCGAATCAGATCTCGATGAAGCCTATTCATTTTTGAGTTTAGAGATCTTCTGAGTTTACCGTTTGATTGTGAGCAGCTTGATTGGGAGCGGGGAAGGGAATACTGCTTGGGACGATGAGCACTTGTTGATAGTAGCTAGAAATGATGACATATTAAAGATAAGATGTGAAAGTCAAGACAAGACTGTAAAAGACTAGTGGCTTAATTCATTGACAAGATGACTCACGTGGTTCCATCGGGTTGCACAATTGGCTGATAGGCGTAATGAGGAGTGGGCATTCCTTGGGCTAACGGCGAAAGAATCGGGGGACTTGTAGGCCTAAAATTTGCGAATTCTATCAGCGAAATCTTCAATGATATATTTAGTCAGCTTTTTCTTATACGAATCTTTTTACGCTTATTTCAATGGTCTATAAAATTCGGTTTATTTGATTCAAAAAGTGACCAAATTTGATTCAAAAAGTTCAAAAATCCAAAAAGTTTGAAGAAAATTCAAAAAGTAAAACTTCAAACGCCAAATAAATAAGCAGATCTAGATATTTTTCTTTAGATTCGGGGGTGGGACAAATGCGACCTTTTTTTGCGCACCTGGACATTTGCGCACCTTTTTTTTGCTGGAAAAGGCCTTAGGAAAGGTCGTAGAGCTTCAAAAATGTTTTCATAGAGGGGAATCGTATGCGTAGATTCCGAATTTTGACAAATCAGACCTCGCTGACACGTCAAATTTGGGCTAAAAGGCAAAAACTACGCAACTTAACGCTTTTCCGCAGTTTTTGCCTTTTAGCCCAAATTTGACGTGTCAGCGAGGTCTGATTTGTCAAAATTCTGAATCTACGCATACGATTCCCTTCTATGAAAACATTTTTGAAGCTCTACGGTGCGCAAAAACAAGGTCGCATTTGTCCCACCCCCAAAAAGTTTGAAGAAAATTCAAAAAGCAAAACTTCAAGCGCCAAATAAATAAGCAGATCTAGATATTTTTCTTTAGATTCTAATTTTTGACGAAATTTTCTTAAAACTATAAACTTTAAAGATTTAAATAACAACGTACATCGGTGTTCCAAAGAGATTATTCAAGTTGAGCGATGGTAGATTGAACATTTGCGTCGTCTCGATGCGTGGTGTTCTCTCGACTCTAAATTGATCCGTAATGCTTGAAACTTCAAGTTAAAACTCACGATTTTACAACAGGCCGTCCAACGACAAGTGGAGATTCTTGAGGGATTTGTTGGGGGATCTGAATCGGCAAGGGAGTGGTTGATGGTTTGGGTAAAGCTTGCGCGAGTGCAGCGGCAATCCTCGCCCCTTCTTGTTGTGCTAGACGTCGTTGTGCCTCAGCTCTTATCCTCGCTTCATCAATCAATCTTTTCTCAACTTCTAATCTCATTCTTATCGCTTCTCTCTTTTTCTCTTCTTCTAGTCGAGCTTTTTCTTCTTCTTCCCATGAAGTCATTTGTCGGAAAGGCGATGCATCGTCGGCAACTCTGAAAACTAAGTGTAAACTGCTGCCTTTCTAAAACGTAACAACTTCTACCGTAATCGTCTCTTAGATCCAACCAATCGTTACTATAATCCTTACCAAAGCCTTTCAATACTTTACTCACTGATGTGATTGAGCTGTTGTCGTCTCAAGCACTCTCCCACCGGCAATGTCACCAAGAATCGCTGCTGGGATTTGAAGCAAACTGAATCATTCTTGTAACCGATTACACTTCACCTTACTTGTAGAAATTCTCGGTTTTGTTCACTTTCTGCCCAGTCGGTAGTTGAGCCAAAGCGTTGATTGATCCCTAGAATTCTGGATTCATAAAAAATTGATGAAGCTTTTTACTTTAACGAGTTTTCTCATATCAAGAAAGTCCTCATTTTCTTCTGGATTTTCGGTTGTTGTTGCCGTTTCTGTTGTCGTTTTTTCGTCGGATTTCTCCTCGATTTCGACACTTCCACTGACGGCTTTGATTATCTAAATTTGTTTAAATATACTTTCATTTTGATCGTAAATTCAAATTCATTTCAAGGACAGAGCTTATTTTCGGCAATACTAATGACGTACTAATGACGATTATTTTTCGTGTCAACTCAAGTTTTTAAGGATTTTGTTATTTCGCAAAAAGTTCTCGGCAACTTTGTACTGATTTTCAAGAGAAGATTCAGTGCTATCGAATGGGCTCGTTTATTTTTGAATTTTCACCAAATTATCAGTGAAACGGTTAACGACTACGCGACTGTACGCCTAAAAATGCCGTCATCGCGAATGTGTTAAGAGTTATCCAGCGTTTATCTAACCTTTTCTTGTTTTGATCGTTCATGCGAGGTGCTCTTCAAATCCTTATTCTCCATTTCTCCATCGATCCCCGTGTAGAAAAGAAACGAGAATAGGAGAATGATGAGCGCGCATCTCATTGCGCTAAAAATGGATATGGGTAAAATTCAGATACAGATAAAATTCAGTACAAGGATAAAATTGGATATCAAAGATGAAAAAGTATGCGCTTTTGCAGACAAAAGTGGAATATTTGAGGTTTATAAAGTTTATAAAGTTAGCGTAGTAATAAATAGGTCAAGATTGAAAGTCAGAGGTCAGATTAAATGCACTCAAAATTAGAGAATTCAATCGAAAAATGGTTTCTGATTGAAAATAAGAAAAAAACATTGAAAGCCGAAAGTGAAATTTGATGGAATGAGGGGACTTTTAGGTGAATCGACGACACAGATCTCAATCTAAACGGAGAGGGGAGAAAAGAAATAAAAGCGATTTTTTTGTGTTTCTAGTTGAAGACGAAAATCAGGTAGATTTTTGGGAGAAGGGGAAAGCATTGGATGGGGAAATCGAAGGAATTTAATACTTTCTCGGTTTGATGCACGGGAAAAGTTGTTTGATTTTGTAGGTAAGATAAGTAGGTAGTGAAGCAGCAAAAATAACTTTAGTTCGTGGCTTGAGTGCACCAAAAAGGATGTGCTTACACTTTAGTAAAGTATTTCTATAATAAAGCAACATTATTATGTAGTTGTATAGATTGAAAATTGCTAAACCGAACTTAAAACTACTTAAAACTTGATTTACGGTGGTAAGAGCTAAAGAATCAAATTTGTATTAGAATAAAAGTCGCATTCTTACTTTTTTCTTGCCCAACTGTTGTACTTGGAGCTCTTTTGGAGTAGTGCTTTCATTTTGGTGTTGTTTTTGAACTCAAACCAACTACATAGTGTAGATTAAATGAAAATTTGAAATCATTTGATCGACGATAAAGATGATCTCGAAAAGCTCTCTTCTAAAAACAAAATCAATTAAAATTAATTTACTAACTCTCCCAAAATCGCGAATCTCACTGATGGCCTAGATTTTCCGATTTCGATTTTTGTCAGGCACTTTCCATTGAATGAAATGAAGAGGAAAGGAAGAGAGATTGTAGAAAAATCTCTCTAAGAGATATCCTAGCTCAAATTGATGAGAGGGGTTTTTTGTAAGTGCTGAATGTATTAGCCACCCTTCACCCGGCTCATTGCTTGAGATGGCTCTCTCTCGAGAGAGAGGAGAGCTCAAGCTCACAAAAGGGGAACAGGGATCCTCCACCAACCACGACGGCCTAGATTGCCGATAAAAGACCCCAAGACACAATCGAATTTGAACAGGGTAAAGCAGTGTCGTTTCTAGTGAAAAGACGAGGAACGCTAAAGCATTGGTTTTAAAAATGAGGTAGGACAAATGTATTGTATTATGCAGAGGTCAAAATGAGATCTAAATGTACACTCGTGAGCGAATTGAAGACTTTTAGAGTAGAGAAAACTAATACTGTAGATTAAAATTCGATTACTGTAATCCAATTTGAAGGTTCAAATTGGGATAATGTAGCCCTAAAAGTTCAAATTGGGATAATGTAGCACATAGTATACACATTGGCATGTAAAACGTACAGAATTTAGAGTCCCACGTCAGCAACTAATCTCACAAAAGCTCAAATTGTAAGATTATTCTGCTAAACTACAGTAGAAACCCAATTTAGCCTTAAGATGCTGATTTGCAAGTGACTAAAAGAGGAGAGACATGGTTTATAGAGTGTTTTGAACAATATTTCAAACCGGATTACGGTAAAAAGAGAAACCAAACAGTCCGGACTAACAATAGAAAACAAACAAAAATATTGTCTCGTGTTAGGGGTTAAGAGGTGGAGGGCACAAGCATGCAAAAATGGAGAAGAAAGCCTCGAGGAGGGCAGGAATAAAGAGAGAAAACTGGATACAAGCAAGCGGATGGGATAGGCGGGCAAGCAAGGGGGCAAGGAGATCCCTTCACCCCAAGAATTGCATGTCGATCCTCTCCTTGTCCCTTTCTTTTCCATCCACTCCAACCGTTGGATGGATCTGTCTCCCTAAAGGGATACCCGGTAAGAAGCAACCCGGTTTCCGGACAGAATTTCCCCTTTTTCTCCTCTTTTTTTTTACTCACGCTCACTTTTCTCAACCGGTGAGACAAATGTTGGGGTTTAATCAACGGAATGTTCATTGAATATCAAAATCAGGGAAAATTTTGAGAAAGCAGCGAAAAATAGTAAATGATATGAGTTAGTTCTAATGTAACAACCAGATGGTATTGAGTTGCTGAGTAAAGCTTCCATAAATTCCTCGTCCATGAAATCGCGCAAGATTTCAAGACTGACCTAAGCGTTCAATCATCGGCTGTGATGGCTCTTCAAGAAGCACTGAAATTCTACCTTGAAACCGACTTGTGTGCCATTCACCATCACGCCAAATGACATCCAGCTCGCGAATTTGTGATGAAAGAACCTGAAAGCTAATACTAAGTTTAAAGCACAATTTTGCTGCTGTTGTTGTTGTTAAATAGCACATTAGATCGCTCATTTCTCCTAGTTTAAAATACCTATCGTAAATACTGTAATAGTACTCCACCCCCATTAATGACGGTGCGGAGTGTTGCGTAGTCTAGTTTTGAACGCGTTCTTCTCGACACTGGTTTATTCTACAATGTGCGCTTAGGTATCAAAAAATAGAGCTATTTTTTTCAAAGTACGGGCGCTTTGAAAAAAATGAAATACTAAAAAACTTTTGAGACTACGCGACTGTACGAGGGGGGGTGTGGTACTATTACAGTATTTACGGTAGGTAACCAGGTGCACATTTTGTTCGACCTAATCCCTTTGCCGACAACGGGTAAACTATTGGCGACGCTTATTAAGCACCCTCTGTACCGTAGTCTTGGATTTTCGGCAATAACCCCATTCAACTCTTGAGTTAAATTGAAGTGAACAGCGGACTGATCTTTACCTGAATAGGATAGATTTAAATACTTTTATTTATTTAGTTCTTGGCTGAAAATAGATTCTACGTCGCGCTACTTACTTGGCAATATAGGGAAACTTTTGTGCAAAAAACATTGCATTTTCATGTTCGTCTTTCTTTTTTTCAAAGATTTGTTGATGATTGATGTATTTTTAGTTCTGACTTGAGAGAAGTGTGAAGTAAATGCTCGAATCGGTGGAGGAACAACGGAGACGATTCGAGATTGAGTGTGAATTCGTGCAAAGCCTTGCAAACCCGCACTACCTCAATTTTCTCTCGCAACGCGGCTATTTTAAGGAGGACTATTTTGTCAACTACCTCAAATATCTTCTCTATTGGAAAAGACCGGAGTATGCGCGATGTCTGAAATACCCGCAATGTCTCTTCATGCTAGAAGCTCTACAAGAAAAAGAATTCCGAGAAGCGCTCGAATCGACGGCCAATGCGAAATTCATCGAAGATCAACTCATTTTCCAGTGGCATTACTATTTGCGAAAACGACAGAGAATTCTCGACAATCCACCATCTGATGAGGAATCCACTCCAACGACTTCTCAAATAAAAAACTGAACCTTTATGATGTACAAGCATTGATTGAGCTACTATGTTTGTAATTTATATTTATTTATTATATGCTGTTTTCATTTTGTTTGTTGTTGGATATAAATGATGTATAAATTTTAAATTTCAGATCAACTTTAGAAGCGTTTGCAGTGTGAGATGTATCGTGTTTATCAAATTATTGTCGTTTTGTTATATGGATCGTATGTGTTCGCTAAAAATTCAGTAAGTTTTTTTGCTTTTAATCCGATATAATGTTTTTATTAGAGTTGCACGTTGAATCGGGGTGGTCGTCTAAAAGCCTACTTACTAAAATATTGCCCGGTCACCGAAGAAGAGGAATGTGTAGATGATACTCTGGACAATTTGTCAGCAATTCGCTATCGATGTTTTAATTTTGGCAAGTAAATGGATCTGTGATACTCTAAATAAAGTTTAGAGGCTTCAACGAATAATTCAAATATGACGGTTCACTTACTGCATGCTACCGAGATGATGGCCTTATTACGACTGAAAGAAACGGAGGCAAAACGAAAGTCTTCATGCATCCTTAGGTAAAGTTTTTCTTTTTAAGTGATTAAGGCTTGTGGTTCTTACAAAAGAATATCAAAGTAGTCTATTTTTTTTTCCTTAGTTTGTTCTACGCACCAGAGTGTCAATTTTCTGCCAGACTCGCTCCATATTTCAATGCTCTTCCGTATCGATTTCCACGGTTAACGGTTGTAGCGATCGATGCCACGGATTTTAGCAAGTTTGTTTATTTTAATATAATAGTTAATTGTAGTAAAATATAATATAAGACTGTAGCAGTTGTGGAAGGAAATTTTAACATTTACATTTATAGTTCTAAATTCTAGAATTCTAACTCGACTTTTCAGATTCAATTCACGGTATGGAATTACGGGAACTCCAACCGTGATATTATGGGTCAATGGAATGGCCGTGGCTAGGATGGATGATCGACCGTTAAATTCCAAAGGTCTCGACGGGTTTATTAAACATTGGACAGATTTGGAGCCACGGTTCGTTGTTTGACCGTAAATATTTGCATAGTTGTGCTTTCTTATTTTTAGAGCGCTACCTTCTGAACCAATAACGCCTGGTCCTTTGTTGCTGGAAGTCGATCCAAGTGTCAATTTTAAATACGTTGTTTTATCATGGATTATACTTTTTTCAGGTATGTTTTTCTTGCACTTACATTTTTCTGAAAACTTTAATTGAATGCAAAATATTTACTACATAGTTGGTCTTGTACATCAATAATAATTGACAATATTATTATGAGTTTAAAAATAAAAAGAAACCCTACGGTTATACTAAACCAGCTGCTTTGCTAAAGTTTGGCATAAATTCTCCCTCTTAAATGCAAATTGGGCGGCCGTTGTAAATTTTAAAGTCGAATAACTCGACGGGAAATGACGTTTTGTACAGACGGACTTCAGATTCAAAATCAACAAATTTTTTACCCTAAAATGGAAGTTTTCAGCCCCCTAGCTCAATTCCCAAAATAAAAGCCTCGAACAGACAGACAGACGAACGGCGTTATATTTTGTTAGAAGATGTTAGAAGTAACAAGTTTGGGTTTTAATTTTGAATTTTCAGGTTCCGCATATTACTATTTCAATTCCGCTTTTGGACAAAGACTAAATAACAATCTTCAGCGGTTATTTTTAAATTTGTTTTGATTATGGGTATTTGTTTTTTGTGTGTACTATAGAGGCTATAAATAAAATTTTACGTTTTTGTTGTACATAGACATGGTATGGGTTTTTACGCCTCAATAAATTTCAGTGTTCCCGTTGTTATATTTTATTCAATGTCGTTATCACGTTTCATCACACCATTTCTTGATAACGCAATTTTTTGAGTCGAAAGACTAGCTAAACCTTTTTGGATTCTCAAAACTATTGCAAAATCACTTCTTTTATGTACCAAAGTTTTAAATTTGATTAGCAAAAGTGGAATTCATTTTATGACGAATTGGGCTGTGACTCACATTGTTGTTTTCTTTTGGTAGTTTATTTTTCGCGGGGAGGGAGGTTGGCATCAGCTGCTCTTTTTCTATCGATCGATGAGCAAAAGGTTGCTTTTTTTCTGGGCTGTCTGACTAAAAGTCATAGACATATCTGTTTCATGGATCGGGACCAAGCTTAGTACACTCGGATATGTTTTTTTTTGTAGTTTTCCCTGTACCTTCACATATTTGATCTTGAGCTGGCCTAAAATTACAATGCGGCCAAAGATAGCGGTGCCTCGTCGTTGTTTATAGTGGCTGACGTTTTCAATTTTGCTCGACTCTCCAAGTTGATATTAACAGTTTTAAACTAAAATTTTATATGAACACGAGACACAACAAATGTGCCTCGTGATTTTCAAAAGATTATTTATTGAAATGTTTTTTATAGGGCCATGCTGTCTAAACGGGACACGTTCGTTTCACCGAAAAAGATCTGCTTTTTAGGAAATGACTTACCTTGTTTCGAACATAATATTGTATTTTTTTTGTTTAACATGTTACTAGTAGTAAAGAAGGGGGTTCGGGGAGTTGCCCCCGTCACAACACTTATTAGAACCTGTTTCCTAAAACATGAATTTTTTTCAGTGAAATTGAATTTTCTGCGAAATTACGGGGAACCTGCCTAAACGTAGTACTAGATATTTTTCTTTATGAAATGAATATACGAGACCCTGTGGCTCTCTTTCCTTTGCTCGAGCTCTCTTTCTCTACGAATGTGCTCCCCTGAACCCCCATAGGCACAAGCTAGCCTTTTGCGCATCGATCAATGGCTCCTTCTCCCCTACTCTCTTTGCTTTCGCTCTTATGGAATTCCTTTTTTCGTAACCCTATTACGTATAGTTCTATTGTTTTTCTTTTAGCTTTCGATAAACAAAACGAAAAGGCTGTTTTCTGTCTCAAGCAACAATAAGTCCTTTTAAGAGCAAAACTCCAGCGGCCACTTCACTCCCACAATCACAAAGAACTTCTTATGCTCCGTTAAAGGTAAGTATTTTAGCTGGTGTTCCTTATGATACTAATTTTTCCAAGAGTCAAATCAAAACAATATTGTGTGCTTTCGGATTTTGCCAAATGACGCTATGACAAATAGAGAATCAACGCTGCCATATGAACGCATGGTCGATCCAGAAGAACCACAGCCGTCAGAAGAAATTTCTCCTGCTGAGGTGGCTTTTTTAAACGTTTGCACTCATTTGTGATTATTTTAGTTACCACATAACAACTGGGGAAACAATAGTCAAATACAAGAGCAGAAGCGTCCTCTACAACTCGGCGCAATCCATGTGGGTACGGAGGAGCGACGTCGTCTGGCAGTCAAACGGATGAGGAGAGTATCGATGATGGGAATGGTTAGTTGACATTGTTAATTGTTAAATTAAACATCTTAATTTTAAAGCTTTTTTGGCAATGCGGAGGTAGCATTTTTATTTGATCTTGGGGTTTGTGCTGCACTGCCCTTTTGCAAGCTGATAGCACCCTTATCGCTCATATCATTACCCTCCGTTTGACTGGCCCTCTCACTATCCGACTTCTTGAATTTAAAGTTTGGTTATCCCATGTTTTTTATTCGCAAACTTTGTAAAAGCAATTAGATAAGATAATTTGATAACAATTTCTAAAGCTGCATTCCAAAAATATGGTACTAGGATGTATTTCTGCGAAACAGCTCGATTTTATTCCTATAAAAGTTGAGAAATTTTTTCATTTAGCGAGTAAGATAGACATTTCTTTGATTCGCTTTTTGGGAAGGAATGCGCTAAAAGTGACTGGTGAGAGCATGAGAGAAATCGAAGAGGAAATTTCTTTTACCCGGCGCATGACTGAGTGATATTTCTTTTGGTTGATTGTTTCGGAAAAAACTCTTTTTCTCGTTTGTTTTTACATATTTTGATGGACGATTCTACCGATTCTGATGAAGCACAAACCCCTCTATTAAACAAAGATGCTTTTACGGAAGATTCAGAATATGATTCATTAGGTTTCTGCAACTGAATAAGCTATTTGAACTTTTAAATTTTTAGGAACAACACCGTTACTTGGGGCGGGACCATCATCATCTGGAGATGTCCGTGTCGATATGCCCAATGAAGACAAGCCTGCGAGCCCACATGACCGATTTCCAAAAGAAAAGACGAAAACGATAGTAAGTACTCTATTTTTGAAACAAGCAAATTCTTTTTAGCTTTCCTGCATCTTGGTCGTGTTTTCTGGATTCCTCAACACTCTAACTTTATCGTTTGTTCATGAACTGGTATGTTAAAATTTGAGTGTTTTTTTTACGTTTTGATTTAGTTGCCGGATCAACCGCCTTTACCAGACGTTGGATTTCGTCACACGACCTACTATGCTTTGGGTTTGATTTGGAATATTTTATGGTTGATAATAAATTTAGGGTTGAATATATGTGAATATCTGATGCTGGGCTCGTTTATATCAGTTTTGGTCCTCATCCTTTTTCACAGGTAAGTAAAAGATGGCGTACGAAATCTAATGAAGATAATTTAGACATCGATGGATTGTCCTACGTAGGCTTGCTTTTATTGGTTCGATTCTCTATTTGTGTCCGGTGCATTACGATGTATTCAACGATTGTCCCAAAAGCCGACCCAAATTACTACTGTTCACCAAAAATTGGTGAGTTGCAATCAAATTACCGAAGATGATGAGCTTATGTTCGAGCATGAATGTTTTTTGTTTAGGGCGAAAATGCAACATTTTGGTTGATTTCAAGACGTGCAATTGAAGTAATGGCTGGAATGGGGCTTGAACTCTTTGGAAAGTACTCGCTTTGTGGTGACTATATCTACTCAGGCCATACAATAGTGCTAACCATCTCAGCATTATTTATTGGCGAATGTAAGTGATTAAAATAGCCTTTATTAGCTTGATAAACTTTTTCCTGGATTAACTTTTTGCACTTTTAGATACACCACGTCGATGGAAGATTGTTCACCTTGCATCATGGTTGATTGCGATAGCTGGAATGGTTTGCTTCATAATTTCGAGGTGGAACTTTGCTAAGTCTTCATGCAAATTAATATTTTAGGGGGCATTACACAATCGATGTCATTCCTATCGTATTTCATCTGCACACGAGTATTTTGGTCTTATCACACGCTAGCTGCTCATCCAACCCTAAAAGTAAGTTTTTAAAAGCTATAAATTTAGGATTACCTAGTTATTATACCTTTTCATTTGGTTTTTATTTAAAACAATGTTTAGACATCATCTAACAGTCATCTAAGAAAAGAATGGTGGTTCATTTTCTTTCGTTACATCGAGGGCAGTGTTGTGAAGCCAATACCACGAAGGTGAGTTGCTTATTTTTGCTATTTAGCATACATATACTTAGCGTACTGAATTTAGATACGACATCCCAATTCCTTTACCTCGGAAGGTGGCCGCTTTTCTCCGAAGACAAAAAGCTAAGTTCAATAAGCTTTCGATAGATCAGCCTTTTGTATCTACTAGATTTGTTTACACCCGCAGGGTACTTCGCATTACTTGTTTACCTCTTTTTCGATCCCGGTGTTTTTAAATGTTTGCCGCCATTCAAAGATTTTCAGAGAGTTGCTCTATTAGTAACGACGATGGGTGAGTAAGTTTTGTGGTGAGCAAAACTTCAACTCGGTGCATATAGACTTTTAGTGCTAAACTTGCCATTGAGATGAGTACTTTTTGAACAAACGTTTAGATATTACTTAGCTCCAAAGGAAAACTGTCTCTACCATGCTTCTCCATTTCTTTAAAAACATCAGCTAGAACAATCTTTTAAGAACTTCTCTCACATGTTAACTTGCATTTCAGTGATATGTATCTATTCATGGTTGGTTCTAAATTTCTTGCCTATTGCCGTCATTTATAACTTGCTCATTGACTCCTTTATTTTACCGGTATTTCCTTTATTTCTTTCTATAGTGCGTCGATTCTTTTATGGAAAAATTGCTGTGTTTATTATGTATGAGAATAAAAGTATAAATCATGAAACGGTTTACAAACTGCAGCTTTATGACTCAGAATTTTCTTGAAATGTGATCTGAAACATTTTGAAGCTGGCTTCAGCTGCATATAGTGAAAGGTTTAAACTTTCACGGGAAGTCTACTTCATCGAGTGGGATCTTTGAATTTGGTCTAAATAGAGGAGTAATTTTTGTATCCTTTCGTACAACATTTCATATAAGGGCTAGAATTGAGCTGTAGTGCAAATTTGCGTTTTGATTTGCATTTTACTTGCATTTTATTTATTACAATTGGATTTGTAATATGATTTAACTACTAATAATTTACCATTTAACATTTAGGAGCTAATGGCGACCAACATGAAAGAAGATGTCTACGAAAGTGAAGAGCCACTACAGAGGCCGATCGGGATCAAAAGTACTTTCACGATGAATTGACCCTTCCAGTAGTAGAATTGCAACTTGTAAGTGATTTTTAATAACCAAATGGCTCGAGTGCTTAACTGAAAAACCTTATGGGATTTGATTACATTCCTAAACCTTTAGGTTCATTTGGACATTGATGGTGCCTTGAAACGTTTCCAAGGAAGGCTTTTGAATGCCTAAGAACGTTGGTAGCTGTTGATGTCTCTGCGTTCATAGTTTTGTTTAGGATTTTTCCTGATTCGATCTCCCCTTTGGGGAAAAGTCTTATGGAAGCGTAGCTTACGTTCTCGAAATTCAAGGTGAGGAATAAAAGACATTTTCTGGTGTTTGTAAGAAATGTCAGAGCATGGATTTAAAGTAGCTTTTGTTAGGTAAAAACGAGGATGAACCGAAACATTCGAGCAAAAATCCAGAGAGACTTCAACATGGAAATTGGAGAACCAGCTCAATGTATTCCGGCAAGTTTTAGTTAGTTACTCGCATATAGTCAGGCAACGTTTTTCATTTGTGTATTTTACGACTCCTCAAGGTATTAAGGATATAATTTAGACTGGAAAGGACGAAGCTGTAACTAATTAAATCAACATCAGCTTTTAAAATCCATGTTGGATGAGGTGAAAGCCGCAGGGAAGGTACCAAACTTATAACGAACATCTTTAGTAAATTTTTATGTTTAAGGATGTGGCAAAACCAACGAAGGGAGATCAAACGGCGAAGATTCCTGGCCCATCGCAAGCTGATGGAAATGTGCTTATTTTTTATTTGCATTATTCAAGACTCTTTAGGTGAAATCACTTGAAAAACGTCTAGGCGCGAATTGAAAGTTTAACGGGTAAGCTTTGGTACTTTTCCTTTATTTAATTTCTAAAAAGTATTTCAAAACACTATTTATTGTTTAGGTCATCTCCCCGCTGGAGCGCAACCACTCACAGACGCCATGAAGATCTTCGTTTGCGCACTGATGTTTTAAACCAGCATTTATGGAGACAGCTGACAGTAAACTCGTTGCTTTGCTGAATAAACCAAAGCAGGTTTGAAAATTTTTTCCAAGTTACATTTTATCTCTTTTTAGGTAGAAGAGAAAAAGGGTAACTCGAATGAAGAAATCGAGCAAAACGTGAATGAGCTTGCAGCTTGATGTCCAAGGAAGTTTCTAATTTGTATTGCATTGAGGGTTTTATATGGCTATTTAAGATTTATTGTTTCAGATGGGATGGTGTATGTGCTAACCTGTAAGTAAAACCAAGAAGTTGGAACTCCGCTCTACTCGACTTCATGAATGTGGTATCTTTTTTTTTTCTTCGAAAATGTACTAGTTGTTAAGCTATTTGCTTGCCGTATTGCTAACTTTTTGCATCAAGACTTATGTTTTTCAGCTCAACAGTTCTCGAACGGCTAAACAGGCTCTCAAATACACGAGGAGATGAGTGAAAAGGAGATCCTCAAGAATCGCACAAATCTCCCGATTTTGTTCACACAATGGCTAAAAATGAGGTGGCAGCTCTTGTAGCAAAGGTAATTATTTTTTCAATTAATAAGAAAACAAATTTAGATAGAGACATTGGAAGGTCATCTGAAGAAAATGGAAAAATAATTTGTGATTTACTAAGTATCTTAGAGCATAATTTTTGTGTGGCCTTGCTTTAAAGTTTTGTTTGATAAATTATTCAGTTTATATCACAGCATGGAAATATACACATTATTCGATGAGTTTTTGATGGGAAATCGTGGGATTGATGTTGGATTGTTGTTCGATCCATTCTTTATCTCTCTTCTTCGTCAGCATCCATATAAAGTTCGTTGCGGAGAACTCTTCTCTTGTCAGCAAAAGATGCAACGCCTTCTGGAAATTCGTTTCTAAAGGGTTAAAAAGTTTTTGGAACAAACCTGAAATCAGAATTGAGAACAAAGTATACAAATATATTTGATACCCGAATTTATGCATGTTGCATAAACCGCGGGCTTCTGTTATAGCATTGCTGATCTGAAATTTGAGGCTTTCATATTGGTATTCATTTTTAACTCCACTGACGATAGATGAACAGCCGAAATCAGAGATAGAGAATTTGGTATCGAGACGAGAAACTGTGGAAAGTAAAGAGACCATGATGCAACCTCATTTGTCGAATCACTGACGGATTGATCCTAGGGATTTTTATAAAAAAAAAGTCTCTCTGGCTGTTGTCTTTTTTTTTTTTTTCTAGATTTTGCAGTGCCTACCTATGACTATTCGAATCGATACTCGCAATTCGATGGCTGTAACGTTGAGCACCAATCCGGCAATGTATCCGGAAAACATTATGCGCATAAATGAAAACCGAAAACGCGCTCGCCCAAAAGCCGCTTTCCGACCGCAGAAATATTTGGCCTAAAAATGTGGAAATTGAAATGTAAATTTAGGGAGAATGCAATCCAAAATTTTGATTTTTTTTGAGCAGAGAGAGGAGGATTTCATTTCGTTTTGCAATAGAAATTTTTCTCAATTTCTCATTTCCTCAATATACCTTTTTATTCCTTCTCCCGTAGGCCACCGCATAGCCAAGACTTGATGCCCAGATCACGAATAAAACGGTGGAAAATTTGAAATTGTCGTGATCTGGAAGAGAATTTTCTTTAGATAAAAAAAACGTTGAGACGAAACCTGTTAATCGGATTTTTCCTTGACAAGCTTGAGTAGACACTTCAAAACCGATCATTGTTTGCACGATTGGTGGCCATGAAATCACCTAAATCGGTCGAGATTCTTCTTTGATTCTTCACTCACCGATTGTTCTGAAGAAAAGCCACAACTCTGCCGCGCATTCACCGGCTCGTTTACTGCCTGCCGATCCTCCGTCTAGTAGATCCTGAAAATTTTGATCCTTTAGATTTAAGATCATTTTGATCATTTTTTGATCATTCCAATTAGGCCTCTTCTTTGAATATTTGAGACTGATAGCTTCAAAGTAATAGTTTCACTATGAGTTTTTTCATTTTACTGTATTTCAAACCTCATAAAGTGTGACTCGATCGACTCCCATCAGGGTGATCGCCGCGCAATTGCAGAAATCGGCCAGAGAAAGCGTGAATAGTAACTGGAAATCGATACCTTTATTAACTTAACTTATAATCTATTTAGAATTTTTAGAAATTAAAATCCCGAATCCAAATTTCCTGCTCACTCACTCGATTTTCGATTCAGCATCCGAGTACTTGTGATAAAGATGAAAATGAGAGTCGTGGCTAACACTGAGCACACCAAACCCAGTGAGATATTCACTGAAATTAGAATTTAAACAAAAGCTATTATTCTGGCACCTGTATGAAAAACGATGAGTTGCCGAAGAGAGTCATTGTCGGGTTTCGCAGACATTAAATCTGGGGATTTCATTGGAAAGTTGATCCGGAAAACCCCAAACAAGTAATGAAAAGTGAGATGCGAGAGAAAGGGAAATGAAAAAAAAAAGAGGCAAAAAAATGAGCTGTTGATGAGTTCGGCATTTAAATGAAATGGGGGGGAATTGATGGAGAGAGTAGAATGGATGGAAGGGAGTAGAATGGGAGTAAATGGGAGTTCGATTTCATCGAACACTTCGTTGAACTTTCACACAAAAAGAAGGCACAAAAGACAGAGAAAAAACCTCATCATAACCTCATCATATGAAGGCAAAATTATTGAGGCAATTTTCAATGGTTTTTAAGAGTTTTTGCAGCAGAAAGTTGGGGTAATTTCGGGAGGAAAGTGGCTCGTGCGCCGAGGGAATTGGGCTTTCGCAGAACGGCGGGAAATGGAAACACCTTTCGATTTTGATAGAATGCAGATATTCAATTCCTGAATATTTCAAGAATTAATGGGAATCAAACTGTTGGGGGAATCAAACTGTTGGTGTCGTGACGATCTCGTGATCGCGAGATTGCCACGTATGGAAATGGCCAGCTAGACACCTATGGGGACGAACGCCTATTGTGCGAGATTTAAAATGTGTCGCTATCCGTTCAACTCCATTGTGTGGAAGACGAGACGAACGCCCGAGTTCCGTATAAGGCCAATGTAGAACGAGCTCGCCGAGGCGTGCCGGGGAGTGCCTCTACTCCTCCCAATATCAAACCACTGAACCAACTATTATCGCTGTAATAAAGATTATATCTAAACCAACAATAATCACTACAGTTGGGGATCAAACAATGGGAAATCAAACTGTTGGGAATCAAACAGTGGGAATCAAACAAACTCAAGACTAAAACTTTTGACTAACGAGTCTAATTCGTGAGAAATTTCAGGAAAAAAAACTGCATACTTTTCATTGAATCAACCCAATTTTGGTATCGCCCCGATAAGGCTCAGTAGATGATAGAAAAGTTGGGCCGATCGAATACAAATTCGTGCTTTGATTACGGTGCTATAACGGTGCTTTTAAGTGCTATAATGTGTCAAGATCAGCTTGAACATTTTCAACTTCAAAATTTCGATCGCCTTTGTTGGATTATAGATAGGCATAAAATTGGGATACGGATATTTATAGAGATTACGAGAAGGATTGTAGTAAGTAGGAGTTTCTGAAAGAACACAAAATAATATAAAACAAAGATCATTAGAATGAAGACTGTTTTTGTCTTATCATTCCTCAAGATGCCAAATGGAAGGTTGGTTCTCCGGTTCCCCTTCCATCTTCGAGTGGGAATCACCGAAATTCGAGATTGAATCTTGAGGGTTGGCCTTTAGAAAAGAGGAAAAGAAAGAAAGAATTGAAAAGAATTCACCATTGTTTCCCAATCAATTCCGGAAAAAGCAAATCCTTTCCCCCGGGGACTTTTAAGTGAATGAAAATTCGGGGGCTCCAAAAATAATGAGATTTATTGGCATTTCAACGAGCGAAACCGATGGAATCATTTGGAATGATTTTGATAGCTGAAAAAACTTGATCAGGGATGTCTCTAAAAAAAAGAAAGTCATTGGTAACCAAGCCAAGCCAAAGCCAAGTCGAGGCTGGGATCAAGACTGTTCTAAAAGCCAAAAGCCATGGTTAACCAGGCTGGCCAAAGCCAAGCTATTGATCTTGGCCTTCTTGGCTTGGTCGAGCCTGGAATTTCAAACTGTTGGGAAATTAAGCAAAATAATTGGTAACGGATTTTTGGCTTTGCCTTGGCTTAGCCTGGAAAATCTAGGAACAGCTTTGACTGACTGGGACACAAGAAATGACGATGACTAGAAAAGGGATCGATCTTTCCCCTCAAAAAGCGAAAATTTCTTTCCTCACCGGTAATAAATTTTCACGCAGATTGTTTTCCATAAAATATTATGACGAGAGAGGAAGCCAATTTAGGTAGTGGTGAAAGGAGTTCAACTTTGCCAAAAAAGTATAAAGGGGATTAAGGTAAAAGGAAAAACACAAAAAAGAAAATGTATTGTTTTTATCGGCTCTCAAAAAGGGGAATCTCAGGGGGAAATACAAAGGGATGACAAATTGCATCACAAAAGAAAAGAAATGGCAAACTTTTTGAAGTAAAGAAAAAAAAAGAAAGAAATTTAAGAAGAGGTGCCTTTCAAATATTGGAGGATTTTCCGGGATGCTATAAAAAAGGGATATCAAAAGGGAGACTCTTCTCTTTTTGCTCAAAACACTGTTCAGCTTTGAGCGCTTCTTTGGCCCTTCTTGGCCCTTCAAAAGCGGGGATCGGGGCAGTCAAATGACTCTTTTCACAAGCTTCTCCCATTTCATTAAGTAGAGAGAGACAAATTATCGTGGGTTTCCCTGTTCAACGATCAAACTCGTGGGCTATATTTTTGTTTTTTTTTGCGTACAACAGATCTATGACACATAGAGAAAGTTTTTAAACATCAATCAAATACTAGAATTTTAAGCACACTCCCTCTAAAACTTGTCAACTTCCGAAAGCTACCCATAATTTTCTCCAAATTTCTAATACTAAATCTACTGACATTTAACCCTGACAAACAAGGTTCACACCAAGTAACTACATTTTCGATTTACGAAGTCGATTTTGCTTGTGTAAAAAAGTTTTGAAATCACCAATCAAGTGCAATTGTCTACTTACAGTAACTGTTCGGTCTGTCTGTCTGTCCTGTTCACACTCCAATACAGTAATCAACACACTCCGATTTTCGATTTACAAATAGTCGGTATTCTTAAGGGCGATGTGCCAAATGTAATAGGCAACAATACGTCATTCGAGCAATGGGTTATAGCGCAAGCCGGACAACTTTCTTCTTAGGGAGCCATCTTTATGATTTGGCCTCACTTGTAGATCTGGACAAGTGCAACAAATGACACTAAAATCATGGAAAGATTGACCGACTTAGAAGAAAGCTAGGCGAGTTGCGCAAACGTGACCCAGTTGCGCAAATGACCCCTGTTGCGTAAAAATTTGGCGCAAAGTAGCCTATCCCCAATTTTGCACTAGTTCTAATCGGTACAAGTAAACCAGCCATTTTCCACTAAACAGAATGCGATTTTGATTCAATGCAATAATCAAATACCCGATTTTCGATTTACCATAGTCAATTTTTCTCGTTTGGTCTCCCTAAATGTTCTCTTTAAAATTGAATTTGCTATTCAAAAATAAAACTTTATTCTTTTCAATAAACGATTCGAAAAAATACTAGGAAAATTGAATGAAACCTCTGTGAGTCATCAAAAAAGAAAAACAGACAAAAAGAAACGAGAACATTTTAAGTGAATTAACAAGAGAATAGTTGGGAAAAATGATTTAAAATGACATAAAAATGAATGTTTTTCAACAAATTCTTTGATTAGACAACGAGGAATGTGCAAAGAGTCACAAAATTCTAAAAAAAGCTTTATAAACGAATGCAATATAGAATGCCCGGGGTGTCCAAAAAAGGGGAAATTTTTGACATCTTCAAGGGGAAAATTTTGGCAGTGAACGACCTGAAGGAAATGAAGTGGAAAAGAGGGGAAAAGAGGGGAAAAGAGGGGAAAAGAAGGGAAAAGAAGGGGAAATGAAGTGGAAAAGAGGGGAAAAGAAGGGAAAAGAAGGGGAAAAGAAGGGGAAAAGAAGGGGAAAAGAAGGGGAAAAGAAGGGGCAAAGATCATTTGGTGAGTGAGTTGTTTATCGATATCGATACAGCTTCGATTACAGCATAAATAGAAACTGAGAAAAAGATTGGTAAAGTAAAGAATAGTTCCAATCGATTTCCCGACCCTGGAAATCCCTGCGTAAAGCTGAATATTTTCTTTAAAGATTGCTTTGATTGTTGATTTAAAGAAAATCGAATCCTAATCCAGTTCTTGTAATTCCAATCCCCATTATCGATAAGCAACTTCATTGGTGAGCAATAAAAACAGAAAAAACTTTAGAGAAAGACTAGAAACCAATTCAACAATGGAATAGTTAGGGATTGGCAATAAAATGACAAATTTCGAATCACACTCCACTTGTGATTTATCTTTGACAACAAACTTTACTAGCCAATTCCCCTCTCTAAACCCAACTATCATCAACGGGTCGATCGCGCTGTTTCTGCACGGAAGCATAGAGCGGCTCACGGCGCTCGAATTGACCATATGGATGGATGATTGATGGAGATGATTGACTGGGATAATCGAGCGGTTGTTGAACGGTTGAATAACGACCGGAGATGCTTGGAGGAGCCTCATAATGGGGATTACTGTAATGATCAACGGGGTACACATCTTGGTAGATTGCTGATGAGCGGACGGCTGGGGTTGCTGGGGGAAGTGAGGGTGGACGATGGAAACTGAAATCGGTTAGTTTCATGACTGATAGCACTAGGATTTTAAGCTAGAGCTAGGCCAGAACCAGGTCAGAGGTCAAGCTCAGGCTTGACTTCTTTAAGGACCCTTTTGATTGTTATCAAACTAGTGCAAGATTTAGACTAGACCAGGATTCTAGCCTCCAACTTTGCCAAGCAACCAGCTTTACAAACTGATATTAAGTTAAAATAGTAGACTATGCTGATTCGATTAATGATAATTTCAGAACTAAACCTTGAACCTTTATAGTTTCCAATTCCTACCCATTATTCCCATGTCCATTGTGAAGAGAAGGCGGTCGAGATGTTGATGGATGACTTGGTGGAAGTGGTGGGAGTGGTTGGGGATGGACACTGCCTCTCAGCCTCTCATCATAGTAAGGCTGGAAAGTTTCTTTAAAATTGTAGTCTTTGCGATTCTCGAGACAAGACTTTATAAGTCGACTTCTTTTAATCGAAAACCATTGTTAGATTGATAAGTTGAAATGTCATGAGTTTTTTGGGATTTTGAATCACTACACGCACCAAGACAGCTGGATAGTTTGAATGAAATGAAAATTTCAAGAAAGCTTTTCTCAAAACTGATAGCCGACCACACTTGAAATGAAAAATTTGAGTTCGCGATGCACCAAACACATTTATGAATATGGAAAAGAGAAAATGGATATGTACGAGTAGGGATTTGGAAACGAACTCTCGATGATTCACGTACACTTTTACACGAAATTCTTCTTCACTTTTTCCTCAGCAAATGTCTCTGGCATTGCTACAACTACCGAAATCGCTTTTTTAACTCAATTGATGTCAAGCATGTGCTTTGTGTCTCTTATAGCTTGTAAACACACCCTTTCTAGCGCCCTATTCATTCATTTTCACTCATAGCAATGCTTCATAGCAGCAATGCTAGAAATGATGTGTTTTTTTTGAGCACAAAGTACGAGAAGCGGTAGTCCTTTGCCAATTGAAAGCTGTGTCAATTGAAATCTTTGTTAATTGAAATCTTTGCCAATTGAAATCTTTGTCAATCTAACAACCATTTCCTCGTACATATCCACGGACCCAAAATTTCAAACAAACTCAATGGTTAACTAAAGAGAGAAAAACTGACACGTAATACCCAATATGTCCCATCTTGCCCCACTATTCTACCTTTTTCTGCCGCCACGAGTCTTTTCCTTCTAAAGATGGTTTTTTTTTTGTGGACTTGGGTTATGCTTGATCCATCACCCATCTATTCTTTTGTTGAAAGCATTAAGAGCTGTTTTACTTGATTGCTTTGTGTCATCGATCCCGGGCACGACCTGTCCAACCTATCCATCCCTCAATCGTATCATCGTGTGTCTGATTTTGTCCCTTTGGTCCTTCCCTGACGAACTAATTGACGAGCCAATGTCGCGGAATCGCCTCTGATCCCCCAATCTTTTTTATTATGGTGTTGTCCACATCGTACTCAAAATACTTAGACATACTTTTTGAATCTTTACAGTGTACTGTACTTTACAACAATAACAGTGTACGCCATTTGTTCAGTACTGTATTCAGTAGTCCTTCTTTTCTACTATACCACCTTCTGCCTGTTCCCGAATAGAAATCACTCTCTTTCAGCCCGGCTCTCTTGAATCCATCATGCAGCTCTTTATGTTGCCTGAAGATTCCTTTTATAAAAGATTTCTTTCATTCCGATATCAGCTAAATTCGAAATCTTATCCCTCACCACATCATGTACAGCACTTGACTCGCATACTTCGCCACTGTCCACTGTACATTGGAAATGACTTGGCCAAGAATTGCAGCTCTCGGTTCCTTTTGGAATATGCAAATCCCTAGAGTTTAACATGTTTTTATTGATAATTGATGATGAAACTCTGGGAATTGAGCACTCTCCCGAACGATCTCAAAAAGGATTCCAAAATGGCTCCAATCGTCTGATCCGAGGGTCCCTTATTTCGGCTCTCTCCTCGTTCCAGGCTCTGGCATTTTGTCGACCAGATCGCGGAGCGCGTATTTACCTGAATTTCATTGAAATGACGTATAAAGTACAAAAATACCGAGCCTAAATTGTACAACCGTACTTTGCCTATTGGGCAATACTTTTGTCCTTTCGAAAACTCACCAATAAGTTCCCGGCTCTTTGATCGAGTGAAAGAGTTTCGCAAAGCAGTCGCCACCGAGCAAACCACAGCCGATCATCCGCCAATCTCACCACTTCCGACGAGTATCGGCAACCTTTCTCGATTCGCACTGTTCCCCCGCACTCGGCCGATGGCTCGAATTGACAAGCGGCGAGATTTTGAATGGCTCCCGCTGATGCCTGCAAATGTTTAGTGATAGATTTGGGACTTTACAAAGTGATACCAGGCCGGAATCCAATAATAGTATTCAGCACTCAACTAAAGTAGGTATTTCAATAGATGAGAAAAGCCAGATACCAAGAGTAGTATCAGATCTCTCAATCCAAGAGCTCCACCAGTACTGGTAGATATGGTCAAGAGTCAGATACTGTAAAGATCTGGCACCAGACTCAAAAGTTAGCAGTGCCAAGTTTGAATAATTCCGGTCTTGAACAATGAATCTCTCATTTTGAGCGAAACAATCTAACATTTCAAACTCTTCAACAAACCCTCAAGCGTACTCCGGATTGCTCGCCTCTTGTAACAGCATTTCAAAAACATAACTCTGACGACAAGCGTTTGCCATAGAATTAGCTCCACCCCTAATCGCCGTGTCATCAATAAGTTCAATAAACTCTTACTCACCTGTGGCATCTCGCTTACTCCATTCTTCTTCATCTCCTTGTCTTCTCCTCTTTCTTCGGTATTTTCCGAGCTCCCGATGGGGCACTCTTGTTTCGGCCATTTTGTTTCTCATGTGCTTTGTGTGGGTCAGAGTGCGGATCGACGACTCTCTTGTACTCGATAAGAAAGATTTCTCAAAATACAAAACAACATCTTCCCACTCGTTGAGCGTCAACCCGAAAGCCTAGGGTAAATTTGAATCCAAATTTAAATTCAACCTGTCCTCGGTGAATGGATGTGGTGAGAAAATGAACGAGCGCCTGGATGAAATGAGGAGCATTGCGGAGTTTGACACGTGCTTTGGGCAGAGGAGGCGGAGATGTTGCTGGAAAATTGTGACACTATGGATATGCAAAACTGAAACTTCTGGAAAAGAATCTCATGGCTACCAATCGCTCTAGGGTAATTCCTTAGAACAACCCCGTGCTTACTAATGAATTTCTTGAAATTTCTGACAAACCGTAGCACTCCGGTTCCATTTTTGAACAGAGTCGAGTTGCTGCTGAGGTGTCGGAGTTGATCGAAACCGGTCGACATCCCAGCTGGGACATACCCGCTTCCTGGGATCATCCCACACTAAATTGGGGAATTATTTTCTTCGAGCTCTAGGGCAATTCCTTATGAACAACCCTCGTGCTTACTAGTGAATTTCTTTCGTAAATAAAATCAGAAATTAAAGTACTATATATTTTCAAAGGAGTATTTATTGTAAATACCGTAATAGTACCCCCACCCCCTCGCACAGTCGCGTAGTCGCAAAAGTTTTTTAGTATTTCATTTTTCCAAAGCGCCCGTACTTTCAAAAATGTACTTTGGTATCAAAAATAGATGAAATTGAGGGCTATTTTTTGATACCCAAGCGCGCATTGTAGCATAAACCAGTGTCGAGAAAAACTCGTTCAAAGCTAGAACTACGCAACACTCCGCACCGTCATTATGGGGCTGGGGTACTATTACAGTATTTACGGTAGTTATTTTCTTAAACGATATTATATTAAAAGTTTAAAGACAAACATGTTGTATCAATGGATCGGCGCTGATTGAAGGCAATGATCCTTGAGTTCATCGGCTAGACGAGAGATTCCATAAAAGCTGCAGTTGCTTCTTCCTGGAATAAAAGATAGATATAAAAAGCTTTTAAAATAGATATAGTATTTAAGCACATCATAGCATAACGGATGAGAATTGTGGGTGAGATTCTTCAATCATAAATCAGTAAAGCGCTTTTATCTATTTCGCTTATCTATAAGCATACTATTTCAAATATAAATCGATTTAAGACAAATAAACAACTCTTAAAAACTCTTAAACAACTCTATGCATTAAATTGTATTCAAAATTACATTCTCACCTTCACAGCCGCATCGTGAGTTAGCTGCAACAAAGCCGACAAACAGTGCCACCTATTCGCTTCGAGTACGGCCAACTGTAAAAAATTATAGTTAAGATTCGAATTCTCATTTACTAAAATCTCGAAATCTCTAAAAATTTGATCATTCTCACCTTATTCCGATCATTCTCTTTGCCGAATGAAAGATTCTTGAGACAAGCCGCGCAATTCTTTTGTATAGATGGATCGTCACTCTTCAACAGGGCCACCAATTTCGGCACTCCCCCAACTCTCTGAAACAAAAAAACCCTTCAGAGTTTTCCCTTTATTTCTCAAACCTTGTCTCTTTCTTTGATCAAATTATCCGAAAAGGTTAAATGTTGAAGATATCCACTCGCGTTTCTTTTTGCTTTTCCTTGTCAGCGTTTCCCCAAATAATCAATAACTTCTTTGAGATTTGGATCCCTCCATTGCACTGAAAGAATCAATTGAGAGAAATAATGAAGAGTTTTTCATTTTTATATAGAAAAGTTCTAGAAATAATTTTTCTATACAAGATGAGAATCCAGAAGAATCTGGTTTTACATAACCTGCAGATTATGCTTAGATTACAAGTCCTCGAACCCGGTTGTTTCAAAACAATTACAAAAAATACACCAGGTTTGGAAAACCTTCTATCTATAATAAAGAATAGAGGATCTGAGATCTGTAAGATCTCAAAATTGTACTCACAATTTCCATATTGATTTCTTCTGATTGGCGGACTATCATCTCTATCAGGCAATGGCGGGCTTCTCGAACCTGAACAACAACTACAATTGACAGGCAAATTCTCAGCTACCATTTCCTCTTGTAACAATCGCACGGCTCCGAATCGTTCGGCTTCCACGTATTTTTGCGTCACCATCTAGAAATCGATCTTTAACTTCACAAAAAAGCTGGTTCTCCTCACTTTGCTGATGTTGAATGGTGACTGGCGGTGATGGATCGGATGGAGGGGAACAGCCAGAGACATTGTGCGCGAGTACACGGAATTGATACTCATGTCCGAGAATCAGATCACCCACTGAATTTTTTTTATTATCTAGTATCCAATTATCCGGAACCTGTCATCTTGCATGTGTGAATCGGTCCATCGTTCACTTTATACCAATTAGAGTCTTGCTGGAAATCGCGGAATTCGACGTCATAGCTGAAAGTGTTATGAGTTTTGTAAAATCTGTTATGCTAACATTATAAATTCAGTTGATTTCACCCTAGCACAGGTAGAGTTCGGAGTCTCGCCGGTGCCAGCATAAACGGATCCCGATCTCCATCAACTTCTAGATATTCTGGAGCCTCCGGTTTCACGGGAACACCACGGCCGGATGGAGCCTGGAAAATATAGAGATTTTGAAATATTTTCGATTACTTTTCAAAGCTTGATTCTCTAATATCTTATGGTAACTCTGAACTGCTTTACAGACCAAGTTTTACTGAAAGGATTGGCTCAGTAAAAAGATTTTTCTCATTATCTAGTTACTTTGGGAGCAAGCCGGTTTGCTGAGAGGATCGCTTTATCAACAATTACTGTATCAACATTCCAATCCAACCTTCCACAATGGCCTCAATGAGACAATCTCGGAGACTTCAGAAGGAAGCGATGAATATCCCTCCATTATCGAGACGACCCGGAATTCATAGGTGCTCCCCGGTCGCAAGCCTTCCACTAAACGAATTTCACTTAAAGATGCCGATATCTATATTCTGACTTTGAATTACAATTATGTGGCAATGGTTGTGTAACTCGCCGCGTACCATTGCGGGTCGCCTACTTCTCTGTACTCGACAATGTAAGCAAGATCTGGTCCCGAGGCTTCGCCATTCCAGCTTCACCCAATCCATGTCATATTCGACAATCTAAAGAAATAGTATGCAAATTTTCACTTTTAGAATCCTATACGAATAAAAGTTTAGATCTAAAAGGAAACCGCGTGGTTGCCCGGGAATGGGCACTCTCTTCAGATACGGGTCGACCCCCGGCACCGCCAGTGTACTTTGTGGGGCTGCTGGCTGAAAAGTGTCATGTTAAGTGGTATTAATCGGGATAGTTTATATAAATAAACAAAAAGAAACCTTTATATGCGTACGGCCCGCTACTCTTGCTCGCCACTCCGACCCCGTCAGCGTTTCGGCCTCGCACCCGGAACTCGTACACGCCATTTGTCGTAATGACTCCACTTAAAAGTTTATAATCCTCAATGATTGGATATAAACAATTTACAGATCTAATTTGCATATAGAAATGCTTAGGCTTATAGTTCTTGTAGTTTTCTCCAGACCATCTCTCAACCTGTATATCGCGGTCTCCGTAATCCACGTGTCCTGCATACAATCCAATCGGTTGTTCCGTAAAACTCGATATTCAACTTGATATCTAGAAATATTCTTATATCTAAATATTTAAATATTTAAATACCCGGCTAGGGGTGCGGAATGTGCATCAGCTGGCGGGGCTTCCCATTCGATTGTCGCTCGTTGCCCGTCCACAGCGATCACCTGCGGTCGGCCTGGGTTCTCGCCAGCTGGCGCTGAGCTCAGAGTAAGGGTAATTTGTCATTTTTTTAGAAAGCATTAAAGAAGTTTGATATTTAATTTATTACTAATCTAATCTATACTATTCTGAAAGTCACTAGATTTCATCAAAATCTAGACAACAACCCTCGACAGAATATTTGAATTTTCGGATGGTATAGATGAAGCCATAGATGAATGGTTGAACAATTTGGGAATCGAATTTGAATTTCGGTGAGCATTCAATCGAAAGTAGGAAATAAAATGTGTGAAAAAGGAGATGAAGACCAATTGGTGTTCTAGAGAAATCTGATACTTTTTTGAGAGAAATGAGAAAAGAAAGGAAAAGATGGTGATCATCGGCAAAGTTTTGGGGGAAATGTATAGCATTTGAAGAAAGCTTTGAAGTACTTTTGTAAGCAAAAGCTTTTGTAATTACGTTAAACTCGTTGATACTCTTTTAGGAAAAGGATTCAAAGAGCCGTTTGGCATTGAAATGTTTCGCATTTTTACCGAAAGCTCATTGCTGAAAGAACTCTTCACAGAAGAACTTTCATTTATCTTGTTATAAGACTACCGTAAATACTGTAATAGTACCCCATCCCCATAATGACGATGCGGAGCGTTGGGTAGTCTAGCTTTGGACGAGTTTTTCTCGACACTGGTTTCTGCTACAATGCGCGCTTAGATATCAAAAAATAGCCCTGAATTTCATCTATTTTTTGATACCAAAGACGCATTTTTTGAAAGTACGGGCTCTTTGAAAAAAAATGAAATACTAAAAAACTTTTGCGACTACGCGACTGTACGAAGGGGGTGGGGTACTATTACAGTATTTACGGTAGGTTAATAAACGGTTTACTTATGGTAAGAATATAGAGTAATATATCAAAAGAGCACTCACCATGTGCACCACCGATATTGAGCGTCGGATGAACGGGATTTGATGCGGCTGACGGAGGGCCGAAACCCCCTTCGCCCAGCCGCCGAAATCGCAATTGAATGGCGCCTGCTTGATCCAGATTTGTTGCAACTAAAAATGAAAAATGACGATTTTTTAGCATTTGTACATCAAATTCTTGTCCTTAGCTCTCTTATTTGCTTTTGTAAGCTTTACAAAATTCAAAAAGCAGAACTTTGAATTGATCTAGACTCTTGTTAAGGTCGTATTTAAACCAAAAATCAATCTAGACTCTTGAAAACCAATGAAAATCAAGCGCTGATTTAAATTAGTTTATGGTAGTAGTAGTTTATGGTTTTAGAAAACTAAACAAGAACGTCTTATTAACCAAAAGGCTATAATAATCGGGAGAGGGACAAATGCTACCTTTTTTGCGCACCCGGACATTTGCGCACCTTTTTCCGCACCTTGCCCATTAGCGCACCTTTTTCGCGTTTTAAAAAAGCTCTAAAAAGCTAATATTAACCAATTTCTATTCCAAAAGTTGTTTTTCTAGGTAATTTGAGGGTGTCGAATTCAAATTTTGACATAACAGAGCGTGTGGAACCAATTTGAAAGACAGATCTAGATCTGAAAGACAGGCTAGATCAAATTACAGAAAATTGTTGATTTTTCTCTTTGTATAACCTCGTCGGTTTGTTTCCACAAGCTCTGATATGTCAAAATTTCGATTCTACGCCCTCAAATTACCTAAAAAAACAAATTTTGGAATAGAAATTGGTTAATATTAGCTTTTAGAGCTTTTTTAAAACGCGAAAAAAGGTGCGCTAATGGGCTAAGTGCGGAAAAAGGTGCGCAAATGTCCGGGTGCAAAAAGTCGCATTTGTCCCACTCCTCATACAACAATATTACCCTTATATTTCATTCAAGCTTCTATAAAAACGGTTAAATAATCTATAAATAAACGATTTTAATGTAAAAGATTGGGAAAAAAAATTATTGTGTAAATGTAAATCGAAAAATAAAGAAGGGTCGATGTTGTTGCTCAATTGAGGCATTTAGAGGAGCGTTCTTCTTCTCCCGCTGTGAAATAAAAAGGAGACTCCTTCACCCCCATCTTGTCCCTTTCTCCTCACAAACAAGGTCACCAATAATTCCCTCCCAAAAAAAAGACAAGAAAAAGATCTGGGATATGTGATCAAATCTATATAGATCAACATTTCCGATTCATCGAACATATTGTGCAAAAATTCTAAACAAACCCTCATCTTTCCCCTTTCGCTCTTTTGCCGTTGGACGGAAACGCTTTGAGACAATGATTTTCGTTTTTCTTCTTCGACGAATCACAATTTTTTTTCATTGGTTGGGGGAATATTTGGATGAATTGCATTTGGAATATTTGTAGAAATTGAATCATTTGCCTCTGAACGATCCAGTAAAATCTTTTCTTTGTCGAATTGAATCTTTGCTTCTAAACGATTAGCTCTTCTTTCCGCAATTGGATCTTCTTTTGAGAAATTTTGATAATATGAATAATCTTTTGAATATCTTGATCACTTTTTTGAGAATTTGGATCATTTTGAAGATTTTGAGTGACTGGAATTAAATCATTTTGTTCTAAACGATTAACAGGCACAATTCTACTTCTCCGGATTGAATCTTTTGAGAAATTTGGGTAAATTCTTTTTGGAATTTGAATCATTTCGAAGATTTAAAGCAACTTTTTGTGGAAATTTGATCTTTTGGCTCTAAAAGAGTAACAGGTACAATCCTGCTTTGTGGAATTGGACCATTTGTGGCCTCTTCTCTTTGCTGACCTTTCCGTATCTCGCGAATCTCTTGTGAATGATGAATTTCTTCTTGATTTCGATCTTCTTCCGGTGAATCCTTCCCGGCTCCAAAGATCCGAACTTTTTTCAGCACCGCTTTCGGAATGGTTGAGGTTTGACGGCGTGGAACGTCGGGTTTCTCAATTTTAGAAGATTTGGGAATATTGGATGAACTTTTGCTCTTTTCATAGATCTTCTCTTCATTTCTTTTTCCCATTCACTTTTATCGATCTCATCTCGTCGGGAATTCTCGACGATGATGAAGTTTTTGATGTCTCGTAATAATCGACTGCTTCGACTTTCGGGCGATGACGGGAGACACGGGGACGAGCTTCCGGCATATTCTGTAGTTGAGTTGATTAGGAAAAATGGATAAAGTTCTTGAATAAAGGGAAAAGAAAGGGTATGTATGATAATAAAGAAATTTTTAGAATTTCAATTTGCATCAAAGCTGTCAAGATCTAGAAATCAACTAAATTTTACCTGAAAGTAAACGTGAAACTTTTGACCTTCTCAAATGGTTCAACAAAGAAAAATGAGAAGAAAGAGTGCAATTAAAGGATTTGAAAAGAGTTGTTTTGAATAGGAAATACTTGAAAAAAAAAGATAAAAAAATACAAAAAAGACAAAAAGATGGATAGAAAAGAAAATATATACCTAAACAGTATTAACAAGTGAAGGTAAAGGTAGGTATTATTAACAAGTGAAGGTAAAGGTAGGTAAAGAGCAAATCTTTTAGTGAAAGACCGTACTTTGTGCTGGCATATTTGATTCAACATTTTGGCATTCAAATGGCCAAATCGCTGTTGGAAAACTGAAGAAAATGACAAATTGAGTTTGGGGAAAGCGTGCGTTTATCCGTGAGTGCAAAGTACGCGAAAGATTGGCATGATTTTCGATGGATGCTTGAAGTGTGAATGCATTGAAAGAGGACCATTCCGGGCTTCTTCCCCTTCTCTCTTTTTTATCCCTCTCCCTCTTTTTTCAATCCATCGATGGGTGTGTTGTGGATTGGGATTGGGGAATGGTCGATATCGAATCGCGGATCATCCGCCCATCCCTTTTCTCTTTTCTCTTTCCTCATTGGGGTGCCCATGTTTGCGCATATGTCATCGTGAGTCCCACAAATTTTCCTCTTTCAAGTCACTCGCTTTGAAGTCCATTTTTTACAGAAAAATCGAACATTGGGCTTTGAATGAGCTTTGAAATAAGACTATAAAGATGTTACACTTGTTACAAGTTAATCAAATAGTGCAATGCAGTTAAATCCAGAACAGAAATTTGTATAACGATCTACCAATGTTTTTGTGTCACTTTGCAAATCAATGAAGATAGTTTAAGAATTAATTCTTATTTTCTGGATACAGTAAACCTATGTCTAAACTTGAGCAGTTTTAGTTTTTAGACAAGGAATGAAGACAAGGAATGAAGTTAGTTTATTTTTAGACAAGGAATGAAGCTAGTTTATTTTATGAAATCTACCGTAGTAAAATCCTACTTCTCGGGTAAATTTGAATGATTTGATGGGCTTTAAGCGACTCTACGTTTAACGTATAGCTTTTCCTTATAGATTCTCACAGTTCCCAGAATTCCAGCTTATATTCGTACCCCTCTTTTTAACTCACATGTGCACGAGGTTTCCTTCAGAAGTTGATCATGCGCTCTTTCCCATTCTCCGTCCGGGAAATCTCGCATTTCGATCTGAAATCAAACTCGTACTCTATTTTTTTTTGTTTAATTTTCTTACTTGATATCCCAAAATGGGTCCATCATCGGCTCTCTGTGGTGGCTCTTCCCATCTCAATGTCACTTCTCCATTCCCACTCGATAACACTTCGGGAGCGCCCGGAGCCAGAGGGATTCCCGAATCTGAAATTTTTATAGACTTTTGAACTGTATAAGAGGTAAAATAAAATACACACCATTATTTCGACTCTGATATCGTTCGCCCATTGGCGGCGCTGGTGGTGGAGCCATTCGATCGTTGAGCATTGCATCTCTTGATAATCGGATTCCTGGGATTTTTTTTCAATATTAAAAAACGTCAAAACGAACCCAATTCATCAACTGGTGCATCCAGTTCCACTTCAACAACCGGTGATGGAGTCGGCAAACCGCTCGCATCAAAATATAAATCGCCATACGGGAGACGACGGGGATTTGTCGAACCGATCGCGTTGTTGTCACTTTCGTAACACGGGTCACCTAGAAATGATTATTGTCAATTATACATACAATCAAGATATCAATTTTAAACTAGGACTTGATCTAGAATAATTTCCAAGAGGACAAAATGCATTTACACTACCGTATAGAAAAGCCCCTATAGCAGTGTCGCGTAATCTTAGTTTACACTCAAAGAACTGCTCATATCTTGGCGCGCAAATGTTTTTTCGGTCGCGCTTAAGTGTCAAATTAAAGTAGAGAGGGTGGGTGATTTTTTTTAGATATAACACAAATTTTTAGCATTAACCAGCGCTTAGAAAAAAATAATTGAAAAATGATGAAAAATCGGCTTTTCTTGCCACTTTTCAATCATCTTTTCTAAGCGCTGTTAATGCTAAAAATATGGGGTTTATATCTCAAAAAAAATCACGCATCCTCTCTACTTTAATTTCATACTTAAGCGCGCAGAAAAAGTACCTGGTGCTGAGATTTGAGTGTTTGTTTGAGAGTAAACTAAGGCTACGCGACGCTTTTACAGGTGGCTTTTCTATAAGAATATTTATGATATATTCCTAAAAAATAAACCTTTGCGTCTGATGAACATCATCGATTTCTCGATTCGTTTCCTCAAAGACGGCCTCTGGTGGTTGATCATAGTGTGTCTCGTATGTGTACGTGTACGAGGATCCTCGAGCCGAATTCGGACCCCCCAATCCCTGGGTCAGATATGCGGTGGCCATTCTAAAATAGAAATCTTTATGAATTTTATATACAAATCGAATCAGTTGAAATCAAATATATATATATACAAATACAAATGCGAAAGTTCAAAAGGTGGTTTTTTAAAGGTTAAAAGTCATACGTTTAAAAGCAGCCATGTTAAGCAGCCTTTTCAGTCCGTTTGCCGTTAACAATCTACAAATTTTCCTCGTACCTTTGACCGGGTTTGTTTGAAAAACGTCGAATTTTCTTTCATTCGACTCGGAATCAAATTTTCTATCGAATGAAAGTAAATTCAACGTTTTTCCAAACAAACCCGGCTAAGATACGAGCAAAATACGTAGTTTGCCAACGGCAGACGGACTGAAAAAGGGGCGGAGTTAACATGCTTTTCTAAATTCGTAGATTGCACAATTTGTAGATTGCCAACGGCAAACGGACTGAAAAAGGGGCAGAGTTAACATGCTTGTCTAAAAGTTAATATCAAAGCTTGTGTTTATTTACGACCAATCGAATATGCTGAATCCTAATAGAAAAAAAAGTTTTGGACAAGTTTTCAAGCTAGTAATATGTTTTGGCAAATCTTTGGCTCCTTTTTTTAATTGCATAGGTTTTCAGTGTTTACTAAAAAGCCGGTTTAGAGTCAATTAAGAGGGAAATGAGCTGGAAAAGAGACAAAAAAAAGCCGAAGGGTTTTGGCACTTTTCACTTCTAAATTTCTCTTGTGTGTTGGGGTGACCCAGTTGTGGGTGAAGCGCGTCCAATTCAAACAAGCTTAACCTCGACACTCTGCACTAAAGAAAGAGAAAGGGAAGGACATTCCAAAGAAGGACAAAGCCGAGCGGGAAAAGATCGACGATGAGCCACATGGTGCGATGGAAACAAATATCACAAAAATAATTCATAATCATCTGTGCACAAAAGATGTACAAAGACGGCAAAACATTCAAAGAAAAGGGAAATTTGTTTGTTTGGAATATGCAAATATTGGAAGATTGATCGAAGACAAGATTTTGCTTATAGTTGGAGTGCATAGCTTTTTGTATAGCTTTTTTTCGCTAACCATAAGAATTAGAGTTCTGCATAATACAGTTGAATAGATAAGAATTGAACACTTTAACGGTTTCGAGTTAAAAATGATACAGTCTTGATTTCAGTGATTTCATTGGGTCTATAGAATATTTTAAAGGAAATTTTTTGCCAATCATTTTTGCTCAAGCCTCATTTGTACTTTGAAAGATGTTTTCAAAGAAAAAAACTTTCTATAGAAGATTCTATAGGCCCAATGAAATCACTGAAATCAAGACTGTTTCATTTTTAACTCGAAACTCTTAAAGTGTTCAATTCTTATCTATTCAACTGTATTATTCAATGTTTCAATTTACACTTAAATTCTTAGCCAATTGATCTTGATCTTAGATCAAAATTTTCCTATTCTCGAGAAGTCCTATACACTTCTTGTTGTTAAAGTGGTAAATCTTAGAGAAGTTGAAGCATTAAGGTGACAAAAACAAAGCCTGAGTGACTTTTTCAAATGAAATCTAGCTGATGCTGATTCTGAATCCGTTCTCAAAATTTGCTTATCGGCTCGGAATCGCTGGCGAACAAAATTAGGAGAAGATTTTGAGAGAATAAAGAATAGAGAAATCTAACAATAAGATAGACATGAACTTTTAAATATCGTTTTTTTTTTTTCAACATTTTACTTACTGTGGATCGACGACCTCGTTCTCGATCACCCAATCCTCGGGCACTCGTTCTTTCGGCACAGTGCTGAAAAATGAAATAAGATTATAAGAAGCGAACTTTTTTTCAAGTAAAATCAAAATTATCTAAACAAATCGCACCGCCATCCGCTATCATACTCATAGCGTTCGGTTCTCTCGTGGAATTCGGTTTGATGAGAATTATGTGAGTATTCAGAAAGGGCCATTTGATCAGAAATTGTACAAAAACTAGGGAAAATCGTCCGATTGTGCCCAAAAATTGTGTCGGAAAAGGATCGTGAATGCTAATCAGCACTTTCTTCCTTTTCGCTTCAAGATCGATACATTGGGAAAGGGGAAAGAGATCGCAGAAAGGGGAGACTATAGAATAATTCAGGCTCGTGGCATTGGCCCGTTCAAAAGAGAGAAAGGCACCAACAAGGGAAATCTAACAATAAATCGTTATCACTGCTCTTTTCTTTTATTCCCCTTCTTTTCTTTATGGGGTACACCCCGTTGGTGCCAATGATAACAGATACCAGAGAAGAGCTCTTCTCTGGTATCTGTTAGTAGCTCTACTTATTGTAAATGTTGATGAAATTCAACTGTGAATTTGTTGGGTTTTCAGCGCTATTTATTGAGTTTACCAATTAGAACGGATTTCATTGATCTAAACTTATAAATGTGAAAGCGTGCTTTTTTTTCTGCACCTCGAAATTGCCTTTTACCCTACTAGCCCTAATCCAAACGTGCTCACCTCATCAGTGAACTTTCGCAAGAGGATTTTAATGAAAAAAAAAGAGATGCGACAAGGTCAAGGGTTTCTCTTTTTTTGAGTTCAAAATATTGAAGGATTTCCGGCGTAAAAGTCGTAAAAGAATGGTAAAATCGGGTCGATCTTCTACAATTCTAGAGAACGACAATGACAATAGACAATAGGCAGAACTGTTTACGATGATCTGATCCCCTTTTTCTTTATTCCTTTCTTTTCACTACACAGTTTACGATTCCGAATGCTTAGGTCGATTTTGAATTCTTCCAAAAAGAATTGAAGAAATGAAAAAGTGAATCATTTTTTTTTGGTATTTTAAAGAGGAAAGGAAAATAAAAAAAATTCGAGACACATGACTGAGTCATCGGGAACGATTCCGCAAATGTTAGGGGATTTTGAAAAACAGGAAACTCTCGAAAAGATTATTTGAAATCATTTGAAATCATTTCAAAAAATGGCATACAAAGCTCTAGCTGAAACTTTATGTTAATGCAAATGTGATAAGGATCTACGATCGAATTTTGAAAGCTGATTGGACAATCTGACGGTCGATTTTTTTAATTTCAAGGTGATTCTAACATTTCATATTTAACAATAAATAACAACAATCTTAGATCAAAATTTTCCTATTCTCGAGAAGTGCTTCTTGTTGCTAAAGTGGTAAATCTTAGAAAAGTTGAAGCATTAAGGTGACAAAACCAAAGCCTGAGTGACTTTTTTTCAAATGAAATCTAGCCTAGATGGTGATTCTGAATCCGTTCTCAAAATTTGCTTATCGGCTCGGAATCGCTGGCGAACAAAATTAGGAGAAGATTGCTCAAGCCTCATTTGTACTTTGAAAGATGTTTTGTATTCAATGTTTCAATCTACATTTAAATTCTTAGCCAATTGATCTTGATCTTAGATCAAAATTGTCCTATTCTCGAGAAGTCCTATACACTTCTTGTTGTTAAAGTGGTAAATCTTTGAAAAGTTGAAGCATTAAGGTGACAAAACCAAAGCCTGAGTGACTTTTTTTCAAATGAAATCTAGCCTATATAGCAGATATCAAAGCTAACATGGATATTTTTAAGAAAACAATAATATTAGCGAATTTAATGAATCGATTTCAAGTTGACCTTTGTCTCGAAAGATGCTAGTATTCAATCTATTGGCAAGTAAGTTTGAAATCTAATTGGATGAGTCAAAAATAAGCCAAGCAAACCATAAGAATAGTTTGGAAAAGAAAAGATTCATAAAAGCAATTGATTGATCAATGCTTAGAAAAGTTCAAAATTGAAACGCATATGGATCTCTGAATCACTCAAATCAGATATCACTCAAAAAAACAAATCAATAATGATCAAAGTGGTGAGAAAGAGAGGAAAAAGATGCAAAAAAAAAGAGATTTATGAGTGGAAAAGAGAGGGGTTGTGAATGATGAGTGATGTACCCAAAGGGGGCGCGATCCATCTCCTTTCCATCCATCCCCTTTCCTTCAAGGGGTTTTCTAGGTCTAGCAAAAAGATGTGGGTAAGTAGAAGAGAGTAAAAAGATGAAAAGAAATTTTTTCTTTTTTGGGTGAACAGTTCTCTGGATGGGAAAAGAGCCAAACATTCCGGTGGTAAAAAAGGAGAAGAAGAAGGTCGTCTCTTTTGAAGGGGATGGCCTGTGACCCTCCTCTCCACTCATATCCACACAAAGAATTCAAGGAACACCACTTACAGTAAATATTCGCCATAATGACGGGTGTACAGTCGCGTAGTCTAGCTTTGAACGCGCCCTGTTCTCCGCGTTGCTTTAGAGCTTTAGAGCTGCTTAGGGTGTGCGCTTGGGTGTCAAATGATAGCCCTTGAAATCTAGTATTTTTTGGTACGAAGGATAGAAATGCATAGGTAAAAAATTTACTATTTAAATGTATAGTTTACATTATTTTTTTTTTTGAACTTTTCCCTTTCCACTCACCTAACAAGCGTGTCGATTTGTTCACTCGTGAAAACTTCGCGTTTTCGCGTCGTTCGCGAGCTCGATGAGGGATGAGGCTAAATTTAACAGGATAAACAAATCATTTTTTTTGCTACATTTTGTTTTAGGGGTAGCTTTTTTGCATTTTTTACTGCATTTTTACTGCATTTTTTTAAGGTTTACTGCATATTTTTGCATATTTATAAAGGAAAATCGAGATTTTAAATGTGAATGCATAGAATTTACTCTAATAGTAAGACAAAAAAACCCTGATTTCAACAGAAAGACCTCTAACACAGAAAGGCGACAAAAAACAGTTACAGTTACACAATTTTTTCGTTGCTATAAGATAAAATCCAATTGAATTGTAAAAATAAGAAATCTAATCTATATGTCGTAGCCGTTTACGAAATTCAGCCGTTAACGAATCATTCGTGAACAGCTAGCCGATTACGAATGAAATTTTTCGCTAGCCGATTGCGAATCATTCGTTAGCGGCTAGCCGACTACGAATTATTCGTTAGCGGATGAATTTCGTAAACGGATACGACATATATATCTTATTTCTATTAAAACTAACCGTCCATTCATCGGTCTCTTCGGGTATTGGCTCCATTGTTTTATCCTTAAAAGATGGGAGGGTCCTCCTTTTCTGATTTTCTTTCGATTTTCTTTCGATTTTGGAGTCCCTCCACTCGTTCAAAATTAACTTTAGCCTTTCATCAAAATTTACATAGAAATCACCGTCTTGTCGCTGAAAATTGATTGGTTTATTTAAGAAATTTGACTTCATAAAATCAACAAAAAAAAACACGGTAAAGAACAAGGGATATAAGGGAAGGCTACTAGGGATTTATATGAAGATGTGAAAAGAAAAAAATCTATAATTGTAAAGCTTTGATGTGAAAGGCGATTTCTCTCTTGATTTCCTCTCAAAATATCCCTTCCCGATTTCCCCTTTTACATCAAAAATTTCATCGTTGATCCCCCATTTCGATATGACAGTTACAATACAATCATCATCCAGTTTTTCCTCTTTTTCACCAAAATTCTCAACAATATTTCTATAATATGGATAAAAATACAGAAAAAAAAAGTCTTTTAAAAACATTTTTGAATAGTAATTGATTAAGTCGAAAAGAACAATCAGTAAATCGAAAGAAAATGATCGGTGAATCGTTCAAAATCAAGAATTTTTGGCTTTATTTTACAATGAAAATCAACATTTTGAGCAAGAAAAATTCGTGAGAATGGACTTTGAGTTGAAAACATTTTCAGGGTGTGTGCATGGGGAGTCCGACCATTCAACACCCATAAAATGCACTCGATCTTCCAACTACTCCCCTAAACTCTTTCCCCCATTCAATCGACAGCTGTGCGCAACTCCGTCAAAAAAAATTTGCGGTGCTGAAAAAAAGTCGTAAAAAAAAACAACAAATTGGGATTCATTTAGTTCTCTAATCCATTGACTGGAGTACAAGAATTTCATTGAGAATTGATAGAAAACTATTTGACAAGTTCGAATTGGGCATTTGCCAAGAAATTTTTGCGAAAAAAAAATTGAAACAAAAACGAATTACAATTGATTTTCTAGTTAAAAGCTTTTGATTTTCTAGTTAAAAGCGATCTTTTGGCTTAAATCTAAAGCTAAAAGAAAGCTAAAATCGTTTAAGACAAAAATGCGCCAAAGCTTTTCAAAAAGTTGTAACAAAAAAGAAATTTAGATTCATTCAATACCGAGTTCAACTTAGAGCATAATAATATATTTTTTTCTATTGAAAAAGCTCTCAAAAATTTAAGAAAAGGGTGTTGGGGCTCAAGGTGAAGTGTTGAGGACCTCTCCCCGTGCCCCTTCCCCTTCCCCTTCCCCTCCCCCTTCCCCTTCCCTCTCCCTTCCCCTTCCCTCCCCCTTCCCCATCAAAAGATTTCCCTCAGCAGGCCAAGCAACAAAAAATAAATATTTACCGAATCAGACCGAGCAAAGCATAGAGAGAAGCTGAAGGAAATGAGGAATTACCCCTCACCCGTCTTGACTCATTTTCTCAATCAGTTCTGCCAGACTTTGATTTGAGTCTCGGGAAATGATATCAAATAAATAGAGAGGTAAAACTGAGATGGATCATAGCCAAATGTATAGCCATTAATAAGATTTAAGAAGTAGAGATCATGCACAGAAAGTATTCTAAAGTAATCTGTTAATTATGGGCTTGCTGGATTTGCCTTAGCTTTCTGGGTGTAATATCTTGTTTGGCCTCATATCGACTATCAAAAATTTGATTATAACATCTCTGATTACAGTTAACGGTACTATGCGATCATTTTCTGAGCATTTTACATAACTTTTAACCCTTTTAAAGTATGGTAGACAGTTTGAAAGATATCCAGGCCGAGTTTTAGAAAAGAATAAGCTACATAGAAAAAGTAAATGATTCAAAGCCAGATTCAGAGTACGGTTTCCGAATACAGATACTGACTATAAGTCTAACTGAGTCTATAGGCTGTAAAGTGGAG